CACTCACATGCACACACACACACAACGATATCGCAAACTTTTTAACGCTATTCAAGCCGGAAAGAAACCTGAACTTTAACGAAGACATAAACGTCATTCTCATGTGTCAAGAAGTTTAAAATTTATTAGGCTGCGTTATTGGGCAATATTTACCTGTTTTTCGGGAGCATATTTTAATGGACACTCGGTGTATCCTTATCAAAATAATCTTTCCCTGAGATGAGTGCTAAGACATAACGATGATGTTTTTGTTTGGCACGTTAGCCAGGCCCAAAGCTGCTGGCGATGGTTGAAGTGCTTATTCTCATTGTTGCTGTCCGCTGGGATGATGGATCCATTACTTTAGGTCGTCACGCGGCGTCGTTATACGCGCGGACGCTGCGGACCAACGGCTAATTATTGTGAAGTAATTGAGGATGATTGAGAGGCTGCTTTCTAGTTATAGTTTTGCGGCTATCGGTCCGTCCGAGAAGTTTTTCGTACACATGTATCAGCAAAGCCAAGGATGTTTTGTGTTGTTATCCCAGTTGTACTTTTGTACTTTTCGCACGAGAAATATGAATTAGAAACATTCGGCAGACGTGGAAGTAATATCTGTGTGTGTGTGGGTGTGTGTTGGGCATCGAGCGAAAGCGAAATAGCAGCGGTGTGTACCATTCATCTTCCGATTAATCTAATTCTGATATAATAACAACGGTTTGTTCGGGCCGAAGCTAGGATTATGATTACCAGGGGCTCGGGTAATAAGTTTTGTTTACGTATACTCGTACATTCGTTTGCCTCACGGCCAGATTCCGCTGGCGGCGTGTGCATGTATATATCTTTCGCTATTTCAGATTTACGCCGACTTTGGGCGACGGTAAATCGTTCGTTAATAAGTAATTAATAGTTTTGGGGTCGCGCTCTTTGAACGTTTTAGGCCTAGGCAGCCCAGTGCACTCGAAGGCATCCAGTTGAAATGCGAAGCCATGTGTAGGTACATTATAAATAAATTCATTTTAAAGAGCACGTGCTTGTGATCGCTTATAATGCTAAAACGATGAGGGAACTTTAACCCCTTTCCGGATCTTAGGCAGGTAACAATTGTTCAAGTCATCTTTAGATCCTAGAAATAAATTTTATTTCTAAATTAATTTCTCTGCAAAAATTGTTTTTGAGAGGTTTCTGGGTTGATTTTCTAAAGCCAGCTCTGAGTATAAGAACGATGGCGGATGACGGTTTTGTTGCATTTTATAGGCAACGATGGCTGCTGCTACCAGCTACCGTTTCTTCTTCTTGCCTGTATTTGTGTGTTGCGCTTCTGCTTCGCTTCATGGTGCAGCTATTGTGCGCGACTGGAGCGCGAGCGCACATCGCGACTACAAGGGGGTTGAGAGTGTGAAACAAATCGAGCGAGAGCGACCGCGGCCACACACCAACGCATTCTGGTGTGCACCGATGTGAACGCACACAGCCAGACAGAGGCTATTAAGGTGCGTAATGGCCAAGACCAGGCGCGCAGCACTGCATCGATTAGACATAACGTCGCTTAGAACTGCTTCCGACCTGCGGCGTATTCACATCACCTCGGCCGCGTGCGCCACCCTCTCGTCCTCGACCTGCGCCCCTCTCTCTAACATGCCGCTGCCGCCGCCGATGGGTTTCGAAACGAAAAACCCTAGATAGATCCAGATCCGCGTCACTCCCGCGGGTCGCCAACATGTCCGACTCGGATGCACTGTTGGAAATTCCACACAAGTCACAATTTAGTAATCATTTTGCAAAGGTTACACGTGACACACTCGTCCTCCTTCGATTAAATCCTATTATTTATGTAATATTTTGATTTACAACACCTGCGATAACAAATCACATAATTTGTGTTTCATTAAGTTTATATTCTTTCATTCCGTCAGTTTTGGGTTCTTTTTCATGGCTTAAAAGATCACTCACGTCAACTGGCTGGCCCACGCTATCTTCTTTTAATATCTCAGTTGTCGATGTCCCATCGGGTTATGCATCGCCATCAGCCGACAACTTCTTCCATACATAGCCACACACTCACACATTCTCTCTTACTTATGTTCATGTCTGTGCAACGAAAAAACAATAAATCAGGATTTTATGGTAAGGTATGCGGTCGCATGGCATAAATCAATCTATAAAATTAACCAACGAGCGTCATAAGACACTATCGTACGTGTGCACGTCAGTCGGCCATTTTTCTGTGATACATGATGTAAAAAATCGGAAAAATTTTACTTTTGTGGTTTTTTGGAACTATACAAGTGAGCAACAAGTTATGACAATTATTTTACCGGAAACTACTGAAAGATGCGACCACCCCTATAATTATTTAATAATATTTCATGTTGGACAGTTTACACTTTTACTTTCACTTTTCGCATCCAATACCTGGGTACAAGTCAACACTTTGAAATAAATGAAAAAAAATTGATGAAGCACGAGATTTGTAGGTACAAATTGTATGTTTACAAATGCTCGACGAGTTAATGCAATATGCAAATGTCGGTTACTTAATCATTTCCTATGCTTCATGCGGCGTTCCTAGATTTGTCGAGCAGAGCCTCGTGCTGCCTTGTACTCGTAGGTACCTGCGCGCTCGTCGAGCTCGTGTGCCATTTGAACAACATCCATTCGCTATTTGTCATTCTCGCCGCTTTTCGCCAGTTTGTAGGCATTCGCGTGGAAAACATTCGATGGCGCGTTGTCCAGCGACACACGATGCGCCCGAACGCGCGAAAAAACGTGCATAAACTTTAGACAGTAAAATTATTACATAACAATTACAAGCAATAATGATTTTAATCAATAATCCCAATTCCGCTCGTTGCATCGTCGAGCATGAGCTCTTGCCTTGAGCCGATAGATAGGTGTGTCAATTATGCTGTTGTACTCGAACACAGTCTTACATAAACATACACTCCGCACAAATTTGCCATTTTCACATGGCCATACTTATAGTTTATGTCTAATCTACGTACGTACTGATTGCAATTAATCGTCGCTCGTTCGAAAATCATTTGTTGCTGTCTTGTACTCCTAATATTTCAAGCGTACAATGAATGTTATTTTATGAGTCGAGGAAATATTGCGACTTGAGAGAAAGGCATCTCATATTATACCACCAACTTGTATTTCAGTTCATATTTCCTTTCAATTTTATATGCTGACATAAATAAATTAAGCATCTAGATATATTACAGCAAATTTGAAAGTGTTCGGTGAATAATTACACACATTTTTCTCGCACATCAAAATGCAATTGCTTATATGATTTCATAATGATATACAACTTCTCCGTCACAGGCAACAAAATAAAAATAATTAGTTTTAATTAAATTTGATTGATTTATTATGGTATTGAATTGAATTACTGAATTACCGATAGGCCCACGAAAATGATAATATGAAATCCGTGCTATTGTTATATTGTTTATAAATACTCTCAAATTACAATCCTATCGAAAGCCATAATTATTATTTATTTTGTGGCTGTCATAATAATCTGAGAATAGCGTGAAAAATGCTAAGCTGACATTATGCCATTTACTTGGTTGAATTTGCATAAAATATCAATCTGATTGGAGTCGGGCCATGTGGCGGTGGTGTTGTCATCTTCACATTGTTCCCAACGTGCATAATGGACAGCGATGCGTGTGGGAGAGGATTGAGGATTCCCAATTCGCGATGTGCGCGATGCCAAAACTTGACGACGAACGGGACCCAGCCAGAGTAATGGGTTCAGTCGAAACCTGTTATGACGCGATCCGTGCTCCGAATAACTAGACTCGTTACTTTAGTTGGGATTATCTTATGTGTCACTTTGGGCAAATGCGAGCTTGATATATGCTTATTGGCAACAGTTAACACGGGACGGCGGCGGCGGCAGTGGTGGAGCAAGTAACGTACGGCCGGGATCTCGACGCGAGCGCGTTGCGACAGCGTCGCTCTATTATCCGTCTCCGGGATTCACTCAACGTCGACGTCGATTACTTAAGCCGACCGCGCTGGGGGGCCGCAAAAATTTAAAAGCGTCAACGCGCACCGCAGCGGCGTTTATTGTTGATTGCCATTTCAATAACGTCCTTGCTAGCGGGAAGCAGACAAGGATGCGAAATTGCGACACAGTATATCTATACCTATAGGTGTTTGTGGGTAGGTGTGCGTACCGAATTATGGTGGCATTTTGCGGTGCTCGACACCACCCTCTCCCCCTTGTCGTGATGTTTCGTGCGTATTTATAAGGGTCGCGTTGTGTTTTAAGCGAGTAATGAATAATTAAGAATGATTGCCGGCGCGGCGCGATGAGGAGAGCGCGTCCAGAGAGAGGTGCGGACCGCGCGCGACGATCGATGTTGAAGCTCGTTATTCGGACGACAGCCCCGTGAAGCGCGCCTGATGCGACAAATCTCAATCTGCAAGGCTGCGTCGCTCCGGACCGGCTCACCGCGCGCGCGGCGTCGATGCCACCGCCGCCGCACACGCAAGACGGAGACGGCATCCATTTGCTTTGCTTGACGTTCTCGACATTTTAACACATTACATCAACGCGCGCGAAACACGTACCGCACCTACACAACGCGGGACAAAAAGTTTCCAGATAAAGTTTCCTAGTTTATGCGGTATATTATTATTTAATTGCACATAAACCATGCGGACATGACATGATATTTACAGCCGGATTGAAATTTGCGCCCTTTCGCGCTTCCGAGAGAAATACTTTTCTGCCCTAGTGCAGCAAATTATTAACTAGCATAATGCACGTGAAATTCAGTGAAACGAAATTATGCGGACGCAATAAATTATGCGCAACTCGCACGTCAAAAGTTTTACTACTGTGCCGATCGTGTGTGTGGCTTTGCGTGAGCAAATGCAGTAGCGCTTGGCGTTTTCTTCGAATCGCCGTCTCACTGCCTCGCGATATCGTATGACATTTTACGTGTACTCTACTCGCTTTACATTAGGAACGGATCGCATCGATTTGGTTTCTGTTGCAGATTCCGCACGCGGTGCTGGCGGTCGACGTCGACTCACCAACACACACATACGACAACGCGCATCGATACATCGGCAAGCGTTGCAAGCACGCAGAGCAATTGACGACCACGACGTACCAAGCGCGGATCTGATTCGAGTGCGTCATGATCTCCGATTACGAGGACGACGACCACTATTGCATCAAATGCCACGTCACCATCGCCGGGCTGGAGAATTACATCCAGCATCGGAAGGCGAATTGCACGAAGACAATAGTAGTGGTGCCCAAATCACCGCTGCCCAGCCAGCTGCTAGCTCCGGATGATTCGTTCGGCTTGAAAGCGGACGACTTCTTTTCGTCACTGGAGCTGCAGAGCAGCAATAAGAAGCAGGCGATGCCCTCAACAAGTGGGAAAACGATCAGCGGCATCTTGACGCGCAGCAAAACATCGGCCGTTATTCATGCGTCCACTAGTACGAGTGGTGGTAGTAACAGTACCACCGCTGCGACCACTCAGCAGTTGCGTGAAGTTGATGTGCAACAGTCCAAGTCCGGCAAACACGCTTGGATTGGTGGGCATCAACTGAAGGAGCTCGGTACGGGCGATAACCAAACGAAATTAATCAAAGCTGTTGATAATCTCAGCCGGACGGCTTGCTTGAAGAAGTATGAACCACCCACTGATGCGCCCATCGTCGTCAGTGGTTACAATGATGCTTCGGATGAAGAGAGTGACGAGTATGATTATGATGATGATGAGGAGGATGATGAGGAGGTGCCTCGTAACTACACGGGGGGCAAGTGGATGCCCGAATGGAATTATTCCAAGGCTGCAGGGCAAAATCACACTAAAGGCCAGTGGAAATCCGGATCACCTCATGAAACAAATGTTCCTCCTCCAAGCTACACACGTGGAAAATGGAAGCCTTCTAATCTCAAAGAATCTGACCAACAAGACGAGCCAAAAATTAAAAAGCGCACAATCGAGGAAATCCCGCCGTTCCGCAAGTCAAACGGTAGCGTTCAGTACTGGTGCAATCCGTGCAATCGGCTGCTATCATCTAAGATCGTCTATGAGCGGCATTTGCGTTCGGAGCTGCACTCTAAGCGCACCCTGCTCGAGGCCGAGTTCGACGACACGACGACGACGACGTCTTCGAAGACAACGACAGCGAGCGCAAGTACGTCGGCAACGCATTTGAATACAAACCGCGATAAAGAAGCGAAACGAACAATACGTAAACCTGTTGAATATTGGTCGCATACCGGCGCGACGAACGAAAACAATAAAGACCCTATGAAAAATACAGCCGACGCGAGTGCCGGCGCAGTCGCCGCCGATGCTGCGGCGGAATCGGCGACATCGGTAACGACAAGCAATGCATCGGTAACGAAGACAGCAGCTACGGCAGCCACTGTAACCGCACCAACGCCGATCACAATGACAATGGCCGCGTCGGCGACGAAGAAGCGATTTCGCAGAAAAATCTACGCGAAATGCGAAGTATGCCTCGCTCGCGTAACCTCGCAGATGATGGGAAAGCACTTAATCTCTCATTATCACTGCCGCAAAGGGGACATAACTCGGCCGGAGGCAAGGCAGATGGTGCTCGATAACATACAAGCCGTTGTCCTGCAAGCCCCATACCAATGCGCCGCGTGTAAGTTTTATTGTAATACGCACGATTACTTCTTGCGACATTGGCGCAGCTATGAACATATCGAACAAGTGCTAGAGAATGGCGGTATTTTGACGTGTACATTTTGTCGATTTTCGTGTGTCAGCGAACAATATGAAGTGATGTACTCACATCTCAACTCAGAAGAACATGAAGAAGTGATATCAGTAATTAATAGATCCGTGCCTATTGTAATCAAGAATACTGAACCAATAGAATGTGGAACATGCCAGGAATCTTTCACGTTAAACATTCAATTGCGTCAACATTGTTTGTTAACCAATCATCCACTCTCGGGAACTGCTACGGATGAATACCAAAAGAAGAAATACTGTAGAGTATGCCAGAAAAATTTTTTCTCTTCTGTTGCTCTGCAGCGCCATCTCAAGGTCCACAACGCAAAAATGTTTTTCTGCAGCCGATGTGATGTAGAATTTTCTACTGCGGAAGAGATTGCTAAGCATAGAATCACTTCCTTGCACAAGCAAAAACTACCAGCATTAAAGACGTGCGAATATTGCGCTTCTTCAGAGACTTTTGATAATTTGCACCAGTTTAAAATCCATATGCAAAGTAACCATCCAGAGCTAACTAACGTCTGTCCGCATTGTGCTCGTAAGTTTACATTCGCAAAAGAATTGTCGGTGCACATCCGTAGTAAATCTTGTATGATAACACCAAAATTGGAATTTGATGATAAACCACACAAATGCGATCGCTGCATGTTTGGTTGTGCCACTCTGTCGGAACTTCTCTTCCACCAAGCCTTACACACTAAACCGGTACGCAATGAAGTTTCAAAACAGATGTATTACAAGTGCTCTCTTTGTGATAAATTCTTTCCGAAGTCATCACTGCGCTATCACATTCAGAATCACACAAATGAGAAGACCTATAAGTGTTCAAAGTGCGACGCGAGATTTGCACGAAAGAATAATTGGTTGTACCATCAGAAGAAACACGAGCACAAGGATTACATCAGGAAGCCATCATCGCGAACGGGCAAGGAGATGAATTTCCTGTGTGCGACGTGCGGCGCTAAATTCTCCAACAAGTAAGTGTTGCTAAAAATACTTCTCTTAAGCGGTACATTTTATGACGGTTTTAATATCTCGAAATAGTAATAACAAACAACAAATCGGTGAAATATTAAAGGGCTTTACGGTCCTCCTGGTGTCTACGATGTCGACGAAGAGGGACATTAACGTAGGTGTACATACTTTTTCGCGCGACGCGACGCGTAATATTTTTGAAAGTGTTGAATTTAACACCCCAATAACTCTTTTAACGGCAATAACGTTGCCTCATAAACGGCAACTATCTTTGTGCTTTTTAATTTACGATGCTTTTAACACATGATCCTTCTTTGTCCTTCGGTGTGCACTTTCAGGCACCAGAATGTGGTAGCGAGAATTTTTTGATCATCGTTGGTTTTTCATTACATTTATAATTTTGCGTGCAGAACACTAGTAGTAGGGATTTATTACTTTTCAAAATTCACTTGTCTTATTGTTGTTTGTCGGCAACGTAGAGTAAAATTCAATTACACATGGGTCATTAATACTAGAGTTGATAAACGTCTGCTGTGAAAGCATGTGGCCCAGCGAAAAAACACATTTTCCTTTACTTCCGCGCGGACGTCCTGCGTTTTCCCTCATTTCTCGCGTTCATCGAAGCCCGTCTCTACCCACCTGCAAACATTAAACGCCGTAAATCGCGCGCCACTCCGACGCTGGGTGCGCGCCGTCACCGCCGTCGCTGCCCCCCTTCAGTGCAGCGTGTAATTTATGCTTCATATTTTCCGCTAAACGTACAGTAATTAGAGAATTGTGGTCGGCGTGAAATATAGGTGAAGGCTTCGGAATGTTTATAGTAATTGTGAGTGCCTCAAGCTACCTAAAACGCGTCGGGCGTATGCGCGGGTGCAGCATGTGCGAGAGGGTCGAGATGGGTACCGATACACGGCGGCAGGGCGATATCGTGGACGCGCGCCAACGCGACAACGTCGACAACGACGAATCGAAAACTACGTAAATTCCTATAAAAGTTATTATCGCACTAAATATTGCTACACGTCGCAGGAGTACTTTCGCACGCGGGCGGAAATGTCGCCTGTTGTCGCGCGCTGCCACCACCGCCACTACCACTAGCAGCAGCAGCCGAACGAGGGCTTGTTTACAATTCGGCGTGCCGGTGAGCGGATTGTTCGCAATAGTTGCGAGTTGCGTTCTCGCGTCATGTTTATCACTCCTCATCGGTGGGTAATATGCGCGCATGGCTGGCATTTGTGGGTTAAAGACATGCACGCGTGCCTCAAACTGCTGATTTACAGCAATAAGCACGGTATGCAGGGCGCCATAATGTGTGAAGTTATTATGTTTAGTTTTGCTAAGCACGTGGGGGAGTGGGGAATTTTTGATGCGACTTACGGTACGAGCCGCCGCCGCCCGCCGCTATCGTGCCGTTTTGCGGTGGAATTCAACACGGGGCGTTAGACGAAAGCCGAGTCCGCACCATCAATCTTGTGGGGCGCGTTTTGTCTTAACGATAAGAGCGCCACCTGCGCAGGCCATTCGGTGCGCATTAGTGGCCAGCAAGGACACGCCGCCGACAACGCCATGATTTGCAGGCGAGACCATAAACAAATCCCGTGTGTTGGTACAGCCGTAGGAAGTTGCTTGCACAGCATCTATTGCCTTCCAACTGTTAGTTCACTTAACGCTCATTTCGCGCGTATATCTTTTCTTCTATGACGGGCCCCGGCGCCGGCAGTATACAGGAAGACCGCGCCGCTCGTCGTCGGAGGTCGCCGAAAGGCGGACGAAACGGCACCAGACTAAGCAGACATTTGCCTAACGTATTATCTCATAATTCCCTGAGTTGTGTTTAAGTAGCGCGCCGTGGACTCACCCTTTGATATATAGGCGAACCTGGACGCGGGGTCTAATGTATGCTTAAGTTATTTACCCCCCAGATGGGGAGTTTTAGTTCCTAGTTGCGGAATTAGTGCGGCGGCCACTAGCAGCAGCGGGCAACGTCGCCGACTGCGGCCATGGGTGCTCCTAGTTAAGATTTATTCGATGTACACGGACGACGATGGCGGCGATGGCCGACCGGCGGACGCATATGCAAGCACCATACATGAATAGTGACTAGTAAGCGCTTTCGCTACTGCCACCGCGGACCCTTAATAAACACGCACCTTATTTACGAGTCATCGAGGACCGAAGGAGCTGCGCAAAAATAAAAGTGCCATACTGGCCACAACAACGAACACGAAATACACGATAACAAACTATGTGGAAGCGTGTCTTCCACACGCAGGTAATCGCGTTATGCCTACTAAATTCTGCTAAAATGATCCGAGTTTTATGAACATTACAATATTATTTTACCGCTCCGCTCACAACTGGCCGTAAATTATCCCAGTGGTGTGCGTTTCGAGCGTGCATTTACCTTCGATGAGAAAAATTCGCCGCCGTGTCATCTCGTAAACTAATTAAATTTATGCTGAAATACAAACCGCATATCATAAATCGGGGCGCCCTTCTCAGCCACACTCAAAGCCGGATAAAACGACGTTTAAAGATTAAATAAAAATTAAACGCGAGTCGCCAACATGTGGATGCAGCGGCAAAAAGGCACGACACACACACATGAAAGAAGAGATATTAATAAATGACTTCTGTCCGTTTTGCGTTTTGCGTGGAATGTGGATTCGCGGCGAGCGAATATCGGCTCGGTCTTCTGTTAGCGCGTTCGCCAGTGGCTGCTTGCTTGACTTTTCAGAGGCTTATTATCGAAAAGCGACTTGTTACTACCACCGCCGTTTCGTACCTTCGAGCAACGCGCATGCAAAAGAAAAGCAGCTTCTCGTATTGAACCATAATTCTATCCAATTTACTTTACAAAAGGCAGCACCAACCCGACCTGTAGATAAATAAGCATGATCTTGATGTTACATTAAGTTATTGTTGCGGTGTTGTCCGGTTCGTATTAATGACACTTCGCAGAAATTCAATAAAACTACTTCAATATTGAGACAGATATAACGATGGCAAAATTATGTCCAACTTTCGGAATAATATAAAACCAAAGTTTCTGGTTACGGAGATTTTATCATTTATGATAATCCGCGGTTGCTTTTAATTAAAAACTTTGTAGAAAAATCTAAACGGCGCAAGTTTCTTCACTCTTAATAAATTGCTTTGGAAGTGCTCCACGTCGATGATCGTTGGGAGCGCGTAATGCGTTCGAAAAACGCCATCCAAAACTTGATAAACACGTGAGTGATATATCGCATCATGAATGAAAATAGACGAAGTTATCGCGTTATCGCAGTGCCGTATTACAAAAATTCCTTAATGACCCTGCGGTTTGGAAAGTATCAGCCTCTCCGCTTAAGATTTGTGTACAGATATTGCTAGAAGGCGTTGTCATCAGTTTGGAAAGAGTAATTTAATGATTTCGAGAATGTCCTGATAGTTCACAATTAAATTCGATACTGTTCTGCGCCCGGTACGAAGGATTGCCAGCGTCTTTAATAAACAGACGGCATATTTTCGAAAGAGGAAAAAAAAGATCGCGTGGCGTGCGGATCATAAAACATACATCCACGTCATTAAAGGCAGTTATTAACGCCGCGATATTGATAAGTTTCTGAAACTTTTTCCAGCGGTCCCTATAAATTACGTTTATTTCTTTAGTTTGACAACCAGTTAATCATTCTGTTTATGCGAGTGACTCCGAGATTCGCTCCTAAATCATTCGCGTCTCTGGGCATGTAATATTATTGCCGCGCGCTGGCTGCCGCTGCTCCCGCGCTGCCCCTGCCCCCGTGCCGGCCCAAGCCGCGCGTCTCAGCCCGACTTCTCGTCTCGTCTCACGCGCCGGCCCTCTCGCGTCGTCTCGCGCTCGAAGGCTTCGTGCCGGAACTCGAATCGTAATTAATCGACGGACGGTAATTGAGATTTTTCTTTTGTGCGCGCCCAGCGCCCTGGCCGCCATTGCTATCTCGGCATCTTCTTCACCGCGGTGCTCATTATCGATGCGCTTCATGCAGATTTCGCCATGTTTCTTGTCCTTCATCATCGTCTTCGACCCCAGCCCGTTTTATTTTTACGGCCGCATTGCAACTTTGCGCTCCAACACTGGATGTTGACCATAAATTCCGCGCATCGGAAGAATACATTTCCAGTAATGCGTTGTGGTCGCCCCACTTTGGGTTGTGGGGCTCTATCGCTCTGGCACTCTTCGTCGATAGTTGCTTTCGCGACAACGAGGATGAAATGTACGTCGTCGTTCTAATAATTCACCGCGCCGCGAACGACCATTAAATGTAAAACCGACGACGTCTCCATCGTTCGGCTCGCCGCGAAGAACTCTATGATTCTTCGCAGCGTCCTCGTCGTCTGCGCCCGCTTGAGACATTGCGACGCGACACATCCAACCGTCATATACTAGATCTCAATGTTTCCTCTCGCCCCACACCCACACCCCCGATACACGCGAGAGCGACCGAAACTTTGCCCATTCGTTCTGGATGCAATTATCATATATTCTATCGGTATGACACCGCGAATGGCGCGATCATGCAAACTAGACGTCACTTGAACGCTGCGACGAATATTTTCCCAACGCGTGTCAACGCTGTTACCGCGTCGAACTGTTCACATTTGCATGCTTACCTTTCCACAGTCTATGAGGATGATTTTTATTACAATCAAATTTATTAAATAGACACTTTACGAGGGTGTTTATAGAATCGTATTTATTTAAATATACTTGATTGCTATTTGCGCAATAAAATCCATAAAATGCACTCGCGCTAAGTTCATTGCCATAAAATCCAATTGACGATTTCGATGTTGATATGGTTGTCGAATGTCCACGGCGCGGTGGCAATTGCATTCGCGCGCGCGCCATCCAGATGCGCTGCTTTTAATGCATTATTAATAATTGCTAAATAGATTTTACGATCCGCAGGCAAAACGGGCCTGCACGCTCGGCATAAATCTCAATTCGAATCGTAAACTCCTTTTTAACCGAATTTACGAGTTTTCCACTAGCACGCGATTATGATCACCATCATGATACCATCAGCGACTCGGAGCGTCTCCAAGCGCAATGTGCAAACTCGTCTTGACAATCCGTTTTAATTTATGCGCGTGTGCTCATCAATTTATGTCCTGTACATCTTGAATTTAACACGCATTTACTCAACACAACATCTTCTTTAACTCTTTTTTTTTCACTCTGTATAATCCGTCTGCAGATAATGACGAGCATATCAATCGATTTTGTTCTTTCGAGGCTGTACTTTATTACTGCTTAGATAATGCATCACCGGGCTCTGTTGTCTCGTGTACATGTGCGGGAGATGGAAGGAAGGATGGACGTTTCTTCCTCGCTTTTCGCAAATTTACGAGCGCCAAGGGCTTAAAAGTATGCAATAAATCCCGGTTCCGGGGGCTTAAAAATTCCTTCTCCTGTCATGTTTATTCGCTGCCATAGATTGGCACGCGCTGTGATGCACTGCTTTCTTGGCCACTGCCTCGCCAATCTTCTAATCCTTGCGAGTGCAATCTGGTTATAGGTGTTTGGCTACTAAGTGTTTATTACAATCTAGTTAAATAATTATCATAAGTATAATTAAGAAATATACATTCTAGTATAGTGAGTTTGTTGAATTTCTTTACGTTGAGGAGATGATAGTAATTTTGATAGTAATTCCTTCTTTGACGATGGTTGTAAATTCGCAGTTTAACTGCACTTTCAGTTGGTTTACGCTCATTTCTGAATATTATCATGATTGCACCTACTTGAGATCTCAGCACTCGTCGGCGAAGAGTTCAAAGTCATAATCTGAAATTGAAGTTGAATGTTGAATGACATTCTCAATCAAATTTTTGTAGGGGCGAGAGTTTACTGTTTAGCAGTTTATGTTACAATAATATTTTGAACCTTGCCATAGTCTATGGACATAGACATAAACATGTTTTATATGACTTTTATAATTCCTCGGCGCGCATTTTTTGTCTGTCCAAGCGACGACTCATTTCTATATCTCGATGCATCTCGATGAATATGTTTTTTTCTTCTTCCTTCATTTCGACTCACTCTTCTTGTTGCTCTTGTTGATGAAGCACGCTCGAGTAAAATAATTTATTGAGGTCGAATGGGCGTTGTGTGTGGAAGAAAACTCTTGGACATTGGCCGGCCGCCTCTTGGGCCATTATAAATCTGTCATACGGATATTGTATTGATGTTATTTATGTAGAAATCAAGCAGCACCATCATTCCCATCAATCCGAGCCGCACGGTGTGCGCACTTGTATGCGATCCGTAACCCATCGCGCGCGCGCCCGTGCACGCATTCGAATCGTAATCGGCGCGCACCCTTTTTATACGATTCGTTGATTTCTTCGTCTCAACTCTGTGAAATCGCCGCCGCTTGCACAGTCGTATGATTAGTTGATTGCCGGTCGAGGCGGCCCCGCTTTTCTTAATTACATTCCGTATATTTATACGTGGAGTTACATTTTAATTTATTACCGAATGTTGTATTCGAATGTATTGCATACGTTTGCATGACGAAGACGTGACGGGACGCAGCCAAACGAAACAAACATGAATACATATTATAATCTATTCGTAGTTGAAGCAATTTTTAATATGTATATTAATTGTGGGATAATGTAGTTCACGATCGTTTTAATGCAACACCAGACGTGTTATTGTAGTTTATTTTCGAGGGCTTTGGCGGTTCACGCGAATAGTTTTTAATATTCGCGCATTTTCACTCTGAGCTCGTTTCATGTGCAACATTATGAAGCAACATCGAGTTTTATTAGATAATATACATACGTTAATCTGTTTAGACTTTAGACGAAATGAAAACATAGTAGGTGGTTGTTGCGTTTATCCCGAGAGCAATGGTGATATGGTGGTGTGGATTTAAGCTTAGCAACTTGCTTCCAGCACAGGTATACGCAGAAGAATGGTGGGTTTGCAATTTCATAGTGTCGTTAATAGAAATCGTTAAATGAAGTTTGCACCTAGACGCGTTCCGTGCTTCGCAGCTTTCAACCTCCTCCCGCTATACGAGACCATGTAGACGAGGGCGCTTTTGAAATCATATCAAGTCTAATCAAGCTGCAGGTTAATGAGCATTCTGTTGTTAACCTGGATGTACGATGACGACCACGTGAATACACAAACGATACTTTTATGTTTTTCACAACTTGTCTGCCAACTTCATCAAAAAGTGTGTAAAATTGACGTCTAAGGAAGGGAAACATTAAAATCTCTCATTTGCATCGAAATTTACGCATTATTGACAAAAGCCCCAGCGTTCGCGCAATGAAAACTCATCTCGTTTTAAACTATCGTTTTAAATACTAAAATAGAAGGATGGCACGTTAGTTGTTTCGTTGATATCCAAGTTAGCAGGCGGCTCGTCGTCGCCATCGTGCACTCGACGCGCTCGCCATTCGCTCGTTGTTTTGTGCCCGCCGTAATGCACATCGGGATACAGATCTAAACGCTTCTTTAATGGTTAATCAACATGCTGTTAGTGAGCGCGGGCTCGGAATATTTCATCCGAGAGAGCGTCGGACTATCTGCATGTCCATCTCAGCCCCCTGTTTATCCTATCTTATAATACTTTTACAGTCTTTACTGCAAATTGCGTTTACCTCAGTGAACCTGTTTCAGGAAAAACTCGCATAAATTTCCGTTAAATAGAATGCGATATTAGCTCGACGCGAGGCGTAAAGGAGCACGAGAATGCGAATAAAAAAGAATGTCGAAGGCGGCGACGAAGGCAAAACGGAAAGTCAACCGTGTTACACCATGTAAACAGACGACTTGTACACGCTAAATAAAAACAAATCAGTTATTAACGCCGCCGCCCGCACCCTGTGCAAAGCAAAAAGAAAACATGATGCGGCATTGCGATTGACGCCGATGGAATATGTTTTACGACCGGGCGAATTGATTAAATTAATATCAACGCAATCTGTTCGGTTCGAGGGAGCACTGTGGTGCGCATATTTATACGATCATTAAACAAAATGATTGCATTGCCCGCCATCGGATACATGACACATGCAGACGGACATGAGCCACGCGTGATCGCATGAACCACATGAAGGCACTTTTATTTCGCAGCGCGGATTTTTGTCTTGGTTTTTATGCGCGCGTCTTTCATCTGCACTCGCAGGACTTCCCCGCGGTTCTCCATCAGTTGACGTTTTCTGCGTTGTTTATGTCGTCGTCGTCGTTGCGTCTCCCTGCCGTTTTGGAATCCTCTTTTGCGTGAAGAGTGCGCGCCCGTCGTCTTTTGCTTTCTTTTGGCATCGGGAGTTATAAAACGCGACAGGGAACGTATGATAAATATTATTCACGTTTGTGTCGTTATTTACTTCATTCGGCAGGATAGTGGTGTGAGTGCGCGTATGATGTTCGCTGCGAGTTTATGTTCAAGTTAAAATAAATGGCAGCACCATAAAAACGGAATTTAATAAATAAAGCAGTGCCGAGACGAGCGACGAAGAAGCATCTGGTTAATATTTATCGTATATTTTGTTGCTAATGACATGAGATATGTCCCGGTCAGGTGACAAAGCATGGGAAGCGTGCGTCCCCGTCGAACCAACCAATGACCGTGCGCGGCGCAGATTAGTCGACTCGTAATGAGTGACTTATGACGAATGTCGTTTATATTATGCAGAACCTGTTTTGCGAAAAGGCGTCACCATGCGAGTTTGCCGATGTCTGCAGTTGCAGCATCAACATCAACACGCTGTATTTATCTCTTGAAAGAATGAAAGGTGCGCGTGTTTAACAGTCACAATATGTTGTTTTCCACAACAAATTTGTTGGCCGGTGTGTTTTATCGACTTCTATAAATCGGTTATACACGAAATACCAGTCGCTTATTTTCTTCTTGAAGCTTAATGACGTTCATGAATCATGATGGTCTTGTTGATGCACCTCAGTGGGAGGATTATCACGCGGCGCATTAAAATTTCTCAGCAATCAAACAATTAATATATGCGTTGTGAACGTCTCGCGGACAAGTAACGACAAGATGCACTCGCCTCTGTTGGTTTGCAAATTTCTGGCCAGCTGCAATGCAGCGGAACATCCCAGGACGAAATTCACTATGACTATAGCAATACCATTTATTTTTTTAAAATATACGAAGGCGTCGTCGTCGTCTCTTCGTTCTATCATGCGTTCTGTGTTTGTTGTGTTGCCGGCGCGAGTGTGCCATGCGCGCCCCGTTCACCGCTTCTTCGTCGGGCGAGCGAGCGCCAAGGACTATTTATTAACTAGTCCTGTCAGCTTGTTCGATTAGATGGGCTCTTTCCACCATACGTTTGACTTGTTTATTAACACCGTATACGTCATAAATAGAATGATTTGTGTTTATTAAAACTTCGGAGGGAAGGAGATGTGTCCGACGTGCCGGGGCCAAAGCACAGATGATTTTCAATTCGTTTTAATTAAAAAGCATTCGAAAATTCGTCGTTTTTATTATTTTCATTGCGGTGTCCAGTCTTAAACAAAGTAAACGTATTGAAATATGTGACGGTTTTATGTCGGTTGCATATTTTCTCAGATTTTGTTGGCTCCGTGTGCGAAATTTGTAATATCACTGAATTTTTGTTGCAGCGCGACGTTGAAGAAGCACATGCTCATCCACAACGGCAAGCAGTTCAAATGTGACCATCCCGGTTGCATTCACATGGCACGGACACCTGCCGACCTCAGCGCGCACCGGAGCACGCATTCGACGGAGATGAGCTTTCGATGCGAGCGATGCGATTATCGCGGCAAGTCCAAGCAGCAACTGAAGAGGTCAGTAGCTGGCGGCGGGCCGGTCGAGTGCGGTATTGTAATATAACACGGATTGGCGACCTCCGCACCAACACACGCGCAGATAAATTAAACAAACACCACACGACCGCACGGCCGCGCTTAATTGACAGGAGCAGAAAGCCTCGGACTGCGTCTTCTGCGTCCGCGTAATTAATGTCCTTATCTATCCACAATCACCTAACAACTCTTCTCCCTGTTGTGCTCTTATTCTTTGTCTCTTTCCCCCGCACGCACTGAAAACGCAATCTTTACTCGCTTCTATTTAATCGCTTAGCTGCCTTTTTTCGGTACTTTATTGGCATTCCAAACTGGCTAAATTAACTACAAACTCACTACTAGCGCGTAAATTCTGGAAACAATGCGTTTTGTTTTCGTCGCTGCTGAATAAACATTTCAATAACGTCAGCGCATCGAGCGCGCTGAAATTGCGTCTGGTTGCCGAATGTACAATGTTGGATTTTATGATTTTTCTAGACATGCGACGATCCATGAATACGTTAAGAAGTATCAATGCTCTCGTTGCTCATTTACGTGCCGATTGGCGTTCCATCTGCGTCGGCACGAGCGTATCCACACCGGATCGAAGCCGTTCGCCTGCCCTCATTGCGAGTACAGATGCAATAATTTGGTGAGTAAAAAGTTTCTTCTGTGCAAATTGCGCACGAATGCGACATCGCGCCCGCCCTCTTCGGGCATTGTGCACTTTATATCGTCGTCGGCTTCGAATTTTGCGCACTATTCTTATTCCCATGTTTATACGCGTGTACACCCGCAATGTTCGTATATGCATACGAATGTGGCACATCGACGACGATATCGATGTGCGGATATTAGCCGTAAAGTTTAACGTGGCGCACCGGGTTTTAGCGTATGCTGCTACCAGGTCCTTCAAATGTTGGACGCTTCTATCGCTTCCTATCCTGTATAATCTCTGGCTGCATAATAAATATTATGCAAACACCCTGTAACCGATCTCCATGTGAATGTTTGCAGGAAAATTTACGAAAACACGTCTTGTCAACAAACAAACATCCGGACAAATGCATATACGAATGCAAGTTTTGCGAAACTGAGGCGCAATTCACTGGGAACTTTGCGAAGGACTTTAAAGCACATTTGCTCGCGGAGCACGGTGACGTGTTCAGATCAGTACGCGAGGCGGCTAGCTACATTGCCGGAATCTACGATTCCATCGAAGACGTTTCCTCCGCCGCCCAAACGGCCACAACGTCAACGTCGCCGGTTGCGGTGGAGCCAACGGCCGACCCGCTCCTCAAGACGAATAAAATTAATCCCACGATGCTCGATGCGGTTGTTAAGAATGAGGCGCCCTCGCCGACGCTAATTCCGACGCCGGAAACCACCTTCGAGAATAAGGGACACCATCAGGAGGAGCTGTTCCCTATGTGCATAATCGCCAAGGACGAGGTGGTTTACCTCGATAAGGAATCCTGGTGCATGGTCGGCAATTTCGACGTCGAAGAGTCGGGCACACTGGTTTCCTTCAACGAGGAGGCTGACGCCGAACCGCTCTTCCAGGAGCACTTTTCGTAAACTATAAAAAGGTAAGTGGTCAATGCATATACTCAATTCTTCCGACATATATGCGAATTCTATTATTTTCCTGTTCTCTTGAACAAATGAGTTTTTTCTTGTTTTGCGTCATTTGCCTTGCTCTAGTTGGCACTGCAGGGGTGGCTACCTGCATTGCTGCCGTGGGCAGAGGATCGTTTCAATCAAGAGCGGAAATCAATCACCCTCGCCGCAGCTGTAGATCATATTTACGGCGGGTGATTACAGGTTTTCCTCGTGATTTATATCACCGGGAGGAGCCTCATTGACGCAGCGCCATCTTGCAGTAGTGATATACTACGTACCGACACGCCACTGACGTCTATCAGCCCTCCACTATATAATTATACCTTTTCCAATTATTGCATTTCTAATTTGTACACGAACAGAGCCATCCATGTTTCTTCGTCTTGCCGGTATTGCTTTAGCTAACACATTTCATATTTTCAATTGCACGAAAGAATCGATATTTTTGTGTGTTTGCTCAAAAGCCTTACTTCCTGAGCACGAACACGTCGCATCATGAATTACGATCAGATTACGGTTGAGTTATTCGATTAGCCATCAATTAAATTATGCAAAAACCCAACCCAGCTGGTGTCACAGGTGAACACCGAATAAACTCTCTGCAAGACAACGGTTTAACCGATTTGACGTCCATAAAAGCCATAAGAACACAAGACACGAAATGCTCTTGAGGTCTTGAGCATCAATCGTGCGACGACGTGTAGTTTTCTACGCTATTAAAAAGCTACGTCCCGCTGGGGTCATCGTATTCGATTAGAAATTAACAGATTATCAAATGGCAAATTAATTTTTGAGGAAATCGAATGAATTGGTATTTAATATTAAACGTGTATTATAAATATTCAAACGGTCGTTATGTGATGTGTTTCGCTTGGAACCGGCAGAAACTCGCGTCCCACAACGAAAATAACTCCTTTCATCTCTCGTGTTGTTGAACATAAAACTTTAACGTCTCAATTAAACGCCCGTGAAAGACGTTTTTACATCAGAGGCTTTAAATTTGTCAACGCACAACAAATCGGAAAGGTAACGTCCAAGTTTACCATTTCATCAAACGCGACTGCCGATTGCGTAATTAATATTAACAAATTTTATGTTTTTTTGATACGTGCCCCGCAGTTCGGTTCTCATTAAATCCGTTGGAAAAGATGCGCGAAGCTGCCATAAGAATAGAAAAGTTGTGTTTGCTTGTTAATTAAGAGATAAAACGAAATTTATTTCGATTGGGGCTTATGTGGCGCTCCAGCGCGCGTGTTTAAGCTTTTCGGCCACAGACGCCAACATAAAACGAAATAATCGTAAAGTTTTGATTGCGTGATTTTTAAATGATTGCGGAACATAGTTGATACTCTGGGGTGTCGCTTGCATCGCTCGGTACGAAATTGCGCATGTTGAGCGTGTTATCGGCGGACGGCGGTGGTGGACAAAAGAGACCGTGCATGCGATACGCCGAGGAACATCGTTAATGGGCAAGTTTTAATGCTCGTTAACTCGCATCTTTATTAGCTTCGTATGCACAACTGTATCTAAAATTACGTACTCCTCATTACGCCGGACGGGGGTGGTGTATGCAGGCGCGATGCAAATAGCAGCACTTTTGGAATTTTTATCAATTCCCCCCAATTAATGTAAAAGTGTTATGTAGGCATGCACTTTTCGACTTGTGCGTTTGTTGGTACGAGAAATTGGTATTTGTGCGGGGCCATTTCGATTGTTTTCGAGTTTATTTAACATTCAGTTGGCGAAGTTTTTCCTTCGCCGATTTACGGCCGGTACACCATTGAGTGATTTAAAGAATTAAAGCACAATCAAGTGAATAAATGGGGACAAAAAGCAGATAAATAGTGTGTGCGTGTATGTGCAGTGGGGCCCATCCATCAGCGCCACACCACCTGACCGAGCTTGATCATACAAATTGCCTCATTTCGGCGTACCGAAACGAACAACAGTCCGGTGCAAGAGACGCACGGACATTTCTGATATATTTATCGTTTTCTCCCGGGTCCTGACTTATTCGACTCCCCGTATCGTTGCATATTTTAAGATCCCCAAAAACAATTTCTCCGAATACGGGAGGCATGCGGCCGAACGATTTGTGCGCCCGTGTGTTTACGTTTTCGGCGTGCACAATGCATCGCGACGGCTGAGATGTATAGAGATGCACGCGGACACGGTTTCGTCTCGCCCATCGTATTCTTCTTCGTCCCGAAGCGCGAGCGCGTGTTTTCTACTCCTTCTTTTCGGTTTGCATTCGTAAGTATGTTTGGTGTGCGTGCGGATGGATGTGGTGCGGGTGCTCGGGTTGGCGGACTTGGCATATGGGCATTTCGAACACCGCCATATTGTCGATGGCTCTCTGCACGGGCCTGGGTGATTGACAGGACAACAGCCGGCAGAAAGCAGCGAATAAGAAACGATAATATTTTACATCTTCGCCATGCAGTACCATCCTGCGCTCGACTCACAGCGGAGAGCCACTCAAACTGGTTATTTATGCGATTTGCGCATGGCAAAGATTAGCCATATACTCTTGGTTGCGCCTGTCGTCGAATGAAAAAGTGCAGACAAGTAATTCACCCAAAGTCGAAACGAAATGGATGACGCTTTGTTTGCTTGCTCTTCGGCTGCAATCACGCTTTGTCTTTTTGAATTCCTATTTTTTTGCATTCTTCAATGGAGTCAAGCGAGTCGTTTAAAACGAGTTTAAAGCAATATCGTGTCTTCGTCCTTTGCGCTAAATCAATTTACGAAACTGACGCATGCTAAGTGGCGGCTTTGCGGTGCAAAAGTATCGAACTAATAAAATGCTCATTTAAAGACCTTATTCCATCCCGAGTCCGATTTCACGTCTTGTCCGCATTCGACGGCGGAGAGATAATTGCGAATCCTTATTTCGAATGGAAATTCCATACGACACCGCGAGACCTAGGCTCGTACCTCGCTCCTCGGTGACTCTCGCCTTTTCCACTCTTTCTCATATTCCTCTTAATTTCTGTTGCGGCAAAGGTGGTAGTCGCATAGTCGTCGTCACCGTCGTCGTCTACGTTGAGTCCATCCCTCCTGCTCCTTTATTATTTAGCGCCGATCTGGCCGTCCTCTTTCGCCGGCCAGATTAAACGAGATTTACGAGAAACAGGTTGTACATTATGCAGAACCCACTTCTGCCCAATTACAAGAGCTACATAGGGACCTGTCACTTTAAATAACTCTTTCTCGATACACCACCGTACCTCGCGCGCCCCCGTGCGTTCTGCTCACACGGACACGGACGGCGAAAATTACCTCGATACGATGTTTCGCCAAACGGTGTTTTACCAGATGAGTGTATTTGTGTGCGTATACGCGCTTTGCGAAACAAAACACACGGGACGCATTTTTCCTACGCGCCGGATCGCAAACATCGTCTCATTGGCACATTACTTACCAGTTCGTTCGAAAAGTAACGGCCATGAAATTGTCGTTCGGGAATGGGGCTTCGAGAAGCTTGATGCACGAGCAGACGAGCACACGCACGCCGAATTCCCCTCGAACGCACATCGTGCTGGTTTAATCACCCAATAAGTCCGAAACGTACGCGCGTCCGTGTGTTTATTCAATATAATAATTAATTTTAATATTAAAACCGATGCGAATGAGTGGAACAGCTCCAACGGCTCGGGGAAACAAACGTGATCCTTTTAAATTCTCATTAATTTTACTCGCCACGAGTATAAAGCGCTGAATTTATTTATTTTTTCAAAATTAAACGCATGCCGCGATTATTTTATTTTTGCGCGCTTTACTGAAATAAATTACCCGACTAAAGGATACATTAAAGTATAAATTAATAACGGGCCGGTCATTTACGTCGATGTATCGTACAATTTAAGAGACAGGTGAATTTAAATTAAAAACTTCTCGTGCGAGTTCGTCATTAATGACGGAAAATTATAGCTTTAATTTATTTGTGTATATTTTATCATACGTTTCGTGCAACCACCCAACAGCGAACAAGGGTAAAAAGCATATGCCTATTTAACATTAAAATCTAATCAATGTTCAGATTCATTACGTATTTTATGGATTATTATAACATGAACAATTGTATATTGAATTCCTATTTTAAAAAGTACGTTAGTTTTGAGTAGACGCGCCATCTTGAAAGTGTCTATCTTGCTCCTATATTTATCTGTATTTCTAGTAAAAATAGTAAAATCCGAGACGTGCCCATGGTGAGTAAGGCATTCGTTTGTTCTGCAGAAGTGCAGAAGTAAAGGTAACCTACAACAACAACCACACCAATGCGAACTTTGCATTACACCGTGTTCAAGCCGCTCGGCATTTAAACGCATCAGATCAAATATAAACAACGCGCGCACACGCTCGCAGCATCGCCAGCGAGAGTGAAAGATTCACAATGCAATTTATATAATGCGCCTGCGTTCGTCATGCACCGCGCGCCGGCCGAAACAATGGCCCGAACCGGCAAGACAACCAGTATATCAAGCCGCGCAATAAATCCTACGGCTCCCGCTACAAAAACACGCATCTTTACCTATGCTAACATCCAGATTAATGCCTATGCCTGCTAGTCATTTGCATTATGTATGTTTATATATTTGTGCCTCCTTCTTCGCCGCGTGCGGCGATGAGGCGCGTTCGTGCTTCGTTCTTGCGCTCCGTCCATCCTGTTCCTGGGGCACGATGCATCTCGGAGTGCTGCCCGCCATGGCTTTGTGTTCGCCAACGGTGTGTGTTGTGTATATTGAGACATTATTTCTTAAATTATCGACTCCGCCAGCTTGTTGTATTTGCGCGGGCCCGTACAACTATATTCGAAATGCTCAAATGACGTACGCACAACGCAAAACACTTTGCATTAAATTTAAATGAATTATGTGCAATTACTTTTAAACATTTTCATTTAGAGCATCCATGATACATAGCGAGTAAATTGAATACATAGAATTCCGTTTTATTTATAATAATCAATGTAATACTTTTCTTTAAATATCTTTGATGATTTACTAACCAACTTAACTCGATCAAAAATTTTAATGCATTGCAACAATCTTCCAAATAATTTGCGACTCGCTAATGACCGCAGCACTTAGCGTCGTCGCATAGCATCAGCAATGCAGATTATGCATTTTCATCGATTAATTAAGCAAAATTTAAATCGAAACTCTTGCTACGGCGACTTAAAATTCCGTCTCGAACTGGTCGTTATTGTTGATGATTATTTATTGATGACTGCAGTGCAAAAACTTCGCGTTGAAATTAAGCGTTTTCCGTAACCTCCAGTCAACCGTCACTGTCTCATTTCTGCCAATGTTGTGTCGTAAATTACTCGACTTAATAAGCATTAGAATATTAATTATTATCTTAACTCGTTCATAAATTATCGCTTTTCCACTACTGTCGCTTATTGAGCGTATCCAACGTCTAACTTTTAATTAGTTGGTATCGATGCAGTCATTCAACGTCTTCACGAGATAAACCTTTTTTTACAAAGTTTCATATTTACGAAAATATCAATACGATGATATGTTGATGAGACTTGGCTCTTTTTGTTAACTTACATCTTTCTCCCTCTATCTCTTTCTCTCAGGTTTTTAAATCGCAACTCGAAGCGTGTGTACTTGAGTGTGTGCGGCTTGCTCAGTCACATGCATATAATCAATACAAATAGTGGTCGTTTGCATAATTCGGCGATAAAAGTCCGCACTGCTTTAGACTTCGGCGCGACATCATTGTCGCTGTCAATCTTATATCACGCGCTAACTGGATCCCGACTACCTCCGCATCTCTCCACCCGTGCACTGCTAATAAACATTTCGAATTCCATTACAATAAAGATACTTTAATTTGACGGTACTTTGTTTATGCGTTATTGACGCTAATGCCGTTGCGCGCAACGGGCACGCGAGTGGCTAAATGGGAATTATTGAAATTGGCTCTTATTGCCCTGGTTACGATGCCATCAAAAACAATTAATTGAAAATACTATTTAAAAATATAATGTTTGCACCTAAGTTTATACGCAGTTAGATCAGATAAATTGATTACATTTGAAAATAGTTTATTGATTCGTTTGGTGGTCGCAATTGAAGTGAAGCGGAGCATAAAGTTGTTGTAACGAGTCTCTTTGTTCGAGATTGTTTATTCCTTCGTATGCGCTTATAATAATCGCCGACGCGCGCGGAGACGGGAGACGACCCGTTTGCCGCCAATGCCGCGCCGCCGTCGCCGCCGCCGACGCCTCCGCAGGCGCGTTTCGATGTGGATGAGAGACGCCGGCGTCGCGCGAAATAATATACAGACGCCGCGCGTCCCTTCTTGTCTATTTCGGTTGTAAAGCAGCTGAGTTATTGTTTCAGAGTGTCATAGTTTTGATATACGGACCATCAGGAGCGCGGAACGTCGCTGGCTTTTTACTGCGCCCTTCCCCGCGCGCCACCCTTCAATTGTCCTTTCCCGTGGCACTTTAGTGATATATGCTTCATTAGTCATAGTTTCCTACAGTCGCAATTTATAGACGTTCCAGAATAAACACGAATATTGAAATTTCCATAAATTACGTCTAAACGACGCGCACGCAAAAAACATCGAGCGATGTGCCACGAAATGACGACGAGCCTACAGACGTTGGAGACTTTAATTTATGTGTTTGTACTTTTTTCAGTGGGTGGCTGCGTTTTTTTTCTGCATGGTGATAGGTGATAGGCTTGGGTTCATTCGAACAACAAGGAATTACCTTCATCAACTTGCGATTACCGCGAATTAGTCTTCCCTTTCGTCCGATCGCTGCTGGTTCATCATTCCACTTCGAATTGTTTGACCACAGGATTTGTTTGCGGTAAAGTGTGGAAAAAAGGTTTATTTCATACAAATGAACAGAAAAATGTTTGCCAAGCTTTATTTTACACACAAAGCATGGAAAGCTTACAGAATTACCCGTTTTATGATCATTCAACAACTTTCTTGTCTTTAGTCTCCTGGTACATATTAAATATTTTTGAATTAGTGTATGTAGCGCACTCTACTGTTTAGAAGTAGGACTTATCGGATGGAGATTGGCTAGGTCTACATTTAGCAGTAGTTCACAACACCTTTATAAAATTCAATTTATATTCGTTCAAGCTATACATAAACTGCAATAATAGTTATCAAACCATATTTGAAGGTTCTTAAGGTTACTAATTTAGTTTTTAAAACTAAAATAATATTTTGTATGTATTTACTGAAAAAAAAAGGATTTTATAGTTAATCTAAAATATACATGTATTTTCAATTATTTTCATAAGATTAACTACTTCTGATAATCCTATATTATTTAGATGCAAATTTAAGAGTGTCAGTCATAAAATTGTAACGCTACAATAGATTTAAGAGGCATTATCAACTGCCTGCAATTGTCCAAATATCTACAATTGTACTGCTTACTGCTTAAGTTTCTACACTGTACCATATTGTTGCGAACTTACGTGTGTTCCGTGCAATCATTGCGCGCGCACACTCATCAAGGCGCAAGGCGCATTCAACGCACGCGGCTTCATTCGGATTCAGTCACTATAGTCAACACTATAGATGCGCATGTTTTGCGTCGCGCCACCTTACTTCTTGTGACTTAGATTCCTGCAATAATAGTAACTCGCTTGATAATCTAATTCAGTTAATTGTTAGATTTGACCCAGTATCGATGGAATGTTGCCATGCGAGTAGGGCATCAGTTCTCCATCTATTCGCTGGTAAGATTATAATTGAATTAATATTTGATTTAATAATCTTCGTATGTGCTCCTGGGTTAATGATCCTTTAATTGAAGCAGCCCTCGTGAAAATTCTGTTCATTGACTTGCATGGCAAATTTTATCGGATACTCATATTGGAATTGTGTTGGTTTCCTGCTCTCTGCGCTAAACGGTGTCAGTATGAAAACAACTTTTTATGGCGTTTTATCTCTTGCAATGTCCTCTTGTCATTGAAGTGTTCGAGTGCAGTACGAGTAGGAGTTGCAGTGTACGTACACAGTAAGCCGAGAATGAATTTAACAATTTTAAACTTAATATTTTTAAATGAGTGTTTACTTTCTTTCTTTCTGTTAGGGGCAGGTTAATGTTCTTTTCATATTTGTATAACATGAGAGTTGCTTTAGGCAATGAGCTATTGCTGCCGCCCAAAATAAGGCTCGAATTGTCTTAACATTGCTTCCTAATTCCATTTTGTTGGATTCAAGGTGAATATCCCACATTTTCTTGGGATTATATCACTTAAGTGATCTTTTCATATACTCGTAACATTTCATTCTTTTTCAAATGTCAACTTTCTACATTTTAAATTATTTAATATTATACAAATCCTGTTGCTTTGTGTTTCAGCTTACTATGGCTAAGGGAATAGTTTGTCACAATGGACGGGTTCGACAAAAATTATTTCCTTTATTTCTCTTATATTCTTCTTCTCGGGAGATTACCGGATTTCCTTCAAAATGTAAGTAATGTTAAGTCTCATTTCTGGAACATGACCAATTGTATTTTAAAACTGTTTTTAGATTTAACTTCTTAACTAGACTTTACGGAGATCTGGAATCAACAACAAATATAAGCACTAGGTATATCGGGCAGACAGTATTTCATGTTGAATAGTGTCAAACCTGTATTGGGCTTAAAAAAAGAGTCCTGAAACGTGGACAGATATATATGATTAATGTAATAAGCGTCAATGACTATGTCAAATGTGTATATTTATGTATATTGTAGTGATATCCTTAGATTGTGGATAGTAAGTACCCAAGGGAAGTAGTTATGTCTAGTATTACATTTGTTTGTTCCTTGTAGTTATTTCGTATCATATAACTTCCGTGACATTGTGAAAGTAGTGTTGTATTTGTACGTTTAAATTGTTATCCTTGCAAAATTGTATTAATTTATGGTTTATCTGGGTGCGCGTGTCCGTTGGCAATCAGTTATTGTTTCCCACATAAGAATAACTTGGATTTATAATTAATTCCTGCAAATGGACAACTTTAATGCACAGACAAAAAGTTTGTGAGTGCACGAATGGAATTTGCAATATCTCATACCTGATGTCGTAGGATAACCGTTTTTCACCAAATTGTAAGTATTAAAATTCTTTATCATTTTCAATTATAATTCGTGGGTTTATCCTTTGGGGAACCTAAGAAAATGCCCTTTGCGTGTTTTTCGATCCTCTAATTTTTATGGTTTTAGGTGTCTAGCGGGCGAACCTTATGTCTTAGGACAACCTCTTTTTTACCAAATTATAGGTATGAAAATTCTTTATCATTTTCAATTATAATTTGAGGGTTTATACCTTGGGAAACCAACGAAAATGCTCTTTTGTGTTTTTTGATCCTCTAATTTTTATGGTTTTAGGTGTATAGCGGGCGAATCTTATGTCGCAGGACAACCGTTTTTTCACCAAATTGTAAGTATTAAAATTCTTTATCATTTTCAATTATAATTTGAGGGTTTATACCTTGGGAAACCAACGAAAATGCTCTTTTGTGTTTTTTGATCCTCTAATTTTTATGGTTTTAGGTGTATAGCGGGCGAACCTTATGTCACGGGACAACCACATTTTCACCGAATTATAGGTATTAAAATTCTTTATCATTTTCAATTATAATTTGTGGGTTTATCTCTTGGGAAACCTACGAAAATGCCCTTTTTCTGTTTTTTGATACTCTAATTTTTATGGTTTTAGGTGCCTAGCGGGCGAACCTTATGCCGGAGGACAACCGTTTTTTCAGCAAATTATAGGTATGAAAATTCTTTATCATTTTCAATTATAATTTGTGGCTTTATACTTTGGGAAACCTGCGAAAATGCTCTTTTTGTGTTTTTTGATCCTCTAATTTTTATGGTTTTAGGTGTATAGCGGGCGAACCTTATGTCGTAGGACAACCGTATTTTCACCAAATTATAGGTATTAAAATTCTTTATCATTTTCAATTATAATTTGTGGGTTTATCCCTTGGGAAACCTACGAAAATGCCCTTTTTCTGTTTTTTGATACTCTAATTTATATGGTTTTAGGTGTCTAGCGGGCGAACCTTATGCCGGAGGACAACCGTTTTTTCAGCAAATTATAGGTATGAAAATTCTTTATCATTTTCAATAATAATTTGTGAGTTTATACTTTGGGAAACCTGCGAAAATGCTCTTTTTGTGTTTTTTTGATCCTCTAATTTTTATGGTTTTAGGTGTATAGCGAGTGAACCTTATGTCGTAGGACAACCGTATTTTCATCAAATTATAGGTATTAAAATTCCTTATTATTTCAATTATAATTTATGGGTTTATCCCTATTGATACCTACGAAAATGCCCGAAAAGTACGATAGTTTAACTGTTTCAATTAAACAAACATACTTTCTGTTATTGCGTTGTTGTTTTCAACTTACGAACATGGATTGTTGCCCCTCTAACTGTGGGTCAATTATCAATTCTCGTTCTTGTTTAGTCCGGCTTAGTCGTTCCTGCGCCGTGGTGTGGTGTACACGTGTTTTCTTCATGAATCAAACTTTGTGACAATTGTTAGCGTTACTACAGATTTTAATTCTGTAATTGAACTAGAATTGGTCGACATTTAGTACTCGTAATAACAGACCAGTGTGGTAGTTATTTGTGGGACGTGCGTGGTGGCCGTCGGATAAGTACGTTTGCGTGGCTAAGCATATTTGTTGTTCAGGTATTTAATTTATGTGATTGCACGCTGCTGTCTTTATCAATCGTGGATTAATTCACCTGTGCGTGTCCGTTGGCAATCAGTTATCGTTTCGCACATAAGAATAACTTGGATTAATAATTAATTACTGCAAATGTACAACTTTGATGCTCAGACAAAAAAGTTTGTAAATGCACGAATGGAGTTTGCAATATCTATTGCTGAAGTGTTGGAGATGTGCATATTTTAAGGCATGTTTTGACTACTCCCGAATTTACTAGCTGTCGATATTTTTTTATTTATAAAATGTATCTATTATTATTGTTCTCAATAAAAAACTATGTAAAATTATGTACACAATGTAAAGTTATAATTTCATGCATATTTCTTTATGGTATCCTCTTTGTCGTTTCCAGTATTGACGTCGTAAGTCATGTTTCCTATAAGTCTTATGCGCGTGGAGCGAGAGCAGCATAGTTGAGCTGTGTTGTTGTTTTTAAAAAGTTGAATCAAGTAAAAACATAAATAGAAGAATCAAATATTAATGATAAAAACACTCGGTGGTCGAGTGGGTACGTGCACCTGCTAGCATGCTAGTAGACACGGATCGAATCTCAATTGTAGAAGGCATTTTTCTCAAATATAAAAATTACAGGTGTAATTTGGGTTGCATATATGAATTGCAACGAAATATAAGAGAAATTGAAATACAAGTGAAGCAATATGAGAAATAAGAAAGCAGCAAGTGGAGGAACAGAGAAATAGAAGAAGAAGAAGAAGGAGTAGTAAAGAATAGGAGAAGATAGAAGGAAGAGAACAGAGAGTAGAGTAGAGAAGAGGAGGAGATAGAGGAAAGAGCACAGGAGTGGATCAGATTTTTAAATTTTTTGGCACGTGTCGTTATAAGACAGTCTACGCCCACTGCTTCGATGCGTCTATTGCTCCCGGCCCAACCTACAGCTACGATGTCTCTGCGCTTCATCCCCGAAATTATCAGGCATATCAACAATTTTTATGGTGGGGGATCACCCCCAGAGAGAGGGAACTCCTTATAAGGACAATCCTTATAAGGTCTTGTAAAAATATTTCTAAGTTTTAAGTCGCCTCAAGAGAGGTGACACTTAAAAATATTCTTACAAGTTCTCACCTGTAGCTGAAATGAAAGAAGGAGCACACAAATCACACAGGATACCTTCACAATTTTTATAGTGGGGATCATCCCCTGAGAGAGGGAACTCTCTTAGAGACCTGTTCCTGAAATGATAGAAGAGGTACACAAATCAAAGAAGTCAATATATTTTACTATTTCTTTATTAACAATAGAATACAAGTTTATATTTTACAAGTCAACAGAGTACATGTCGCCATATTGAAACAGGACTTACGACCTGCATAGCCGCGCACATGCAAGCAAGTTACACTTCGCAAAGTACTACCGGGATAATGAAATTAGAAAATCGCTAAATTTTCTATGTGATTGAAAATGAAAACAAATATACAGAGTGTTACAAAAGGAAAATTTAAAGTGCAAAGAAAAAACTTTCAACACTACAAACGCCGCTCGTTTGCACTCGATGGTCAGGAAAACTAATATACAGGGTGTTCCAGAAAGAAAATTCAAAGTGACAGAAGCTAAAATCTAATAAAAGTCAAAGTTAAATTATCAAGGATGTGAAGGAAAACGATTATACAGGGTGTCACAAATATAAAATTCAACGTTCAAAGACGAAAGCATTTAAACACTACAAATATTGCTAGTTTTCAACCGATGCTCCGGAAAACTAATAAACAGGGTGATACAAAATGCAAATTCGAAGTGCAAAAAAGACCGCCTTAAAACAGCGGAAGCAAAATTTTCACCGACACAAAGAAAATCAAATATACAAGGTGTTCCAGAAAGAAAATCCCATGTTGAAAACAAAGAACACTCAAAACTCACAAATATAGGCGATTTCCTGCGTACTTTTGGAAAAACTTGTATACAGCGTGTTACAAAAAAAAATTGAAAAACTACAAATATGGTCATAAAATATATATATATATATATACAACAAAGAAAAACGAATATACAGAGTGTTACAAAAAGAAAATAAATTGTTCAAAGAAGGAAACAACAACTGGAATAACAAATTTAGAAAACTTATAATAGGAAATCAAGAAAAACAAACATACTGGGTGATACAAACAGGATATTCCTAAATTTAAAAATAAAATACAAAGTTTAAGTAGAAAATGACCCGGATACGACAAATTGTCACTTTTACATTAGAAAGCAAGGAACAGTAATACATAAGGTGATACAAGAAGAAAATCGCTACCTTTAATAAGAAAATTCAACATTTTCCATGCTTGGAATTAAATTCACGATTAGAGAGGGTGACATAACGAAAATACAATTACATTTTAATTTAAGAATAAAGAGCTAGAAGAAAAATCCAAGAAAATTTAAACTAATACCTATTTCTTTCAGAATACGAGTCAAGCAATGGAAAGGTAGGGAAGCTATATAATAAATAAAACATCAATATGAATTTTATCTCAATCTCGAAATTATCTTTGCGTCTTTAAAGAATATATTACTCGCAATAATTAATTGCCAAACTAAGAAAATACGTCAACGAACATGCAGAATTATGAAATAAAAAGAAAATGCGAGCAATTAAAAATTCACGTTATTAAACTGATGATTGACATGACCATACTCTGCGGGTAGATCGAAGTCGCATCCGACGGCACGCATCAATTTTGTGTAATTACGGTACACACGTCACATGTGATTTAAGATAAATATGTAATTATGATGTTATAACTTATACAAACTTACCAGTGCATCAGGTAATCAAAAAAAGTACTGAAACAGAAAAAAACACGTGTGTGAGAACTCGCACTATAATGCACACTTCTTTAAAATTTTTGTCGAATAATGAACATGTACTATTTTAACACACAATTTTCCCGGAATATCCTGCCAAGGATAGCCGTTAATTACACTTACATAAAATTACGAATAGGATACATATTTCTAATTCCAATTCTCAGCATCGAAATAATTCAATAATAACGCCCACACATGTAAACACGAGTTTTATAATCATTATATGCGCAAATCATCCTTAGCAAAACACTCTACATGTCTGTTGTCACTAGGTGCAGTTATTAATGCTGATTTTTAATAAATAATAAAATGTAATGTAATCGGAATGAAAGAAAGAATGATGCCGAGCCGCGTGCAGGTAAGAACAGACTGAACCGGTCGAACGTTCGTAGCGTGAGGCAGCATTACGTTTATAGCGATATAAAAACTTGTTTATACACAAACCCCGATAAGCGTGTAAAATTGAAATAGAACATTTCTGATATGCACTAAAATAAAATAAAATATAATATTTCATTACATCAGTTGTAAATTTCGGCGCATTCGGTTCGCGTATTATACTAACGAAACTACAATTCCTAGCGCAACAAGTACTACAGCGCACACACACGACTTTCAATATAACTCGCGTTACGGAATTTTCTCGCTATAAATTTTGATACAGGGCGATATAGAATTAAAATATGCATCTAGAAAAATTATTCCAAACTTAGTCTGACACCGCGTTCACGTGTTATACTAAAAAACTACAATTCCTAGCGCAATGAGTACTACGGCGCACACACACAGATTTAAATATAACGCGCGTTACGGAATTTTATCGCAAGAAATTTCAATACTGGGAGATACAGAATTAAATTCCACGTCAAGAGAAATTATTCCGAACTTAGTTTAAAGCCGCGTTCGCGTGTTATACTAAAAAAACTACAATTCCTAGCGTAAAGAGTACTAGTGCGTATACACACAACTATCAATATAACTCGCGTTACGGAATTTTCTCGCAATAAATTTCAATACAGGGAGATACAAAATTAAATTCTGCGTCAGGGGAAATTATTCCGAACTTAGTTTGACGCCGCGTTCTCGTGTTATACTGAAAAAAAAAACTACAATTTCTAGCGCAACGAGTACTAGTGCGTATACATACAACTATGAATATAACACGCGTTACGGAATTTTCTCGCTATAAATTTCGATACAGGGAGATACAGAATTAAATTCTCCCTCAGAGGAAATTATTCCGAACTTAGTTTGATGTCGCGTTCGCGTGTTACACTAAAAAAAAAAACTACAATTCCTAGCGCAACGAGTACTACAGCGCACACACAACACCACTTTCAATGTAACTCGCGTTACGAAATTTTCTCGCAATAAATTTCTATACAGGGAGATACAGAATTAAATTCCGCATCTAGGAAAATTATTTCGAAATTATTGTGAGACCGCATTTGCGAGTTACACTAAAAAAAACTACAATTCCTAGTGAAACCAGTACTACGGCTCACACACACACAACTTTTAATATAACTCGCATTACGGAATTTTCTTGCAATCAATTTCTATACAGGGATATACAGAATTAAATTCTGCATCGCGGTGGAACGGGAAAAAAAACTACGTAAATAAACTTATGTACGACGCAGGAATTAAAATAAAAAAGATAATTAAATTATAAACATACCAATACAGATCACATCGTACTCCAAGGCACGGCAAATACTGAAAATAAGAAAAGAAAACATTATATTCATGTAATATTATATTCAAACAGCGGAGAAACGGTCGCGAAGTCGGCGCGTCGACGGCGCGCGACCATGAGCTCGCGCTCGTGCAATTCGCATTGCATTTGGCACGTTACCTACAATCGAAACTGAAATATGATGTAGCAATAAACGGCGTGAGGTGATGACAACGACGACACACGGCAATGCGATAAGAAAGTGTGAATTGTGTTCAAAACAAACACAAGACTCGTGTCGATTGCTCACGAATTTTGGGCCACGCTAGGGCCATCTATGAATGATACAGTAGTTTCAAAATTTAGATTATTAAAAAGTAATGAAAAATTTGATTTGTGTAATTCTGATTTCTTATGCTGACAGAGCCAGATTTTACATAAAATATTTAAGTGATATCTGCTTAAGTGATCTGCTAATAATAAAAATGTTTTGCTGATGATGATTTTCATAATAAACTATTACACCTAATGTAAAATTGTAAGTTATATTCATGATTAACGAATTGAAGAATACTAGCTTAAATTTACGATGGCAATATAAACTACAACGATGTGATGTCTGCAGGTAAAAAAATTTATCTCTTGTGCGAATTCGCGTGGTCGCACACGGACACGGTGTGCACTCACTACCACCGACAAGCTATATTTAATGCGAAAACGTGCATCGTAGTGCCATCTAACCGACTATTAAGCCCAAAGGCACCTCCTAAAGCAGCAACATGGCAGCAATATGCATCTGATTGACCTAGCGACCGACAACGTCACACAAAAAACAGAAAAACCTCAGCAATCTTATAATTTGAAATATTAACATCAAAAACGAGCAAAAAAATAACATTGTTAAATTGGATATCTATATATACTTGATAATTTATTTCCACGATTTCCGACAGTGTAGTTTAGTTTAGTTCTAAACTAAAAGAGATATCAACCAGAAAATTGTAGATTATGGAAGGCTGGAAAATTCTCTACCAGATAAAAATATATTATAATTATACTTCCAACAGTAAAAGGTCAAAAAAAGCCACTAAAAGTACTAGAAAGTGACATTTTTCAATTTTTGCCCATTTTATTCAATCGCGAATATCTCGTAAACTAAAAGAGATAATTAAGATCCGACCGCAGCGTCTTAATCTACGGACTATTCTCTACAAGATATGCTAGTTAAAACGGAAAGAGACAGCTGCCAACAAATTACTGATTATGAAAGATAGTCACTTCTACCGCTGCCCTTGTACGGTGCCCTGAACACGAGTCATTTCTAGCGCTACCCTCATACGGTGCCCAGAATACGAGTCACTTCTACCGCTGCCCTTGTACGGTGCCCTGAACACGAGTCACTTCTACCGCTGCCGTCATACGGTGCCCTTAACACGAGTCACTTCTATCGCTACCCTCATACGGTGCCCTGAACACGAATCACTTCTACCGCTACCATCATACGGTGCCCTGAATACGAGTCACTTCTACCGCTACGCTCCTACGGTGCCCTGTACACGGGTCACTTCTACCGCTACCCTCATACGGTGCCCTGAACACGAGTCACTTCTACCGCTACCCTCATACGGTGCCCTGAATACGAGTCACTTCTACCGCTACCCTACTCCGGTAAACCGAATGAGACTCAACTATACAATTGCGATTAATTGCAATATAACTAAATAAACAAGAAAAAATCAACGTTCTTGACATATTCGAGTCAATAAACGATAATAGTGCACATCTTTTAAACTAAAAGCAATGGAGACCAACGGATTGAAAGTTATGAAAGATTAGAAAATTCTGCATTAGATAAGAATTTAAAATTATTTACTTTCGTGGGATAAAAGGACGATAAATGTGACTAAAAGTCCAATTTTTCTTTTTTGAATTGCGAATATCTCCTAATTGTGTCCGACCGTGCCGGTCGTCTAGTTTGTGTCACCGGTAGGCAGGGCTGTCGAGCGTCAACGCGGGCCCCGGCAATCGTTAATTTTTTTTGCAAATTTTTTTCTGCTTGCAAATTAAGAGGGTACAGCCGGGCCCTTGGAAACTTATCCCAATTGACCCCCCACCCCTTTCATTGGCTCTGCAGGTAGGTAGTACGTGATAAATAGAAAACTTGTTTATAAACCGCAAATGTAAATTTGACGGAAAAAGATAGGATAGAAGAATAGATAATTGAATTATAAACTTACCAGTGTACAGCTTATCAGACCGCCAGGCACAACGAATGCTGTAACTAAACGAAAACATAAATTAAAACAAAAATATTTCATACAATTGCATTATGTTATAATTAACAATCAACACAAAATAAACAATCTGTGCTGTTTAGTTAAAAAAATAGTTACAGGAGTCTGAAGGATCTTTCATAATGATGAGAATCAACATGGGGGCGATATATATCCGATTAATTTAGTAACCAAAACCCAACACAACGCCGAGTGAATAATGTTATCAAATCCACTAACACGTGACTTGTAATAAACATAACAAACGCGATCAAAAACCGGCGTTTCCGAACAAAATTTAAAATAAATTAATTTATTGGGGTTAAAGGTCTAAAAACGCGACTAAACGTGCTAAAAATTGCAATTTTTCAATTGCGAATATCTCGTAAACTAAAAGAGATAGAAAGGAACGATTCGCAGAGTATTAATCTACGGATAATTCTCCATGAAATAAGCTAGCTAAAATGAAAATTTAAGAAATGAAATTTTAATTCATTTGAAAAAAATGTGCAAAATCGTGAAAGTTTGCGAGGAAATTTATGGCATTTCCGACGTAATCTTGGGTAGTTGCAAGGGCGCATCTTATAAAATGACTCTCGCATTATACAAATTGGAAAAAATCATGCAAATCGCATGAACGGTTCGCGAGAAACAGCCAAATTTCCACCGAGTGTTTCGAAAATTCATTGAAATCGTAAAAGTTTGAGAACGATTCTATGGCACTTACGACGTGATTTCGGGGGGTTACAAGAGTACATCTTATAAAATGACTCTCGCCCTATGCAAATTTGAAGAAATCATCCAAATCGCATAACGACTCGTGAAATACAGCCGAATTTCCACCGTGTGTTTCAAAAATTCACAAAAGTCACAGATGTTTGAAAGCCAATAGAAGGCACTTCTAGCGTGATTTTGGGGGACCGCAAGGTCGCCTCTTAAAGAATAACTCTCGCACTATCTAAATTTGAAAGAATCATTGAAATCGCATAAACCCCGAGATACATCCAAATTTCCACTGCGTGTTTCAAAAATTTACAAAAATCGTAAATGTATGCGAAATATTTTAAGGCACTTTTCGCTAAATTTCTGGGGGCGGCTATATCGCATCATATAAAATACCTCTCGCGCGATGTAAATTTTTAGAATCATTGAAATCGCACGAATGGTTCCGAGATACATTTCCACCGCGTGTTTTAAAAATTCTCGTTGAAGAGCGAATTTAAGGCACTATTAGCGATATTTACGGTGACGCAAATCTCTTAATCTCTTATGTATCATCATTATGTAACATCTCTTGTTTTGCATACTCGTATTTAGATCGCGCGAGAGTTGTTGGTAACGAATGTAACGATACACCGTTGTTACCCCCAAAAATACGCCCAAATTAGGAAAAAAAAAACCAATTGTGTATATTACATGCTCTACTGTAAACATTGTAAACGGTACGAAAACAGTGCAAGAGGTGGACGCCATATAAAAGTTGTTTACACACAACTGATAAGCGCGGAGGAGAAACAAAAACAAATACCTACATTGTGGGAACCGGATAAATTTCGCGAAGTTGAAATAAAGCATGGAATTGATAGTTAATTTTCTCGATCGCACACAAGATTAAAGAGCAATATAATAACGCCCTATTGTATAGGTGACGGTGTTATAAAGATTTTATTTTAAAATGCGAAAACAAATGATAAATGTTAATTCAAACTTACCAATGCGTCGATGGTGAACTGTATCTGATGTCCCATGTGGTTGGCAGCAGCCACAAGCTGGTGGATCATGAGTACACGATACCATTAAAACGCCCTGGTCACTATAACTTATTATTAATTACGATCGATGGAAATCAAATAATATTCACAAGAAATATGGCGCCGCGTCGCGAAAAACGTACACGGTCAACCGGTGACTACGCGACCACGCTACGCTAACAGCTCACGATCCTCACGATGCATGCTACGACACGATAAGATCAACTCGACTCGACTTAAACCGCGTGCGCGAAAGAATAAACTGACCCCTCGCGGATATATTACTGCGCAGTAAGGTGTAATCACACGGTGCAATGTAATGCGTATATAGTCTACATTCAATGCACTAACTACTATATGCTAACTACAATCCAAAATGTACAGTGATGGCATGTTTATGCATTTGTCTGTTATAGACACGATACTTTGTTATGCCGACGTTGACAATTTAATATCATCCCTACACCACAATAAGTTTGTATCTTGTACTACCACATAAATAATGTGTAAACTTCAAATATAAATTTGTTTTATGCCAGCCTAATATAGGCAACTAAATTTACACATCGCCTTTACGGCTGAGTTTGCCGTACGTATGATATTTGTAAACACTACACATCTGTCAAGCTGTCATTATAGCTTGCTGATAATAAATTTATTTGTTTAATAGTTTCCACCATTAATTTCGTTTTAATCAAATGCCGTTTGATAACGATAGTGTTAAGCATTGCAGTTGTTCGTAAAATGTCCATAGCATTCGGTCGTAAAAAGCATGTAAAAATAAAATCAAATTGCTGTGCACATTCCTTTAGTTTATTGTTTATTTGAACCAAACATTTATCCTAATAAGATGTGGATAAAACCATCAGAAGTTCTGTTGGCGAACGCCTTATGGTAATTTAATAATAACTATTAGCATTGTCACCATTGACATGATCTGATAATTTCGTTATTAACACATTGTAGGGAGACTGAGCAATACACCAAGTATTTCATTCTACAACATCGTAAAGGACATGGGGAATCCAGAGGATTGTCTTCTTTGTTGGTTGGTACTTTTGATAGTATTTTTGATACTAAACCAGCACCATATCGAATTCTTCACCAGACCCCTACATCAGAAGTTTATCATGGTATGCACTAATTTTAAGTTTTTCTTTTGAATTTTACAATTAATTTTATTTAAATAGTAGTAGTTCAATTAATAAATAATTTAAATGTTGCCTCATGGTGTATTATATATTAATTTTCATGGATTAACTTAGCAATTGCAATGGGGAGGACCCATGAAGAAATTGTTCAAGATTGGAAGTGGGTGCAGGACAATCTGCAAGCAACTCTGGCTGCATTTGAAAGAGAAGATGATATTACAGACTTTGTCACTTGCAAGATTCAGTCTTTGTTAGCAACACATGATCCTCTTTTAGATGGTAAGTCTGGTATTATCATGTGTCCACTAATTCTAAATTTAAAAAATTGTAGTGGATGAAGACACAAAAAAGTTCAAAAATACATCAGACAAGTTTCATCGCCATTTCAATATTCCACAAGATGAGAAATTGGTGAATTATTATTCATGCAGGTATATCTATTTATAAAATATATTTTCCTTTGTTGATTTTTGTTATCATAAGGTTTTGTTTTTGTTATCACTTGATTGGCATGCATAAACAAGCTTCCATGATTCATTGTCCTAAAAGTTATGTTCCCTGACCTTGTATTTTGATAATTAATTAAATAAAAATTACAGCTATTGGAAAGGTAAATTACCGCGCCAAGGTTGGCTGTACTTATCAGTGAACTATTGTTGCTTCCATGCTTTAATCTTGGGCGTGGAATCGAAAATATGCTTGCGATGGATGGAAATTGTAGATCTCAGCAAGACGAATAGTCTGCTTTTTCCTGATTCCATCAAGGTTTCAACAAGACAAAAAGATTACCATTTCAGTCTTTTTGTGAATAAAAACGACACTTTCGGCTTGATGGAGCAGCTTTTGGATATGGCAATGAAAGGTTTGATTGATGAAAAAGGCACTTATAATGAAGACAAGGAACTTCGATTAAAGATTAGGTAATAATACTATATAAGACATTTTCATCCAAATAAAATGATTAATACTTGCAGCAAGAATGTGCCAAAAAAGGCGTCGTTTATGAAACGCGACTTGGACGCGCGTGCAAAGTCAGAATCATATCGTCTATTGTTTCGATTACCTTCCAACGAAAAACTGGACGGGTGTATAGACTGCACCCTGTTTACCCCATACAATAAACAACATGTCTCCGGATGTCTGTTCCTCTCTCAAAACTACATTTGCTTTGAAAGCCGGGTAAGCGTAAGTGTAGTTTGATGTTGTTTTTGTTTATTTGAATAGTTACGTTCTGGTTTTTGTTTCGAATGAATTTTGTGCATGCTATATTTTATAGTATTCATTAACTATTAGCTGTCTTTATGAACTGCAGGTGAGAGATCAAGTGAGTGTCGTCATTCCGCTTCGCGATCTCCAATCAGCGGAACGAACCGATAATAATGCATCGAACACGTCCCTGAATAAAGCAATAATTATCATTCTGAAGTCCCGCTTACCGCACTACAGCGAACACAATGAGAGTAGCTTCTTGTTTGCTCAAATACAAGATAGAGATTTTCTTATCAACAAAATATCAGAGCTCCTTAGCAGAAATATTTCGTAAGTAACTTTTACATATTGTTGTTGGTGTTGAGATTTGATATTTGTGAATAGTTTGGGGTACTACAGCTCAACTCCCCAAGACTTGGGGGATGGCGATAAACCAAGCTGGAAATTTGAACCACCATTGATGACGGTCTTTCCTCTGAGCCCCATTCCCGAAGTGAATCATGTACAGGTAGAAAAGATCAAATCGTGGGAGAGCCATTTTAACAAGTATGGACGCGGAATTTCCATGTATAAAACTTCGGAACTTGTCAATTTGGTATATGAGGGCATACCTGATGTGTTACGCATGGAAATCTGGATGTCCTTTTCGGGAGCAGCCAACAAAAAGGCCACCCATCCGGGTTACTACAGAGATCTTGTTGATCGCGCTTTGAACAGACATTCCCTGGCAAATGAAGAGATTGAACGTGATTTGCATCGTTCGCTTCCGGAACATCCTGCATTCCAAGACAAACGCGGCATTGACACTCTTCGACGAATTTTATGCGCTTATGCACTACGCAATCCTAACATTGGTTACTGCCAAGCGATGAATATAGTCGCCTCGGTGTTGTTGATCTACTGCGCTGAAGAGGAAGCGTTTTGGTTGCTCACTACTTTATGTGAGAATTTACTGCCGGATTATTACAACACTCGCGTGATTGGAGCTGTTGTAGATCAGGGTATTCTTGATGGTCTTGTTGCTGAACATTTACCAAGCTTACATAACAAAATTAATCAACTGGGTATGATCAAGATGATCTCGTTATCGTGGTTCCTGACAATTTATTTAAGCGTGATGCCTTATGAAAGTGCCGTGAACATAATGGACTGTTTCTTCTACGATGGCGCGAAGATTATCTTTCAAACGGCGCTAATGGTGCTAGAGTGGAATGAGGATGGTTTGATGGAGTGCAAAGATGAGGGCGAGGCAATGCAAAAATTGGGAGATTTTTTATTAGGTGTTTTCAACACTGATGGAAGAGGTGCCATACGGAACAGGAGCTACGAGGAGCAGCAGCGTTCTATGTCTATTCAAACATTGATCAATAAGGCGTATTTGAATTACGGAAAGATTACCACTGGCCAAATCGAACAACTGCGAGTTAAGCACAGATTGAAAGTTGTACAGAACTTGGAAGATGCGTTTGAGAGTCATGTTATTCGTTGCGTGTCTGATTGTTATATGTCACAGCAAGAGCTTCGTGATTTGTTAGGGGTAGTACGAGAAGAGTTGATAAGTCAGAAACGACCGATGCCTGAGAAACACGACCCGTCCCAACAACCGTACGAATGTTATCAGGTGGACTTTGAGTATTTTAAACTTTTGTTTGCGGCGCTTTCTCCATGGGGCGAGGGAGAACAGGCAGAAGTGCTTGCAGCGCGCATATTTTCGGTATGTACGTTTTTAATATAGAAAATATCATATAATTTGTCAAATTGGCTTTTCTCAGTTGCTGGACGAAAACCGTGATGGATTTTTAAACTTCCGTGAGCTAGCATTTGCCATTGGCAGTACAAGTGTTGCTGAACCAGCGCAGAGATTAAAGTTATTATTTGCAATTCATCTCCCACCGATTTTAACAATGAGCGATATTGAATCGCCGCAGAAGACAGAAGAAGGCCATGAAATTGCGTCTGAAGCAACCGATTTCTTTGATAGTGTCGAAGCTAGCGCACCGGATGTACCAGGACATCACTCTCCCGATGACCATTTGGCCTCAAGCGCAAATCCGCAATACAATTTTCAGTGAGTACTAACCGACTTTTAAGCATTTCCATCTTGTGATCTTATTCTTATCGCCTCCCAATTCGGCTCAGGACAGTCTGGTATTTCTTCGCAATCGTGCAACTACAAAATTTTAAGTTAAACGAGAATTACAAATAGAATACGATATCTACCGGAAAGATTCTTCTCTCTAATCTTCTTTGTGCTTGTTTTTTATTAATTTTTTTCTTGCGCAAATCTTTACAAACGTAAACACGCGGTTCAGATCTCATCGGTATTGGCGGTAAAGGCCAGAAAAAGCCACAACAATTATCCTTAAATTGTTCCCAAAAACTGCAGAGCCTACAAGACTTCTCTGTTACTACGCTAGGTTGGCACACCGGCTTGGGAGGACACGGTGGACAAATTAACTCATAGTGTATCGAGTTTGGGGGTTTATACCAATCGCAATAACGAATAGGCCGATAGACGTGATGTAGACGATTAAATTGCTTCACTGGTTGAATGTTTTTAAAAAGAGCCCTGCTAACCATCTTAAATGTATTCGATAGAAAATGAAATAATTTTGAATTGTACTTGCCTAAAAAATAATTTTATCATAATGACATATATGGGATTGTCTACAGCCTACTTTTATTTTCTAGGAGATCATTCGATTCGCAGTCTTCAGTAGAGAGTCAACAAACAGAAACAAAGTTCGAAAAGAGTATGAGCATCCTACGAAATCTCGTAATGTCGAAAGATAGCACCGGAAATTTCAAGGTAGTACCTTGGATGACTCAAGCACACTTTATCACACTTTGGAGAATGGTGTACTACATTTTTGATTGTCAAAACGATGATGATGTAAGTATACCAAATAACATCAACAAAATACGGAAATTAAAAAAAATCTCACCATTAGGACGTATGCAATGACATTGCGGCAGCAGCAACGGTCCTTTTCGAACTAGGCGACGTCAGTAAACAATTCTTTATCACACGCGATGAATCTGATGACAGTTTAGCCTCCGCCGCGGCTGCGTGCAGCTCAACTCTTCTCCTGGACGGCTCACCGGACAAAAACGGCAATCCACAAACGCCGTCGGAGATCACCTGGTACATCACCATTCAGCAATTCCTGGCGACTGTACTCAACTCGCCACCGCTCGTCGCATTCCTATCGAAGCGCGCTCCGCTTACAGAACGCATCGAGCAATTCAAGAAGCGCCGCTTCGATCGCATGCATTGTCTATAGTCAAATCAATCCATTTCTATCCTTAACATAAAACATAATTATGCATATATGATTTACATATTCATAAATATATAATATATACATAAATAAATATATTAATTGTTAATGAATAATTTTGACATAATTTAACAAAGCGTGTCATGATTTTTTTCTATCCACTGGAATAAATCTAATATCATTGTAAAATAAATCTGTATTTACTCATCATTTTTGTTGTGATAATTTAAACGTTCCACGTGTACAAGTACAAATTTTGAATGTTTCACATATCCATTCCATGCTTTCGGCTATTGTAGAGTTTTAACCATTGTACGGAGCTTTATTTATGTGTTATTGTTCTATATGTTTAGCGCCTAAACTGATCTCATGCCTGATCATTTAAACCGATTCCGCATGTAATAGTTTCGGTAGATGTGTACAATATTTACATTAAACTTGGGGAGGACATATTGTTTAAATATTGTTTCATCTTTATAGCAACATCTCATTAAAAGAGTTCTCTCTGTTCATGTCTCGTATTCCTCATCATCAGCGTCTACTTAACATTTATATTTAAACAAAATTGATTTGTTCACTATTCTACTAAGTAATTTGATAGTTAGTTTTTACATGTCTGTAACTAAAACAGCACTAAACATAATCCTTATTTACTACCGCTTGTAAATATTTACAATTATATTTCATCCGTACGCGATTCCCTCATTTTAGTTTGTTGCCCAGGCCATTCGAATGTTGTATACTGTGATTGCATTTGCAGCGAATTTGTTTGGTGCATCCAATGAGTTTGTGAGATGGCACCAATCAAATCCATACATCGATTGCAATCGCAGTAAACAATCACATGTTAGATGACCAATCGTTCGTCGTGAGTAAAGTGTTATCGATCAAGTTACACTACAGCGATCGTTCTGTCCTCTTCAACTATTTATCAGATCCATAATTTTAGATTTTCATTAATTTTTATAATTACTTGTTATAATCACAGATTCATTCCTTATTCTTCCTCATAATTACGCCTTTTAGTCATTTTTACAAGAAGAAAAATTTGATAAATACGTAATCAACTGTTTGCTGCTTAATTCTGCATTTACACCCAGATGGATCAATAAATAAATCTCCACAACTCCAACAAAACACTGATAATTAGTGATAAGAAAAAAAATACTAAATGGCATGTTTACTTCCTAAGTTTAGACGCACGCCATCAATGAGTCAGGTTGGAAACACCACTTGACTCCCAGGTAGCAACTGCGTATAATCCTACCTATTTTACATGATATAAAAGTAAAGCGTAAATGCACGACAAAGAACGAATAAATTAAAGTTTCAATAAACTGTTGAATTGAGTGTGCTGAATTTTTCGATTAAATAATTTAAGTTGTTTGAAATTTACACCACTCACTCCGCGCGTGCATAACTTATAGGTACATAATGAATATACGTTCAACTTCAATCATATACAAAATATTTACATGTTTTTCCCGTGAGTGATTCGCGTAGATGTGTCGCATTTCGAGTAGTTTGCGCTAGTTGCCAATGAACAATAATAAGTTGCTACTAATTACAAAACATAACCATTAAAGAACAGTACCCTGTGCGAGAATTTTAAATAAATACATACGTGCACTAACGTAATTATGAAAGTTTCATAAACTGGTCGATTTTTGCATAATTTTTAGTAAAGTAATAAAATTAAGCGTTTTAAATTAAAAAAAAAAACAGCGGAACAAAAACTAGAATAAAATGATGCGTCCAATAAAGTCTGTCAACATTATCAACAATGTTCTGATCTTAATTCACTCACAATCAAAATATGGTTCAGTAAGTCGCACAAAGGCAGAAAAAAAGACAACGAATAATAGAGTAAAATTAGTTCAGACTATATCACTAGGCTTTCTCGAATGACTATTATCGTCTCTCTCTTTGAAAAATCCCTTCTCCGTTTTGCACTCGCGAATGGTTACCGTTTTCAGATTTACCGTAACGTCTGTGATAAACACCTGATCGGCGACAGGATTCCGCGCGAGCCAGTACTCGGAACCAGGACTGGTTAGCACTGGATGCACTTCCTCGGCATTGTTATTGTGTCCGTTCACGGTGATGTGTTTCGCGTTAGCGTTGGGAATTCGCGGCGCATCGCCAGCCGAGGTCTCGGCCGGTAGTGGCCGTTTCTCATCCGTGCGTGATGCGACTGGTTTAGGGGATGCAGGCTCCTTCGTAGAGGTATGCGGTAGCGCTGGATCAACAGGACTAGGTCGTTTATCGGCGCTGGCTGTTTTGGGTGTCGTTGCCGTAAGAACGGCTGGTGAGGCGGCTGATGGAATGGCAGATGCTTCCTCCTCGCCGCTCTTGACACTTGCTTGTCTGCCGTTTGTCGCGCGGCCATGCGTGTTGTTGCTGGCGGTGGATATGCTCTTTTGTACTTTCGCCGGTGGCGGACTGGGACTAGTGGGACTGCTCGTCGTGATGGTCACGCCGATTTTACCGGACTCTTTCGACAGCACCTCTGCTTTGCGTTTTGTACCCGCCGATTCTTTGATGCGTTCTGAAATAGGTCTGTCCTCACTGCTATCACTACTTGAGTTATCCCCATCTGGATCTTCTGTAGTGATTTTACTCTTTATTATTTCAGTGGATTCAATTGATGCCCTTGTATCATCATCATCTACTGTAATGTCAGCCTTCTTTTTGCCAGAACTCTCATCCTGGCTCTCATCACCACTATGTCTGCCATCATCATCAGCAGCAACTGCCTGTTGGATTTTCTCCTTTTTCTTAGGCCCTCTCTTATTGGCTGCATCACTTTTAGGCAATGTTTTTTCATACAAGTCAATCAACCGGCTGTCCAAAATGTTTTCCTCTGGTTCCCATGTGTTATATTTTGGGCTCCAGCCCTGCCATTTCACGTAATACTCGACGACACCCTGAAATGTAAACGCACATTCATCAAAATACCAAAACAAAACACTTGCAATGTCTGCAATATAACGATATGCGTTCAAAACAGCGCCAACAATCTATCAAGCACGCTCTATTGGTGGCAATGCAATGATCCGATCGTAAAAACCCGGCAATAACGTGCAATAAATAAAACCCATACCCGTCTGACTCGCTTCCGAATAATCTTTTCAGCGGCGTAAACACGATCGCCCAGCTCCATTGTTGTGGTGCGTCGATTTCGTCTTCGCCACTTGCGGGACGCCTGGAACGCGCGCACTCCGTTTTAGATAATCGCGAGTGCTTCGCCGATGCAGCAACGAACATTAATTGGAGCGATGGGCTCTTCGATCATTTTTATTAAATTAAAATACGAGCGAAACGGGCGCTTCAACACTGGCCTTCATTTAATCTACCATCTTTATTTGGGTTATGCCTCTCTGTCATTGCGAAGCTTTCATGCGGCGTTGCCGCTAGATTTAAGCGCCAAGAAATTGAAGCATAAATACAGTTGATTTTAAATTTTAAAAGTATAGAAAAATCAACTTTATCTAATTATTGAGATATAACCTACTATAATCCACAATACACCATTTATTTTTAATTAAATAACTTAATAACTACATAAAATTTAGTTCAATTCTTTATAGAGGACGCTGCAACACTAGAACTTTAAGCTTACACGAGCAAGATTTATTAATTAACTACGCACATTTTGCACACCAATATATTTTTATATATATATTAGATCGTGTTAATAATTAACATTTGTTGTTGTTACAAATATTATAAAAGCACACATTGTTATACCGATTCTAATAAGAAAATGAATGAATCGCATGTATACGCGCAAAATTTTTATGTCCAGGAGGTGGCGGACTCTGGCGGACAAACCTGAACTGTTGTTACCAGTTGCGACGGTTAGCAACCAGCAACCTCAAAGTCAACAAACAGCAACAAAAATCTTCAGTACAAATATAATTGTAGATAGATCTAAGGAAACGTTAAAATGAGTGGAAACACCTCAGCAGTTTTAGATGTAGTATCGGAAAATGCGGATATTACATCAATTATTAAAGATGGTAAAGAAATAAGTGTGTCACACAATGACTGCTCCTCCCTGGTTTGTAACAATCAATGTTTTTATCATTCTGCATACTAATTATACTAATTTCGTAGATACAATCAGCAAGTATTGATAGTTTCTCTACCATCCAAGATATAGAAAACTTATCTGAACTCAATGTTGATGAGAATACAGATTTGTGCATTAAAATTGACAATCCACAAAAGCATTTAGAAACCCTAGAGACCTTTATTACTTTTAGAATAACATCAAAAGTAGCTAGAATTGAATTTTCAGAGAATGAATATGTTGTCAGAAGAAGGTACAATGACTTTCTTTGGCTCAGGCAGAAGCTACTGGAGTGCCATCCATTTTGTATCATACCAGTAAGTTAAATACTTGAATAACTTTAAATGAACTTTTATTTAATTTCTGTTTATTATAGCCATTGCCAGCTAAGCACAGCCTAATTGGCCAGCTAGACAGATATTCCAAAGATTTTATTCTAGTCAGAATGAAGGCTCTTAATGTGTTTATTTCAAGAATTGTTCAGCATCCAATATTAAGTTGCAATGAGTACTTTAAGTTATTTATCACTGTAAAACAACCTGATTTTAATTTGCTAAGAAGGCAGAGGTCTAACTCTGATACCAAACAAGTTGCTCCCTCTTCATTGACCCATGCTACATTAAAAAACAAGCATATTGAATTTGAAAAGATCAAAACTTATTTAAATCTCTTGGTTGAAAAGGTGAACGCTTTTGAAAAGATCTCCAACAGAATTTACAAAGAGAGGAATGAACTCATGGTGGAGTTGCAATATTTCTATCCTCATTTACAGTACTGGGCAAATACTGAACCAGAATTAGCAAAGTTGTTGAATTCCATTGCGCATTCAACGGTGAAGAGTCTAAGTGCCCAGAATGAGTTAGTTGCACAATATCCTAATTTAATCGCAACGCCAGTTAAAGATTTTAGTACTTATGTTGATGTAGTACAAGAAGCACTGCAGAAAAGGGAAGGACACCAGGCCATCTATGAGAGTTCTGTAGAGGAATTGAATAAAAAACGTGCTGACAAGGATAAAGTATGTATTTCTAAGCTACTTTATAATCAATTTTAACTTATAAAAATATTTTAATAGTTAATGCCTGGTGGTCAACCAGTTCAAGCGCAATCATCTGGTTTTTCCCTATGGAAGCAACCAACTAGTGATGAAAAACTCGAAAAGTTAGGAGTGACCATCCCACAGTTGACTAAGAAAATGGAAAGCAATCAAGACAACTTAGAATGCGCCAATGAGCAACTGAGAAGCGATGTTGAACGCTGGCAGATGGAGAAGCAGCAACTGATTAAAAAGATCTTATTAGATTTTGCGAACAAACAGATCGAGTACTACGAGCAGAGTGTGAGTGCCTGGGAAAGTGCAAGGAATCGTGTATCTCAAAATGTTGCCAAATAATAGAAATAGAAGAAAAAAAAAATACAATTTACATCCATCCAATCTCATTTACGATTGCATATTTTTCTACTTACATTGTTTTTGTTGTTATTTTTTTTATTAATGTTTACTTATGTTGATTTACTTATTAATATTTTGTTTCAATACTTGTTCAACATTTACCTGGATAACTTATTGATAATAAAAATTTCTGACACAAATCCTGCTTTCACTTGTTACGATTGAGCATCTGCTTGAAATCATCTGTGCTCCACAATTGTTTCCTTATAATCAAAAATTTAATCTGTTTATTATTGGGTGCAATACATTTTTATCCGCATAATATTATTTCATAATTTACATACTCTGGTGTAATCGAAATTGTAACCGAGAATAATAGCATTCACGTAATTTATTACCGTCCCAACGTAAATGCATTCGATTATTTTTCGAAGCTCGTCCTTGTTATACATTTTTTTCTTTTTTGATTGCGGTAACAAGCATCGACATTAAGCCCGAAACGGTCAACATTTTGAACTGATTAAACTAACAACACACATTGCATACAAAGGTGGAACCAAGCGCGAGCTGAACGTTTACGATGTGAATCAAAGGCGCGTTTCATGGGACCGCTCGCACTTACGAAAACGGCCGGCGAGCAAATTTTCACGCTCGGTTAACTTGCAACTTCGCGCGCCTCGGGTCACTAAAATAACTATAAAGTCCTTTACGCTTTGTTTTGTGTCTGCGATTAGATGACGATGCCACTATTCGTTAAGTAATCGTAAACATAATAAGTTATTTCTCTAAATAAGGCTAAGAACACATAAAGAACTTACTTTCTTTCAGAATACCTAAATAATTAGGTACAGATAAAATAATGTATGTGATGAAATAATTTTTCATGTTGTGTCAATTTCTTGTCATGCTGTGCGACATGAGGACATGCAAAGATTTACGACGTGCGACAATCAACGCGATCGCATTCTTAAACGTCCACGCTGTCCACGCGTTTGCGCTGGAGCAATCACAATGCCGACTAATTGCACACAATAAATAATTAAAGCGATTTTCAATTAGATTAATCAATCTGCATTTGTTTCGTTACGATTCTATCTTGCATGCCACTTTACTGCAGAATGCAGATATATTTATAAAGCATTATCGTTTAAATACCTTTTGCTTTATACTAATAATAAACAAATGCGCGTTTGCATTCGTAATTAATTAATTATGTTTAATTTCTTGCTTTTAAACGATAATTTTTGCCCATTTACGTTTCATGATTGTGCAGGTAGATTCAATGCACACGCCTTTTATTGTGTTGCAGCTACATCTCCATTAGGCATGCAAACATTCGATTGCAATTCCGATACAAATTCTAAAATGTCAAATACACAGCCAAAGTCACGACGTAGATGTTTATTTGTACGGAATAGTTACAAAAAACTGAAACATACACAAGGTACGTTTTAGGAATTTAATTTATGCTAGCGTGAAAATTTCCGGAAATAATTACCAATCGCGTCAAATAACTTGATTAATTTAACGTATTTAATTAGTTAATGATTTAGTAACACGCGAGTTGGCTAATATTGGAAATTGAAATGCAATCGATGGATATTAATTTTTAGCATTAATTAATTTTAATATATTGTCCTTGTAAATTCAGCCCTCTTCATAGATGAAAATAACGCAAAATCATTAGGTAAGTATTGTTCGTTTTTAATAAAGCATAGAATGCGTAGCGTACGTGAAATTACAGTGTCCTTCAATTAATTTATTCATTTGCTTCAAATATGCGCACGTCGCATGGTTTGCGTTTTAACAATTAAGAGTGGTAATTACAATTAACTAGAGACACCGTAACGGCATTTCGAGATAAACGCGAGATCGATATGCACTTGATATAATGATCTAAACATCTAAAGTATGTTATTTTCTTTAGTTAACATTTATCGCGTTTACTTTTAATGGGCACTTACTCAAACATATCCTAGAAGCAGAAAAAAATTGAAATTGTCTCTATAAAAACGTTTTTATTTAATTAACAAACTTTATGGGTTTACTTATAAAATTAGACATTTTATTTTCCAACAGATACACAATAATTAAAGTAATTGTTGATGATATAATTCCTCCTTTTTTGGTTTTTGTCAAAATAAAATTAATTTATTCGCACATAAGAGAATATTTATCACATTCAACTAAATTAATTCTAAATCTATTAAAGTCAGTCTACCCGTGATTTAAACCCGTGTCCAACAAGCTGGCCCGCGAAACGTTGAATAAATTTGAAATATAATTTCATTTAATTTCATTTTACGATCACGCTAACCTTTACAAAGCGTCGAACATTGATCGATACACATTTGTGATAAATAAAAACTCAAATTCCTTGCGCTGCTTTTTTTCGCTGTGCGGTTATTTGTTTTTTAACTTTTCAAATTTGCATGCGGCGTTTTTTTATTGAACTGCGGCCGGTAATTGAGGATAAATGGGCGGCGCGCACCTGGATACACACAACGCACATAGTCGTTAGCGTAACTCAATAGCAATTTTCAATTCGCAATTAGTATCTGTCGGGAATAAGACAATAAAGTGCTTTAAATAACACCTATTTACAAAACGATTGTCGTGTCACGAACTCGAGTAAACCCATTGTTGATTTTCATTGCGGTAATATCGACAAAGTACATAAGTTGTATTCTTGTCGTCGGTTGTGTTCACTCGTTCACTGCTATTCGCCATCGTAAACAATATAGGAGTTTTTTATGTAGTTAAGTGTTCAAATAGCACACATGACTTATTTGTGCAGTACTGTATTTATTAAATTATTTAAATTTAACTAATAAAGGAGCGGAAATTAAAAATGACCGAAATTTGATAATATGTTAAGTTTAGTTAATTTTATTTGATAAATTATCCATAATATGATGGAGTACTACACTTATAAAAATTGCATACCTGGATCAACGTTAATATAGGCTGAACTAAATAATGTACACGCTTAAATGGTGATTAATTATTAAATTGGCGCTTCAGCGAATCAATTAATAATAATTTATCCTGTCTATGAAATTTTGCACGTATGATATTCATAAACTGTAACCAGGAAATTTTAAAACTTAAAATGGCAATACTTGAATCAGTTAACAATTAACAAGATAGAATAAAACAAAAAGCGTGCGACCATACGTTAAATTTGCATTGAATACGCAACTATCGGAGGATACGCTTGGCCGCACGAATATTTTAATGAAATGATTAAATGTTAGCGTGCTTTATTCGTTTCCAATCATTTACAATAGAACAACTGGCTGCTTGGTGAAGTTATTTGCGTTTAACATGTCTGTCTGCGTTCGCGCAGAATTCCTTCAAACGCAAAGTGCACGTTAAAGTACGATTTACAATAAATAAGGTTCGGAAATATGCGTTTGATATCAATATCATTGTGGCAATATGCGCGACGCTCGCCAACAAACGGGGTTCGCCGGCTTGCCAAAGAGACTTTTCATGCCTTTTTGATATCGTTTGCTGTCGCCTTGCTCGGGTAATTTATGCGTGCGTTTGGAAACCGCATGTGTGTTATGTAAACGATTTTCTAATGGAAAATAAAATGCAAATTCTTTAATTTAGAAAACACCGTTATACGTACACCCACACAGTGCTCAAACAAAAAATTACTTACCAAATTAAATTCTGTTATATAACATTAGAAAAAAATTACGCATGAAAAGTTTTATAAACATGAAGTAAATTTGCATTAAGATACCAAACATTTTGCTTGGAATGATTTAAATTTAACGTGATGTGATACAGTTTAATTATTATCATATAAACGACTGAATTTCGTTTATATTACGTCTGTGCCAGTGTAATATGTATTAGGAAAGTGCATTGTATCATGTTTTATTGATTTTGCAATGCATCCATTTTTCACGTACTGCCATGCATGGCTAGCTACCGAAATGCGCTTATTCATAGAATGCGATTGAATATTGCAACTTTTTCACAATCGTGCGCCAACCTGACCAAGTCAATTTAATTTCGCACAATAGTAAAGTCATATTTATCCAAATTTAATTTAATTTACTCGTAACACAGAGAAAGATATCAAGGTGGAAAAGTAACACTAACTCCCTAGCACACATTTAATAATTGTGTAACATTTGAAGTAACTTATTGATATTCAATTATAATCCACTTCGATTACATCGCAAATCAATAGGCCCACAAGAATTCACCGCTCTGATAATCTTCTATCAGTTATATTGATGTAGTTTTTTTTTTACTTTAGAAAACTAGTTTTACTCAATACCACATTCGTTTTCGACTGTTTTCGCTTTTGTCCTGTTCTGCGTTGCCGAAATATGTTAACCGAAGCGATAAATAGCCCGGAGGAGAGGCGTTTGCCATGTGCGTTGGTACGTGGCCGCCGTGTTCAGACGGCAACTGCGGTGTAAAGGAATTTCTTAAATGAATCCCATCCGAAGGTCGCGCAAACGTAACGAATCGACCTTGCTTCTTGCTTTTAATTTAAATCACATCACACATGCTCGATCTCAAAGCGCTCACGTATGTTCTACTCTGGTTATTTTCGCTTTTGGGTGTAACACCGATTGTTTTTTCTTTATTCCATTCTTTCTCTATAAAAAAAAAATATACGATAAATAAATAATAAACACTGTATCTTTTTATTAGACACTAGCGATAACATAAAACATAAAGCAACTGATGTAATAGGTTCTTATCCACGTCCATTATGTCGTTTAATTAAACTTTTTCCTATTTTAAGCGTGCATTATTCGATGAATATTGTGTAACGAGATCGATTTTCCTAGTTATCTTGGCCGTTCGTATTATAATGCGTCGTAAAGCGAGCACCTACTTCACGTTGGTTTTAGTAGATAAAACCGAACGCAGAAAAATCGCGTTCATTAAATATGCAAATTTGCGCATGAAAACGCTTCGACTGCGTGCGAAACTGTCGGTTATTTAGCCGGCGTGTTGCGCGGCGCTTTTTAATTCTTTGGCCGTCTTTGCCAAGTACACGCTCTCATGTTTTAAGAAAAACTTTTACAAGTGACAAACGTTATCAACAAATGTCTTGTCGTGTTAACTTCATGTGAATGACGTAATAAAAGAAAATTGTTTGTCATTACAACGTGTTGCGGACATTTTATTTGTGGGACTTTAATCGAAGAGCCGAAAAATTGAGAATCTGGAGACCTGCGACTGAAATGCTTGACGACTTAGCAGCGACTGAGCACAGGGCGCACTACGCGTTCCTCAAATACCTGCGGACTACCTGCAAAAGAAAATGGGAGTTGAGTGAAACAAAGTCACAAAGGGACTGCAGTTATTTAATAAAAACAATAACTTTCAAAGTAATAATCATTATTTTTGATGTTTTAACCCAGATGTCGTAACATTGTTACCTTAAAAAATAACAAATTCAAAATGCTACAAATACCCCTGGAGATAAGAAAAATCAATTCGCTATCAAAATAAAATTGCTTCTCATTCCCGTAACGCGGAGTCGCGAAGCAAACATGTTTATTTACTTTATATCTGCATCAGCATCTATTTACTTTTAATCAAGATAACATGCGGCGATCGACGTCGCAATCAATCGCGTCGAGCACGCGCAAAGTCGTTTCCCCACAGCGTGTTATGCGCCTTAATTAGTGTACATTTTTTCATTGCATTACATTTCTTTCGATTTCTTTTATCGCCCAGACGGAGGTAATAAAGTCTGTCGACAATCGGTAAAAATTGATTTCGTCGAAAGAGAAGTGGCAGTGTGTTACGCCATGAAGGCGTCGCCTTTATTTGTCAAGCCGGCGCACATTAATTATTATGATTTTAATGAGCTAAATATGGTAATCAAGATCCTGGACGCGTGCTCGCCGCAGACGCGACAAAGAAAGGATTAGCCGCAACGTTTGCTGGCACACGATGCGCCTTTGGTGCGTTTGGTAAATATTCAACGCGATGATAAATTAATTTAACTTCAAGTGCATGCGCCTCGTGTGGCGCGCCGTAATGGCGAATGTGCTGTTCGCGGCCGAACGACGGGGTGCACTTGAATAAAGTTTTGCATAATCAGATCGAAATACGTGACATTGCAACCGTGGCAGACTTTCCGAGTTTGACTGCATTTTTCGTGCATATGCATAGATTCAATTAACTGAGCCTGCTGCAATGTATATTACATCAACGCCGTCATCATAGTTTTGGTATGGAAATTACAGCCGCAGGCTGATGCTACATTTGGACTAATTCGGAATAGTTCGAAAAGTTTGTAATTACGATGCAAATGTTGTCGACTTTTTTGCGAAAAACAATTTCGACTATGTAGGTACTTTGAATCACTGTGGGCAATATTTTGAGTAAATTAAATCAAAATCTACGTGTTGTTGAAACTATTTTTTAATAAAAATATTGGTCGGTTATTTTGATAAACAATTTCTAGTTACATAAACACAAATATTTATTATAGTTCTTGAAAGGTTAAAAGGGACATGTTTGAAATGTGTTCTGAAAAGTGCAAACAGAGCGTGAAATCGTTAATTGGTTATCAAACAGCTCAACATTACCGAACCTATTACACGATGATAATATTTGTTATTGTAAGCAATTTATTGAAAGGTAATAGGGTGTCCCGTCGTGCGGATTATTGACACCGGTATTTATCAGATCATATTTTTATGTTTTACACGTAATGTATGCGTTAATCAATAATACTCATTATTTACAAATAACTAGAGAGAAATTTAATTTGCACACAGACTAATAATTATCAATTACAAAATTTATAATTGCCGCATGACCTAATTATACGTCTTCACAAAATATTGTTTAACATAATGTTTATAATTGCATTAGCTACGTTTGGCGCTAAAATTTAATTAAACCTTAGCGTTCATAAATTTGATGCGCCGATATGCAACATCCAGTTTTCCATTTTTTTTTCTATTGCGCAATGCGAATAAAATTAAGCGCACGAGCGAAAACTGAAAATGCGTGTGTAGTACAGTTTGGAAATCGTGTTGTGGTGTTTTGTTCCCTCACGATATCGACATCGTCGAAACGTTGCGTTTTGCAACTGCGCGAGAATTTTGATTATACTCTCGGGCGCGAGCGCGACCAATTTCTGTTATTATATTTACGATCGATCCATTAATAAAACACCTAAATGCCTAATCACCATAAAAATTTTATAACACAATGCGAGAAGTAACCGGCCGGCTGGCCGCCACCGCAAGTGCGCGCGCGGAATTCACACCGATCACCGATTATTCCAAATACAGGTACACAGCGAACGCAATGCGCAATATCATCACGTAGAAAGTGTTAGTGTGTGCGCGCGCCAAGATACGCATGCACAAAATTTTATTGTACAATGGATTGATTCGTCGGCTTATGGGAAACCAATATTGTTGCGTAACCGGTCGCATTTCCCAATTCGTTGAATTTGGAGCATTGCGTAGCTGACATCGTTGATCAAATCATTTTTTAAACAAAAAAACAATTAACAAATAATTTTGCATCCCCAAAACTAATTGGTATGCAATGCGGCAGTTGCTAATTTAAATTACATTTAGTCAGGTATAGTAGTGAAGGTTGATTGTTAAATTCTGTTGCATCAACAGGTGCTACAAATCTATACGAACGAATTTGCAAGCTAAAGATTAACATGAAATTACGATAATTACAGACACCTTGCAGAACATCTATTAGGAATGTTTAGCGTTCAATGTTACATAAATTATATTTATCTTTGTTATAATTGCGTCGTAGGTGAAATTACAAGGCAGAAATCAATTCAATATGCATCGCATCTTAATTCACAATATATTTTTTTTATCTCGATACATTTCTTGCATATAATTTGTTGGTTGCACCTTTATTCTTAACATTTTCAATTTTAACTTGTGATTTATTATCTGAACTTTTCTCTTGATTATTCGGTCTCTTTTTTAATTTAAAAGCATTAAATCATTAAAATTAACTGTAATGCTTTGTTTTTAAAGTTCAAAGTGTTAAAATATGTTTGGATGTTCAAGAACATTAGTTCTGTTCTATTTACGCCTCCAATTTGTATTGAATTTCTATTTTTATACGAAATTATTTATTGAAACAGATAGCTATCGTTGACAATTGAACACAATACGTTGGAAATAATTGCGTTTGTAATGCGTTTGGATTGGTCACCGACCGTGTTCGCACACGCCGCATGATTGGCTCCGACATCTTTATTGCACTTATGCAAATCGACACAAGAATCGCGAAAAGGATACGATAATGCAACAAGCGTCGAGTGCATTTGCACGTCGGCGAACCTCTCCCCTAATAAGAGTGAAAGGAACTTTGCTCTTCGGATGGGGCGCACCGCCGACGACGACGCCCGTCTAGAGGGGAACTGTATAAATAACTGTCGGTGGTGATCGGAAGATATCACAGTCGGTTCGCTAGCACACAACAGTCCTAGTGCCCCTAGGAGGTTTGCAGCTCACAGCACGGTTACCACGACGATGAAATTCTTGGTAAGCAATTGCGCCTTGATTCTTGTTGAGTAATGTATGTAAGTTGCCTGCAATACGTGTAATACGAACGGATAATTATTGTAATTGAATAATATCTCGGTGTGAAAATGTCGAACGCCTTGTGTGGGCTTTTTCTAGGATTTTTGCAAGTCGGAGTATAAAGGTATTTAGTAATCAAAGTTGTTTTATTTTTCTTTTTGTAGGTGTTGTTCTCTTGCGCTTTGGCGGTGGTAGCGGCCCAATGGGGACCAGCTCATCATGGTGCTTACCACGTACCGGTAATTGGCCCACATGGTGTCCCAGTTGATACCCCTGAAGTGCAACATGCCCGCGCTGCCCATTTAGCTGCTCTTTCTCAAGCATCCCAACACGCTGGACCAGCTGCCTACCACGGAGGTTATGACAATGGTCAGTACAATGATAATGGTGCCTACAACAATGCTCCACATGATGAAGGTCACTACCGCTACCATGGACCAGCTGCCTATCAAACCACTCATGGAGCTGCTAAAGTTACCCACGATGGCGTACCTCTTGATACTCCTGAAGTAGCCGCTGCTAAGGCTCATCACTTCAGCGCATTCTCCGAAGCTTTATCTCGTGCTGCTCATCATGGCCCAAGTCATCATTACCGTAAACGCCGCAGTTATGGTGTCTATGGTCATCATGGTGCCTATCATGGTCCTCAACACATCCCTGTAATTGGCCCACATGGTGTTCCAGTTGACACACCCGAAGTGCAACATGCTCGTGCTGCTCACTTCCATGCTCTCGCCGCGGCTAACCATGGTGGTGGACACTATGATGGTGGATACGATGGTGGACACTATGCAGCTGGACCTGTTTATGCTCATGGTTATCATCATGGATTCCAAGGATTGGATCATGATGGTCGTCCATTAGACACACCTGAAGTAGCTCACGCAAAGGCTGCTCACTTTGCTGCTTATGATGAGGCTGCTCATCGTAATGGTGTGCATGGACACCATGGACATGTGGCCGTTTATGCCGGTCACTACGCTCATGGATACCCTAATGGAGCACCACATGATACCCCTGAGGTAGCGCATGCTAAAGCTGCTCATTTTGCTGCTCATGCCGCTGCCCGTGGACATGGACACTACTAAATACTGCACATCGGCTTCACGATTACGCGTTTTGTGATTTGAGGACGGTTGTGTAGATTTATTCAAACACCAAAAATGTTTCACTTCTTCGTAACGTAATTAGATGATTTAGTCAATTCCGAACACCGGGTGGAATATTTTTGGAAATGCTTTTAATCGAGACGACGTTTTCATTATACCTGTTACCTTAACAATTCTATATATTGTATTTTTTGTATATAAGAGAAAACTATTTTATCAATAAATATTGAACAATATCAGTTGCATTTTTATTTTTTTCTTCTTACTCTTACTTGAAATGAAAAAAATTGTATAAAAAATTCTAGAATGCGCAAAGTGCTGAAGGCTACACCGCACCAGAAGAAAAATACGCATAGATTCATTGCCAAGGTTTGCAAAACCAGCAAACGCCCAGTTCCGAACAACTTCTTAGCATTGGAACTTCTCAATTCGACTTGGTCCAAGACTTCAAGGTGTAGATCAAGTAAAACAGAGCAATATCCTTTTATAAACTGGTTCTTTGTACACATTTTTCCAAACCAGAAGAACATGTTATTGCTTTACAATAATTTGATCCAATAATAAATGTAAATAATTTAGAGTATCATTTTTTGATCAATCAATCGACATTATTACATATAAACAATATTACAATATCATACATAATTGATGGTGATTGCTGCATGCATAAAACATGTCACAAACAATAACGCATAATCATTATTTAACCAGTAATTTAGTAATAACGATTAGAATAATGCACGTCGGTGTTCTGTGACTGGAGCGATCAAACAATGCGCAATGAACAATGTGACACCAACAATGTCAGAATGAACAACACACGTAGGTAGCTGGCGTCGAAATATTGAACACAAAGAAAGACACCATACTCAACCTTGGAGTAAAGATTACTACGGCCCATTGGAAGTTGTAGTAATAAAAATAACCCATCGTGTTGACAAGTCCTATGTCCGCAAAGGCATTAGGCGCGTTCCGCAATGTACAGGAACATGCTTCGTGTTGGCGATGCCATTAGTTTCGTTTGCGTTCCAATGAACCGGAACGCGAAAAAAATATTTTCATTGAAATGGTTGTGCAAGTCAATCGGAATTCATTTGCGTAAAAATCGATCATTTTTTCGAGCTTAGGCGTTCTTGATCGATAATTGAAACGTAATTTACAATGTGTAAGTCGTTGATTCCAAGAGTGGGATGCAATTATTAATTTTCACTTCGATACGTATCGCTGCCTTGAAGTACGTTGAAGAGTTTTTGTAAGCGGATAAGCTTGCGCTGAGGAATTTGTAATTTAAATTTATTGCTACATTTTTCAAATGTGTCCTCATGAACATTAATCATTTAAGTAAATGAGCTTTATAAGCAGTTTATGTCAAATGTTGTGTTCATTTTCTTTTGAAAATTATAAATGTTTTATTGATTAAGATATCATATTTTCTGTGTCGCTTGAATAGATATTAATTTCTGAACAATAAACAGTTTATAGTATATTGTGTGTAAATTACCTTTAATCGACTAGATCCTTGTTAAAAATATTTGAATATAATTGACGGTAATTTTAAATTATGGTTCGCGTGTACTTGATCATTGACATCCTTATTGGTGGCTTAATATGAATTTGATTTGTGGTTTCATTCTTTATTGAACGTTATTAAGGCGTTAACCGGTATTGTCTTAAGATTGTTTTCGCACCTGATGTTGTCGGCAATAAGCCCCGCCAACTCACAGAGTAGTCTCGTCGGTCAATCGTCTCCGTGAAGTCCGAGACATTGAAAGACAATTTGGTGAGAGGAACCTTGTAAAAAATACGTATGTGTATCAATATTTTCCACAAAATAATTTGGTATAAAAGTCGAGCATTTGTTCGTATCAAGCACAGTCTTCTAACAGTCCTTTCACGAGGAGGTTACAGGAATTAAACAAAATAATCAAAATGAAATTCATCGTAAGTTTTTTAAAAGTAAATTTTAGGAAGTGGAATTAAATATTTTATATTTATAGATTGTTTTCGCCGCCGCTTTGGCTGCCGCCTCTGCTGGTTATGTTGCCCCAGTGGCTCCATTGGTGTATGGTGCCCAACACTTGCCAGTGATTGGACCCAACGGTGTCCCAGTTGATACCGCTGAAGTTCAACACGCCCGTGCTGCCCACTTTGCCCACAAAGCTGAAGCTCATGCCCGCAACGGAGACTACGCTGTCTACGCTCATGCTGCCCCAATTGTTGCCCATGCTGCTCCTCTTGCCTATGCCCACCACGCTTATGCCGCCCCAGTTGTAGCTGCTCATGCCGCTCACGGTGTTGTCGCTCATGTCGGTGTTGCTGAAACCCCAGAAGTTGTTGCTGCCAAGCACGCTCACTTCGCCGCTCATGCTGAAGCTTTGGCCCGCGTTGCCCCAGTTCACCATCTGTACCGTCGTGGAATCTACGCCGCTGCTCCAGCTATTGCCGCTTACGCTGCCCCAATTGCCTATGCTGCCCAACACCTTCCAGTCATCGGACCCAACGGTGTTCCAGTTGATACCGCTGAGGTTCAACACGCCCGTGCTGCTCACTTCGCCCACAAGGCTGAAGCTCATGCCCGCAACGGCGACTACCTTGCTCACCCAGTTGTTGCCGCCGCCTATGGTGCCTACCCATATGCCTATGGAGCTCACCCTTATTCCTACGGTGCCTACCCATACGCCGCCGCCAAATACTACTATTAAAGTTTAATTCCTAAAAGTCTGTCGATAAATGTTTGAGCTATTTACGTTTGTACATTTGAACATAAATTAATTTAAATATGATGAAGAAAGAAAAAATACAAAAAAATATATGATAATAATTTAAAAAATACAACATATAGTTTTATTCTTCTATTATCTACCTAACTAAATATAAAAAAGATGATCGAACTAGACTCTAGTTACTCTAGTTACTAGAGTAAAAATAAAATACCTTATGGAATCATACAAACCCCTTTACAACGTTATTCCTTATTTAAAACTTCATGAATTAAAAATTGAAAAATAAAGTTTCTCATTGCACTGAAATTCACCAGTGTATTTAAAAATTGCTTTACTGGATCCAAATGTTTTTATTCATAAAAATTAAATAAATGTATCCCATTATAAAGTTAAACAACAAAATTTGTGTTATATTGCATTATATATATTAATAAAAACTATACTACTATTAAACGTTGTTAATTTAGTTATATACCTACTAATTAGTTATACGTGCAAATACCTAAAAGAATAAGGCAAGTGCGGAAGTAAAGTAGGTGTAATCAAACGTAGTAGTGTACAATTTTGATTGCAATTCTTGATAAGTATTGTTAGGTAAGGTTGTTGTGTAGTATTTTGAATGCAAACAAGTTTTTTGTTTTAGTGTAGTGTAAACGCCCATACAAAAGAATAGACAGTTAGTAGTGAACTTGATATTAAAAAATGCATTTTGGTTTACAAGAAAGGTCACGTGCAAGAACTGCAGCCAAAGTTTGGGTATAAAAGCCAAGCATATTCACAGTTAGAGCATAGTCTACAGTCCTAATTCAGGAGGTTACTACACAATCACCAAACAAACAAAATGAAATTCTTGGTAAGATCACTTTTGCCATTTTCCAATAATAACAAAAGTATTGAATATCATTTTCAATTCTTTAGGTTGTATTTGTCGCCGCTTTGGCTGTTGCCTCTGCTGGTCACATCGTCGCCCCAGTAGCCTATGGTGCCCAACACTTGCCAGTCATTGGACCTAATGGTGTCCCAATCGACACCCCAGCTGTCCAACACGCCACCGCCGCTCACTTGGCCCACAAAGCCGAGGCTCATGCCCGCAACGGTGACTTTGCTGTTGTTGCTCATGCCGCCCCAGTTGTAGCCCACGCTGCCCCCGTTGTTGCTCACGCCCCTGCTTTCGCTGCCGCTCCAGTTGTTGCTGCTCACGGTTACTACGGTCAACCCGCTGCCTACCCAACCACCGCTGTCCACCCAACCTCCGTTAACGGTGTCCCATTGGAAACCCCAGAAGTTGTTGCCGCTAAGTCCAAGCACTTCGCCGCTCACGCCGAAGCCCTTGCCCGTACCGGACACGTTGCTGGTGTTGCCCCAGTTGCCCCATTCCACCATCTTTACCGTCGTAGCCCAGTCTATGCTCCATACGCCTATGGTGCTTACCCATACGCCGCCCACACCTACGGTGCCTATTCCTATGGTGCTTACCCATATTACTATTAAATAGTCACACCATGATTCTCTAAACAAAAAGAAACCCACAAGTCAAAATGTTATGTTATTCCATAGTTACCAATCAGCAAAAACATATATCACAAAAAAAATCAATAAAACTGAAATAATTCAAAAAATTCTTTTATTTTATGATCCTATTTTATCATAACAATTCAAGCCAATTGAATAAATACTCACCTACGTATTTACCAAATTTATAATGAAGCAGAATGCCTTGAAATAAACTCGATAAAACTTAGATTATATGAATTAAAAACGTATTAATCAAGCATAAGAAAGAAATTAGTATTAAAAAATGCATTTGTGAACAGCACTCAATTATTATGCGCCGGTGTTGACAAGATCAATAAAAATGATTGTACAGGTACTTCGAAGAAGTCGTAAAGAAAATTACTCGTATACAGGAGTAACTCGCTTCCTTTCATGTTGAAATATAGATTATATACTCCGCAGTGAAGTCACCGCAGTGACAATAAACACTAACAATAAAACATTCAATTGATCCAATATACTTTGTAAAATATATTTAAATAGTTATATTGCAAACGAAAGAAGACTTTAAAATGGGCACGGCATATATACTGCACTATATTATAATAATTCCTGATTTGATAAGAATATATATTATTCAATAAATAATCAGTCTCCTTATTTATAATAATTCTATGTTGAGATTTACTTTGTGTAGAACGTGTACAATAAACATTTATATGGATTACTTTGAAGGTTTATCACACTTTATGACATATTATACTTTTACAGTTATAAATGGTAACCAAATGGTAATTACATGTGATATATTGCATTCCATTAGCTTGCTGACCACTTTACACATAAACAAATTAATAAAAGCAATAAATAATAACGAATTACATTTAAAAATGTAATAAAATTGTAGCATTTGATTTGATTGATGTTTTAATGAGACAAGAGTTATATATTCTTGGTATTGCCGTGGGCTCAAGTGAATTTTTACGGATATATTTACAAGACAGATTATGTACTTACTATAAAGTTTGAACTATTCGATCAAACAGGTTTTTTTCATGTTTTATTACTATCTACATATTTATTTTTGGGCGGTGTGTAATTTTAACTGTGAATATAAATAAAGCGATGACAAACAAAGATTTATTTAAGTAAAATTTGTATAATGTTTATAAAAGTTTTAAATAAATTAATTTAATAAATCTTTAACTTTTTTTTTAATTGTGAGAAGTTTAGTTTTAGTTCAGTTGAAACAAGTTTTTTGGGTTACTGCAGCATACGCCCATGTTTGTCTTGAACTTGATATTTTAAAACTGCATTTTAATTTTGTGAAAGGGTTACCACTAGAAATGCAGTCCAAAATTTGAGTATAAAAGCAAAGCGCATTCGCCGTTAGAACATAGTCTACAGTCCTAATTCAGGAGGTTACTACACAATTAAAATGAAATTCTTGGTATGTCGAATAACTTAGATTCAGAAAATATTTCATTAAATTTATTATTGTTTTAGGTCGTTTTTGCCGCCGCTTTGGCCGTTGCCTCTGCTGGCTTTGTTGCACCAGTTGCCCCAATTGCTCCAGTGGCATACCCCGCCCAACACTTGCCAGTTATTGGACCCAACGGTGTCCCAGTTGATACCCCAGCTGTCCAACAAGCCACCGCTGCCCATTTGGCCCATAAAGTTGAAGCTCATGCCCGCAATGGTGACTTTGCTGTCTACCCACACGCCCCAGTTGTTGCTGCCGCCGCTCCAGTTGTTGCTCATGCCCCTGCTTTTGCTGCCGCCGCTCCAGTTGTTGCTGCTCATGGTTACTACGGTCACCCAGCTGCTTACCCAACCACCGCTGTCCACCCAACTTCCGTAAACGGTGTCCCATTGGAAACCCCAGAAGTTGTTGCTGCTAAGACCAAGCACTTCGCCGCTCACGCCGAAGCCCTTGCCCGCACCGGACATGTTGCTGGTGTTGCCCCAATTGCTCCAGTCCACCACTTGTACCGTCGTAGCCCAGTCTATGCCCCATACGCCTATGGAGCTTACGGTGCCTACCCATACGCCGGTCACGCTTACGGTGCTTATGCCTATGGTGCTTACCCACATTACTATTAAGCAATCCACATCATGATTCTCTGTATCTCACAACTCAATAAGTCAAGTCTTAAGTCAATAGTTACATTAATTACAATTTACAAATAGCAAAGCGACCAAGAAATTAACAAAAAATATGAATAAACAATGAAAAATTAAATCAACTTGTTTAATTTTTAATCCAATTTTAATTTAAATACCTATAAAATTTAAATAATATGCCGATTTAAATTATTGCAAATAAATTGCATAAATTAAAAAATCATTTATATTTATTCAATTCTCTCAAAATATTTGATATATATGAGATATTTATTTAAATAAATTCTTACAAAACGATTGTACTGAAATACTAGTACCAGTTTGCTAAAACTCCAATAATGAAGCAGAAGACCTTGAAAAACGTGAGATAAAGTTGCGATTAGCAAAATTGGCGTCTAAAATTTTTGTGTTTGGCCTATGTTATGTTATTTTTTTGTTTGACCAACGCCCGATTATTGTGGCATTTGAAACAACAAAACAAGCAAAAAACAAACATATGTAGGATTCAATAAGTTGATATCTATAAAAAACACAAATAAAATTATAAATTTATGATAATCATATGCCTACTATTATCTTTTATCTGAGGTTTGACGGATGTAAAGTGAATTTACTTCTTTAAAATTTAATTTTTTTTATTACGTCATTGTTACTTTTAAAAATTTAATAATTTAATTTGTATTATTAGTAAAATTGATGAGTTTATATTTTAAATCTGATACTGCAATAAATACGGAAGTTCCTTGTGTGTTTCACGATTCTTGGCGTTTCGTTTTGTTTTAAACTGTGTGCGTCATACTCAAACTAAAATTTTAAGGAAATTAATGGCAAATTTAAACTCAACATGAATTAATTTAAAAACTAAAATTACAAGTTCAGCCACTAACTCACCGTGGAGCGTGTAATTAAAGATCGCATTGGATCCGATAAAATACTCTTCGCAGTCGGAATCTCACGAATTCGCCGCAAGTAGATATTAATTCATTCAAGCTTGAGTAAGTGTCAGGCAACAAATAAAAAATGTATACGCAAATATGGTATAAGTCAGTACGTACGTACATCGATAAACAATTTTGTTTAACCCTGAAAATTAAACTTCCATGCGTTCATTGATGTTCAATGCCCGTCGTGTTTTAGAGAAAGGGACCTTGTCTACGTCGTGGTTGGGTGTTGGATTCGTGATGTCTGCAGAGCGTCCAAAATTCATGTATTTCTTGTTTTTGGCAGGAGTATATAAGTCGCGAGCGAATCTGAGGAAGGCATACTCTTAACAGTCCTACCACAAGGAGGTTAACAGATCCTAAACAAATCAACATGAAATTCTTGGTAAGGGAAAAGTGAATTTTCCGAAAATTGGAATAAAAACTAATGACTTTTATATTATTTTGTAGATTGTCTTCGCCTGCGCTTTGGCCGCCGCCTCAGCTGGCTATGTTGCCCCAGTAGCCCCATTGGTCTATGGAGCCCAACACTTGCCCGTCATCGGTGCCAATGGTGTACCAGTAGACACCGCTGAAGTTCAACATGCCCGTGCTGCCCACTTTGCCCACAAGGCTGAAGCTCATGCCCGCAACGGAGACTACGCTGTCTACGCTCATGCTGCCCCAGTTGTTGCCGCCGCCGCCCCAGTCGTCGCCTCCACCTACGCTGCCGCCCCAGTTGTTGCCTACGGTCAACCAGCTGCCTACCCAACCACCGCTGTCCACCCAGCCTCCATCAACGGTGTCCCACTTGAGACCCCAGAAGTTGTTGCCGCCAAGAGCAACCACTTCGCCGCTCACGCTGAGGCCCTCGCCCGCACTGGACATGTTGCCGCTGTCCACTACCGTCGTCGTCGTGGTGTGATCGCCGCTCCCTTGGCTTACTCTGCCGCCTACGCCGCCCCATACTACGGTTATGCTGCTCACTCTCCAGTCGTCGCCACCAGCTACGCTCACGGATATGCCGGTTATGCTCACCCATACTCTGCCTACTCCGCCTACGCCACCCCATACGCCCACTATTATTAAATAATGACCAACGACGCGCGTTAAACTGATAAATATGTCAATCGTCAGGCTGTCTGATTAGCAGAATTTCAACGAGTACCTTAATATTTATAATGTTAAGTAGAAAAAACGCCACAATTTATAGAATTTGACAATAGTGCATTATTTTTAATGCAACAATAAATTTTCATTATAAGGAAAAGCAATTTTTTTGTACCAAACACCCAAGTGATTCAGTTTCAATTAAGCTTGGTATATGAATCATGTATAGAAACAAAAAAGTCTGATAACAATTATGCAAACAAAGAGTACAGCAGTTCCTTGAAAATTTTGCCAATTACTCCTCCCAAATCACGAGAGAATCGAACCAGGAAATTAATACCTTCCAAACCCACGGTTGGTGTATCGTGTGTATCGAGTTGCGAGTGTGATGAATGTCGAAATATGAACTTGTGTTGTTAACCTTGTGAATGTTCAGCAATACCGGCGATACCAGCCGTTGTAGTAATTGGTAGTAGCTGTGAGTAAGATATACAGTCGTACGGTGTTACAATACTATCTGCTTGTAGAATTTTCTTGAAAATTGAAATTAATAGAAGTAAAAGAAGTTGCAACAAAGAAAAAATTGAATTTTAATTTTTTGTAATTAACAACTTAAATTATAATAAATGCACCACAATGAAAGTGGTTCTTGCATTGAAACAGTTTGAATTCCGAGACCCGCTTGACGGACTAAGAAGCATTTTGCGATAAAAAAAAGTAAAGTCGATGGCATTGATCTCGATTAAAAGCAGGGTGTTGTTTAATAATTCATTGCCCTCGTTTGATTCCGCAGAAACACGACATCGTACACAACATGTTCTGTGTTGCTATCCATTTTTATACATTCTCACTAACAAGCGAAGTTGCCCTGCATAAATATCAATTAAGTATTATAGATAGATAATAAGAGCAAATTAAATAATAATGTTTGCACATCAGCGCACATAATGATAGTAATAATTTGTGAAAAACGTTGGTAATTGAAATTTAACATAAGTTACACGAAGTTAATGTGTTAACACGTAATTGTTATGCATGCTGCATGTAGAGTGACACTTTAAATGATGGAATCATGCGGTGCAACTACACATTATAGCGATTACGAGTATGTCGCGGAGTACTTGAGAAATGCAATAATTTAGATTACTATCGTATAAGAATGATTGCTTGATGCTCGCGCTTTCAACTACTTGATAAGCAGTAAATATCTCATGGGTAAATGTGAGGAAATAATTGGTTGCATAGAAAAAATCGATCCGCCCAGTTCTATGGTGTCAAAATGTTATAGTTTTGAACGATAGCCATGAAAAGTGTTCGCGTTACTCAATGCTACGCGAAGTATGTGATTGAAATTGTTTTTGTGTGTTTGGCCAATGTGAAAGATTTGTAAAAAAGAATGAGGAACCTTGCACTTGGTCATGGTGGCTCCCCACATTATTTATGGTTAAGGATTTGGGTATAAAAGTGGTGTGGATTTTTGGGAACAGCACAGTCTTGTAACAGTCCTATCAAAGGAGGTTATCAGAAGTACAAATTTAAAATGAAATTCTTCGTAAGTTACAAACGCAAAACATACATTTCTGGATTAATACAATTAATTGTTTTAGATTGTTTTCGCTGCCGCTTTGGCTGCCGCCTCTGCCGGTTATGTTGCCCCAGTGGCTCCATTGGTGTATGGTGCCCAACACTTGCCAGTAATTGGACCCAATGGCGTCCCAATTGATACCCCTGCTGTGCAACACGCTACCGCTGCTCATTTGGCCCATAAAGCTGAAGCTCATGCCCGTAACGGAGACTACGCTGTCTACGCTCATGCTGCCCCAGTTGTTGCCCATGCTGCTCCTCTTGCCTATGCCCACCACGCTTATGCCGCCCCAGTTGTAGCTGCCCATGCCGCTCACGGTGTTGTCGCTCATGTCGGTGTTGCTGAAACCCCAGAAGTTGTTGCTGCCAAGCACGCACACTTCGCCGCCCATGCTGAAGCTTTGGCCCGCGTTGCCCCAGTCCACCATCTGTACCGTCGTGGTATCTACGCCGCTGCCCCAGCAATTGCCGCTTACGCTGCTCCAATTGCCTATGCTGCCCAACATCTTCCAGTCATCGGACCCAACGGTGTTCCAGTTGATACCGCTGAAGTACAACATGCCCGCGCTGCCCACTTCGCACACAAGGCTGAAGCTCATGCCCGCAACGGTGACTACCTTGCTCACCCAGTAGTATCTGCCGCCTATGGTGCTTACCCATATGCCTATGGTGCCTACCCATATGCCCATGGTGTCCACCATTTGGGATATGCTCATTACTAAATAAATTTGTATGACTGTCTTTTAGAATTAATGTAATGAATGAAATAGCGAAAACATAAAAAAATAATAAAGAAAAATATTAATTGATATATATTTTATAATTTGTTATTTTCAATAAGAGATTCATACCTTGCTCATCTTTTGGAATTTATCCATAACTTGTACATCAGTTTGCACTGTCTTAGATGTAAATATAAAAAAATTGTGAAAAAAAATTAATCAATTAATTAATTTTATTCACTTTATTCGCTTTATTGCACTGACCCTACTATTTGTTTGACAGATTGGTATTTATTAATAAATATGAATAAAATTAATTGGCAAAAATGTGGTTTCTCATTCTGTTATAAATTTTTATCAGTACCTACTTCTAGCTAAAATGAAATCAATTTTTTATCTTTATAATTATACAAATATAGGTATAATTACATCAACTTTTTTCAGCTTCAAATATTTTTTGTTTCGAACGATTTCTTTCTCTTTTATAAAAATGCGAGTTGGATATGTATAAAACCCAATGTATTTTATTGTAAATCAGTTTTTAATTTATGTATGTATAACCAGACCATAATGTAAGAAACAAGTGTCAAGTGTAATAAAAAGTGAGCAAAAAACTTGTTAGATTAACATACAACAGCAACATAGCAACTGCAAATATATTTTTTGGCTAACCCTGAACCCAAATCAATAGTGATCTAAATTTTGATCGAATTTGAATACATACGACAGTTGATATCTATTAAATACAAGTTTTAATTAAAATCCCACGTAACCTTGCACTTGATTATTCTCCCTTCCAAAAATTCGCGAATTTTTGAGTATAAAAGATCTGCAGTTATCAAAGATTGATACAGTCTCATAACAGTCCTAACTCAGGAGGTTATTAGAAATACAAATAAAAATGAAATTCTTCGTAAGTACAAACCACCAGTGCCACCTGAACAAGAAATGGATTAATTTGTGAATATTATTGCAGATTGTTTTCGCTTGCGCTTTGGCCGCCGCCTCTGCTGGCTTTGTTGCCCCAGTTGCCTATGGTGCTCAGCACTTGCCAGTGATTGGACCCAACGGTGTCCCAGTTGATACCCCAGCTGTCCAACAAGCCACTGCTGCCCATTTGACCCACAAGGCTGAGGCTTATGCTCGCAACGGTGACTACGCCTACGCCCCACATGCTTACGCTTACGCCGCTCCTTTCGCTTATGCCCACCATGCCGTCGCTGCCCCAATTGTAGCTGCCCATGTTGGTGTTGCTGAAACCCCAGAAGTTGTTGCTGCCAAGCAAGCTCACTTCGCTGCTCACGCCGAAGCTTTGGCTCGCGTTGCCCCAGTCCACCACTTGGCTCGTCGTGGTGTCTATGCCGCTGCTCCAGTTGTTGCTGCTTACGCTGCTCCAGTTGCCTACGCTGCCCAACACCTCCCAGTCATCGGACCCAACGGTGTCCCAGTTGATACCCCAGCCGTCCAGCAAGCTCGTGCCGCTCACTTCTCCCACAAGGTCGAAGCTCATGCCCGCAACGGTGATTACTTGGCTCACCCAGTCGCCGCCGCCGCCTATGGTGCTTACCCATATGCCTATGGTGCCTACCCATACAGCTACGGTGCCTATGGTGCTTACGCCAAGTATTATTAAATTTGTATGACTGTCAACTTGTAAATTTCAAAAATCAAAAATAATTAATAAAAAAATGAAGAATTATATCTGTCTATTATTATTGGGAAACCTGCCAAATTTCACCCCATTGCAATCATGAGTTGGTATCTTATATTCAGAAACACAATTAACTAGTCTTAAGTCATATCCGTTCTTGTTCAAACAATATTTTGGTGATTAAACATATAGAAACTGAAAATAATATAATTTTTCAACTTCCACCTTTAAAACGCTGTTTTTTCAGGGTTTTGAGACATCAAAAGTGGTACTTTAAAGACAAACGTCGAGGCTGTGACTAAAGTACTTTAATCACGAGTTTTATTCACAGGGTGTAGCTTGCGCCTGCGCATTTGTCTACGGTGCAGCACAAGACCATACGAAATGCCATAGAATGAAGCGCGGCGCGGAATAGGATGTATAACCTAACCCATGGCCGGCCAATCCAGGCACGCGGGCCACAAAGTGGCCCGCCAGGACATTTGAATTTGCCCGCCGCAAAACCAAAGTTGGAACTTTTGTATGTGTTTAATATTTTATATATGAATGGCCATAGTCTGTGGCCCGGTGCCGCCGCAATCTAAAGATTTTGCCCTCCTGGAAAATCCATTGGCCAGCCTTGACCTAACCTATCTCAGTAGTGTGCGAGCGAATTTCGATGATATAAAATACTCGTACAAATGTTCAAATAGGGAAACATTAACGTAGAACAATACACTAAATATTATAATTCGCAAAAGCGCGTGTTTTTTGTAATTTTCAAATTAAACGAATTGAAGCTTTGGGGATTGGATGTATGTATTTAATTTACGCATTTAATCACTCCTTAAATTTTGAGTTAATCAAATTTTCACATTATAACTTTAAGGAAATATAATTGATGTTCTGATTGACTTAATTTAATGTATTCGAAGCAATTTGAATATCGATAAGTATTTATTTCAACATAAGTGGCGCCTATCGATAAATTGGTAGTATTAAGACATTGTGCAACCTAATAAAATATGCGAGTAACTTAATTTCACGCTAATATTACATGCGTAGCTAGGAAATATTGTATGACATTAGGAAATACAACACCTTCCGACTAATCTCATATGAGATGACCCTGAAGGAATTTTGTAAGAATGCGAGCACGCACCATGAGCGGAGAAAGGAACCTTGCACTTGGGACCTAAATTCACACACCACTATTTTCGGCTAAGTATAAAAGCATGCAAACGCACCAGTATCAGCACAGTCTCATAACAGTCCTACCACAGGAGGTTATCAGAAATACAAATTTAAAATGAAATTCCTTGTAAGTATACCCTGGCAATTGTCATAGTTAATCAATAGATTATTAATAACATATTTTCTTCATCCTTAGATTGTTTTTGTCGCCGCTTTGGCTGCCGCCTCTGCTGGCTATGTTGCCCCAGTGGCTCCATTGGTATATGGCGCCCAACACTTGCCAGTGATTGGGCCCAATGGCGTCCCAATTGATACCCCTGCTGTGCAACACGCTACCGCTGCTCATTTGGCCCACAAAGCTGAAGCTCATGCCCGTAATGGAGACTACGCTGTTTACGCTCATGCTGCCCCAGTTGTTGCCCATGCTGCTCCCCTTGCCTACGCCCACCACGCTTATGCCGCCCCAGTTGTAGCTGCCCATGCCGCTCACGGTGTTGTCGGTCATGTCGGTGTTGCTGAAACCCCAGAAGTTGTTGCTGCCAAGCACGCTCACTTCGCCGCCCATGCTGAAGCTTTGGCCCGCGTTGCTCCAGTTCACCATCTGTACCGTCGTGGTATCTACGCCGCTGCCCCAGCTATTGCCGCTTACGCTGCCCCAATTGCCTACGCTGCCCAACACCTTCCAGTCATTGGACCCAACGGTGTCCCAGTTGATACCGCTGAAGTTCAACACGCCCGTGCTGCCCATTTTGCCCACAAGGCCGAGGCTCATGCCCGCAACGGTGACTATCTTGCTCACCCAGTTGTGTCTGCCGCCTATGGCGCTTACCCATATGCCTACGGAGCCTACCCATATGCCCATGGTGCCCACCACTTGGGATACGCTCATTACTTGTAAACAAATTTGTATGACTGTCTTTTTAAAATTATTGTAATGAATGAAATAGAAAAAACAAAAACAAAACAATAAAAAAAATTAATGTACATTATATTTGTGTTCTACACACCAGTTTTTGCACAGTTTTAAGACACAAAAAGTGGTACTTTATACACGAACGTCCAAGGCCGTTTCTAATGTTCTCTAGCCATTGGCTTTATTCACGGGGTAAAGCCTACGGTGCAGCACAAGACTATATGAAATGCCATGCGCCGTCAGTCAAACAAGTCAAAGCATAAGCTGCTGTAGGTGGTGTGCGGCACGACATTTACGAGTACAACCATTCATTGCCCGGTTGTGCGCAAGTACATTTAGATGATTTAAAATACAAAAATTGAAACACAAAAACCTCAACGTGGAAGTAAAGTGGAAGTAGGAAAAATAGCGTAAACATCACGTGGCTAAACGTTGTTAAACACTCAATTACACTCCCGTTGCCAATTAAGCAAAAGATGTTGAAAAATGGATAAAAATAGTTTAAGTAATTACGTGAACCTAATAAAAACCAGATATACTGCGAGTTTATTATTTGTTATTTTTAATAAGCAAAATAAATTCTGGTCACGTAGGTAGTATAAAAAGCTAAGTTAATAATAATCTAATGATTTTTGTTTCTTACTCTATTGCTGTTGTTGATGTTTTCATATATTTTGAGATTGGATTGATGAAAGTGGCAATCTTGTTGTCTCTTTATGCACAAGCGGTGCACCAAAAGCATTGTCACTGTAATCTAAAGATATAATCCTGATAGCTTGCACTTTATCATTATTAACAGATTCACTTTTTTACTTTTCTTAATCTAAAATAAAATATTTGGTAGTTGCAAATTGGATTTCTTAGAAAAATAACAATTGTTTACGTTTTCAAATATATTTTATTTTTAATATTTTTGACAATACTGCACAATGGTCCCACACTTATTTTTAATTAGATTTTCTAAATCACATCTAAACCATCACTGTTTACCACAAGGATGCAACTGGAGCGCCAACCACAACTTGAGAGATAATTGGACTGTTGCGGGCCAATGCTTGGGCATGAGCGGCAAAGTGGTTTGATTTAGCAGCAACAACTTCGGGAGTTTCCAATGGAACACCATTGCTGGTTACAGCTGGAAGTCCAAGGGTAGTTGGGTATGCAGCTGGAAGGGCACGAGCAACAAGAGCTGGAGCAGCGATGGCAGCATGAGAGACCAGAGGAGAAGCTTGTACCCATGGAGCGGCAGAAATGACGGGAGCGCCAGCAATACCGTAAACTTGACCAGTGCGGGCAAGAGCTTCAGCGTGAGCAGCGAAATGGTTGGACTTAGCAGCAACAACCTCTGGGGTTTCCAATGGGACACCATTGGCAGTTACGGCTGGAAGACCAAGGGTTGTTGGATAGGCAGCTGGGACGCCTTGGGCAATAATAGCTGGAGCAGCAGCGGCAAGAATACCACGACGCAAAATGCGGTGAATTGGGGCAATATGACCATTGCGGGCTAGAGCTTCAGCATGAGCAGCCAAGTGAACTTGCCTGGCGGCCACAACTTCGGCGGTTTCTGGAATACCAACATGTCCAACAAGGCCGTGAGCAACAATTGGTGAAGCAAGAATTGGAGCAGCATTAACAGCAACGGCCAAATCACCATTACGGGCATGAGCTTCTACTTTGTGCGCCAAATGAGCAGCACGGGCTTGTTGAACAGCAGGGGTGTCAATTGGTACTCCATTGGGGCCAATAACTGGTAAATGTTGGGCACCGCCAACCCAGAGAGGGGCAATTGGAGCAACAATACCAGCTGAAGCTGCGGCCAAAGCGCAAGCGAAAACAACCTAAACATTTAATAAAATAAATTAGTTTTTAATTAATTGTATTGCAAATTAATAAAACTTACGAAAACTTTCATTTTGAGATATTTGATTTTTCTAGTAACCTCCTATTGTAGGACTGTTAGAAGACTGTGCCAAACTCAAAAATCTGGAACTCATTTATACTATTGGAGCAATGTTTTAATATTTCTTAAAAATTACATCATCCGCTAAATGCAAGATCTATTTCAACAATCAGGGTCATTTTCTTAAGCGAGTTTTGACCGAAAAGAAGAGATGTGTAGGTATGACTATAGCTTACTAAAATATATTCTCTCATTGCATCATTTCAAGTTCAACTTTGCTTGTATTAATCCAATGTTTTGTCATTTTAATATTTTGAATTAAGAATACAAGTATGAACTTCTTAAGGAGTTATTTAGGAATTGCCAAACTATTATCTATATAACATGACTATGATTTTTATTGTTATAATTAAGAAACTATTTGAAAGAATAATTTTTTACTCAAAAGAAAATTAAACTCATGCAAAATATAAAAATATTCCTAATTCAAATACCGCAATGGTTAATATCGTATATTTTATTAATTATGTTACACGTTTAACTAAACACGTTAATTGTGGACATTTACGAATCAGTAATACAGAAACATTAGAATATTCAAGATATTTGTAAACATGATTAATATGCAGTATTATTTAGTAGTAAAAAGATTTAGTCAGGTATATAAATGTTAAACTCCGAAATTGTATTATAAGGCTATCAAGTAAAAATGTAAATTTTGCACCAGTTGCGTGAATTCAGATCAATCGACTTTATAGCAATGACCATGATAATTGCAAAGTATGAAGGAAATCACTCAACAATTTGAAACATTAAATCATGTATCATATTTGTTAACTTTTTGGGGGATCTTTACACGAGTATAAAAGTTTGAACAGTTTGATCAGTTGGTACAGTCTCATAACAGTCCTTCCATAGGAGGTTATCAGAAACAAATACAAACTAAACATGAAATTCTTCGTAAGTGTTTCAAATAACTATGAAATTAAATTTAATAATCTACTTCTAATAACAATTTATTTGCATTGCAGGTTGCTTTTGCTTGCGTAGTAGCCGCCACCTCGGCTGGCATCATTGCGCCAATCGCTCCATTAGTGGTAGCTGGACCCCAACACTTGCCAGTTATCGGTCCAAATGGAGTACCAATTGATACCCCGGCTGTTCAACAAGCACGCGCTGCCCATTTAGCTCACAAAGTCGAAGCTCATGCCCGTAACGGTGACCTGGCTGTTGTTGCTCATGCTGCCCCAGTCGTTGCTCATGCTGCTCCTTTGGCTTACGCTCACCATGCCATTGCTTCCCCAGTTGTTGCTGCCCATGTCGCCCACGGTATTGTTGGACACGTTGGTATCCCAGAAACCGCTGAAGTTGTTGCCGCCAAGCAAGTGCACTTTGCTGCTCATGCTGAAGCTCTTGCCCGCAATGGTCATATTGCCCCAATCCACCACCTCTTGCGTCGTGGAATCATCGCTGCTGCTGGTCCAGCTCTTGTTGCCCATAGCATCCCAGCTGCCTACCCAACTACCCTTGGTCTTCCTGCTGTGACTTCCAACGGTGTCCCACTTGAAACCCCAGAGGTTGTTGCTGCCAAGTCCAACCACTTCGCTGCTCATGCTGAAGCTCTTGCCCGCACTGGTCACGTTTACGGTGTTGCTGCATCTCCAATCATTGCTCATGCCGCTCCACTTGTAGCTCATGCTTCCCCAGTTGTTGCTCATGCTGCCATTGCTGCTCCAGCCCTCGTTGCTCGTGCTATCCCTGCTGCTTACCCAACCACCCTTGGACTTCCAGCTGTCACCAGCAACGGTGTTCCATTGGAAACCCCAGAAGTTGTAGCTGCCAAGTCCAACCACTTCGCTGCTCATGCCGAAGCTTTGGCTCGTAACAGCCCCATCTACTCTGAGGCTCTTATTGCTGCTCCTGTTGCCACCGTGTGGTAAGAAGCAGTGAAGAATTACCTAATAGAAAATGTGTAAATAAATTTTGTATGACTGTCGATGATTCAATGTAAAAAATAATTCAAAATCAAAAAGAAATAAAAACAAGTTATGAATGAATTACTTTTGTTTCGAATTATATTTTATCCTCCCTTGAACAAAAAAGAAACTGAACTCATCATGAATATTAAATAAAAATAATACATTAGCTTGATGAAATGGCAGCATGATTTATTATGTTTTATAGGTTGTACTAGTTGGAGACACTGCTAGTAATGTAAAGTTAGTGCCTACATAATTAGTTTTGTCAAGGCAATAAAATTAATAAAATTAAAAACACATTAGTTATTGTTTATATGAAGTATTGGAATGCGATTATACTCCTCTCAATCATTTTTTATACTTTTTGTTATTTAAATTCTTGATAAACTTTTCAGCTGGTAATAAATGTTTGATTGATGTTTAATATACAAATAGTACTTGAATTAAAATATCTCTAACTTTGAGTTAATATCTTAGTGTTTACATTTTCAAAAAGGAAGCATGTGTCATTAATTATGCCTTGCGGGTAATAAACAGTCAACCTGTGTTAAATATGTCTGACGTAATTATTGCTTGCTACAGAATTTTTTATTGATTGTTTTTTCCATCATTAATTAATCATTAATTTTTTCCCTGCAAATACTTTAAATATTTGGAGCACTGTATGTATTTTTAAATATTTTGCGTGCATTTTATATGCAATTATTGCTGCACGGCTGGTGCTAATTTAATATAATAAAATTTGACATTTCAATACTCTAATTTTGGTTGGCTCATTTAAATCTTTTTTGCATATGTTGTAAAAAATGTGGGGAGATATGCACCGGTGACATATCGAGAGCAACGCCGAACAAATATTTCGAATACTGCATGATCTGAATGTGCGAGCCGTCAAAATACGCAACCCTGAATATTAATTTTACGATATCGAACGCAAAGACCTTGCACTTGATTACCAGTTGTCTTCAATCAATACCAGTTTAAGATGTCGATCGCTTTTTGGAAGTGAGTATAAAAGAGCACCTGTCCACTGTCACAAGCACAGTCTTCTAACAGTCCTTGCAAAGGAGGTTCAGAAATCTACTAAATCAAAATGAAATTCTTTGTAAGTATATATATTAAAATTTATAATGAAATTTGTATTTACTTTGATTTATTTTGAAAAGGTTGTCTTTGCTGCCGCTTTGGCTGTTGCCTCTGCTGGTCATTTGCACGCCCCATTGGCTTATGCCGCCCAACACCTGCCAGTGATTGGAGCTAACGGTGTCCCAGTTGACACCCCAGCTGTCCAACATGCCACTGCTGCTCATTTGGCCCATAAGGCTGAAGCTCATGCCCGCAACGGTGACTACGCTGTCTACGCTCACGCCGCCCCAGTTGTTGCTGCCGCCACTTATGCCCATGCTGCCCCAGTTGTTGCTGCCCATACCTACTCTGCCGCTACCTACGCTCATGCCGCTCCAGTTGTAGCTCACGCTGCCCCTGTTGTTGCTGCCGCTACCTATGCTCATGCTGCCCCAGTTGTTGCTGCTGCCCCAATTGCTGTAGCTAAGGCTGTCCCAGCTGCCTACCCAACCACTCTTGGAGTCCCAGCCGTTACCTCCAACGGTGTCCCACTTGAAACCCCAGAAGTCGTTGCTGCCAAGTCTAACCACTTCGCCGCTCACGCCGAAGCCGTTGCCCGCAACAGCCCAATCTACGCTGAAGCCGCCCCAGTCATTGCTGCCACCTATGCTGCTGCCCCAGTTGCCGCTTATGCTGCCGCTCCAGTCGCCACCTACGCCGCTGCTGCCCCAGCTGTGATCGCTAAGGCCGCTTACGCCGCTGCCCCAGTCGCCGCCTACGCTCATGCTGCTCCAGTTGTTGCTGCCGCCACCTATGCTCATGCTGCTCCAGTCGCCGCCTACGCTGCTCCATATGCCGCTTATGCTTCCCATGCTGCCTACCCAACCACCCTTGGAGTTCCAGCCGTCACCGCCAACGGTGTCCCACTTGAAACCCCAGAGGTTGTTGCCGCCAAGGCCAACCACTTCGCCGCTCACGCCGAAGCTACCGCCCGCAACGCCTGGTAAATTATAAAACAAACAAAAAAAAACACAAAAATCAATAGAACAAGTAATAGAATGTTAGTAGTCAAAAAGTATCAAAAATGTACAGAATAAAAAAAAGACAATAAAAAATTTCAAAAATTAACATAACTTATTTTATTATCAATATAAATACATAATAAAACTCACTGGTATGCAACTATAGATACTACGAAATACGCTTTCAATAGTAAATGTAAAATAAACGTATCGTAAAGGAGCTTGCAGTAAACCTATGCTCGCCAATCCGAGATTAGTAGGTTTGGTAACGCGAGATTTAATAAAAGTGGATTAGTTTTGACTATTCAAGCGTATCGCACTAATGTATCGACGTATCGCGTGGCTTCCAATACAGTGCCCATAATCCCACAGTCGTGATAAATGGCACAATTTCATATGTTCTCTTTTTCACCACGTATTTGATAGTGTATTGCAAGTATACATCCCATTAATAACACATTGATAACAGTAAGACATACAAAGTGAATTGCAAAGTGCATTTAATACAAATTAGTTCAACTAGTTGTATCGTATTGATAAGAGCATAAAATATAATCAATACCGTTAATACTTCAACAGAATTTGAACATCAGATATTTGGTTTATATAATATTCGACTTTTGATCGCAAAATCGAAAACGCAATTTAGCGTAACTGAACATGCCAAATGTAGGTGTATGTTCTCAAGCGGTGAAACTTGTACGTGATTATGCACGCACATAAGCTTTACATTTATTTGCATCATATGAAAGTTTCATATGCTTGAATTTAACGGCAATGTACAAACATTAGAATAATTTAATTATTTGTACACTTGTGAACTATTGTCATCTAAAATTGTGTTCTGATTTATTAATCAACATTAAGTTTTCGAATGGCTGTTATTGTGCGGTCGAATTATGGACACACAACATTGAATTTAATTGTTCTTGTAATTATAATGTTACGCGGCATGTAACATCGTTAAAAAGTTCCCAAATTCAAGCTTCAATTGCAGTAAATTTCTCGTCTGATGGATTTGAATAATGGCGCGTTGATATGCACACCTCACACGTGGATTTAATTCGAAGTTCGTAATGGTCAATGGACTATTGTTACAAGCGTATTGTTGAAAGCACGTAATTAAACCCATAATTAGATCAGTAAAGCCGCAGTAAAGTAATAAAAATTAATTTGGTTAATTACGTCTACGAATTATATTTTCGTCCGTGTAATTACAAAATTTATTTTGGCAACGCTTGGTATATGAAAAATTAATTTATATTAATAACGCTGATTTACATGTAGAAATTTTGATTTGCCTGCAAGGCGTTATGGAAGACTTAAGACGAAAATAAAGTTTCGAATGTTGAACGAGATTTTTTTTATGAATATGATAAAACGAATTGTATTAATCAGGCAATTGACGGGCGGCCCGGTTGTGCTCTACTTCCGACCACCGACGTTTCGGCGAGGGTGTTTGGCCGCGGTGCGCTGAGGTGTGTGCGTGCGTACGCGCGATAACTTACATTGTTCGCCTAAGAAAAATAATCGCGGCCTGTAATATGTTACTTAAGCGCGCAATACGGCGCTCGTGTGCGGGCACTAACGGCCCGACGCACGGCTGTTATGGCATCGAGTGAAAGGGACCTTGCTTGCGATTTGGGGAGAAGCGAGCTGCGAATCATTTGGTGGGACCTATAAATAGCTTTCTTTGGTCAGGGTAGAGCACAGTCAAACAGTCCTAGCTCATCTAGGAGGTTCACTCAGCAATACACGTTTAAGCATGAAAGTTCTGGTACGAACAAATTTACTACTAGTGAAATTTTCAAGTGCTCATTGGATATTAATTAATTAAATTTAATTATAGGTTACATTGGCGTGTGCCCTGGCAGTGGCCAGTGCTGGATGGGCACCAGCTGGTCCGGTCTTAGGCGGATACAAAGGACCACAACACGTTCCAGTGATTCATGATGGTGTTCCAGTTGAAACTCCGGAAGTTCAACATGCCAAAGCAGCTCATTTTTCGGCATTAGCTGAGGCGGCATCTCGTCCAGGATATCAGGCTCTTGAACCATCACCACATGAAGAGTACAGCGGAAATCAACACGGTGGAGGTCATGCTGGTTATTCTTTCCATTCCCAACATAACCCAGCTCCAGTTCATCATGCCCCAGCTCCAGTTCACTACGCCCCAGCGCCAGTCCACCATGCTCCGGCGCCAGTTCACCACGCTCCTGTAAACTATGCGCCCAAGGCCCATATTCATCCTGCCTATGAAACCAGTAACGTTCTCCCAGCAATTGCTCATGACGGTAGCCCCTTGGACACACCTGAAGTTGAACAGGCCAAGCACCACCATTTCGCTGAATTCTCCAAGGCCCTTGCCGCTACCGCACCACATCAACCAGAAGAACCCCAACAGCATTACCACAGCCAACCAGCTCATCACTACCGCCGTCGTCGTGGCCTTTACTCCGCACACATCCCCGTCATCAACCACCATGGTGTCCCAGTTGAACCCGTCGAAGTCCAGCATGCACGCGCTGCTCACCTCGCCGCTTACCACGCGCCAGCTCATGGATACTCTACCCACCAAGTACATGCCCCAGTCTACGGCCATCACTACGAGCACTGGATCCCCAAGTACGACCATCACGGCCGTCCTCTTGACACCGCCGAGGTTGAGCACGCCAAACAAGCGCATTTCCACGCTTTCCACGAAGCCGCCGCTCGTAACTCTGTCCACGGTTACGCCGGTGGATGGAGCCACGGTGTGCCCCATGACACCCCCGAGGTCGCTCACGCCAAAGCAGCGCATTTCGCTGCTCACGCCGCTGCCAAGGGCCACCATTACTGAGTATTAATATACAACCCATTTTGTGATCTACCAGAACTTTCATTCTAGACTGTTATGGCTCGGAGTTTTCGACACCAAGTGCCGAATAGCCGATGTCGAAAAGCTATTATTATTATATACTTATATTTTTTCACTTTGTGTACGTAAACATAATATGATATTGATATTCGATCGAATAGACTATATTCGAATAAATGAATACGAAAAAAGTTTGAATTTCTTTTCTTGCTTCACGCACGATCAATTTCCAGCATGTGCTTGCGTAATGGGCGAAATTAGAAATTAGATCGTGGAGTATAACCAACGACATAGAACCGAACGCAATCTCAGCTTCATCTATTGACCATTACACCAAGAGTAATCATTTTTCCGGCAGGTAACACCAAGGAAAATATTTAAACATTCAACACCTGTTTGGAAAACATTTAGAGTAGTTTCGAAATAATTAGTTCAAGATTGAGATAACCAAATGGAAATTATTTGCGAACCACACGATATAAATATGCAAATGCAATCAAGAAGAGAAATACGTACTACAATAACGTTCTTTGTTTGTCTATTTTCATGTTTGGGCTAATTGTTTGTACACTGTGCTTGGATTAGTTACAGAATAATAGAATATAGAAGTTGGAAAGTGTTGCGACAACAAATGTTTCAATACAACACAACGCAAGATAATCTTATTATATTTATCATTGCTAGCTTAGTTGCAGGCGCATTTCTATGTATATATTACTAAGCTGAATATTTGGCGCATGAATCGAACATAAATTCTTATTCTCTTATTGGACCATTTAAATTGTTTTCTATTTTTATTCAGAGATAACCATTTTTTGCTAGACCGAGATACATTTATATCTAAAGAGTTTTGCAATACTAAATGTACATTCCAGTGACCAGATTGTAATAAATATAGTGCAGTGTAACTGGAAGCAAGCGAAAGCACGGATTCCATTTCAGATGATGCGATACACAGAGAAAATAAATTCTCTGAGAGTGCACGATCTCGATTTAATCCGTAATAGATTTAATGAATTATTGAATAAAAATAAAAACACACCACTTGATTGAAAATTATTTCCAACCTGGCGAAGAAGCAGAAATAAAATGCGTGCTCATGAATAGGAATAGGAGTAAAAAAAAACATACATACACAGATAGAAGCGAGCCTCAAAAGGAAAACGAAATGATAATCGTTACGGATTCCACCTGTTAATACCTAGTTTTCTATTTGTGCTATATTCTGCGTCGTTTTGCGTCGAACCAATTTCTACTTCTACCACAACTTGCACGGTTATTGCAAGTGTATTTTCTCTTTGGCAATGCGCAAACGTTACATAGTTTCAATCTATTCACCTCTAACTATTATTCCGTTTATTTATACAATTATAGTTTGTTTGTATTTCCATTGATGTAACACTTCACGCTTTATTTAGCATTAGGCACTGTGCGTTTTGTGTATTTTTTGTTTTGATTTGTAAATTTGCCACATTTCCACCTTGCAACACATTGTTATGGACAGCGATGAATCAGCGTAATGTATAATTTAGTGCGGATTGCAAAATAATGTGCGCTTATAAAAGAAACCAGTAGCGCAGATTATTATTATGGATTTATTGAATATTACAGATGAGATAAATGCAAAGACGCCGCATGGGGACGATCAAGGATTTCTGAAATTACACCACGCCTATTGAATAAATAATTTGTACATTCTAAGATGACTATGTGGCATATTTTAATTTGTTTATTCATGCACTGTATTTAATTGCAGAATTATACATATTATTGTGACAATAAAAAATAGATAAAATTATTAGCTGTTGATTGACCTCCAATAAAATTCTTTAATATAAAAAATGTAGATATTTAAATTTGTTACTGGAATGTTCACGCATTTTAAGCGTGATACAATTTTAAATTAATATTTCACAAAAAAGACAATGTTTTAAAAAAATATGTGACGTCACAGACGACGGAAGTAAAAATTATGATGCAATATGAGCTCAAAACAGAGCAATGAGCTTTAAAATAATTTTAATTATTTACCTGTGAATTATACGATCGTAAAAGTAATATCATTAAAAATTGAGCAATGTTTCATTGCTTTCGCGCGTTTTCCTATCTACTTTCTTCGTAAGTAGATGTACCTACCTACTCACTTAATTGCATTTGCCGTGACACTTAAATAGAAACAATTTTAATGCTGTAATGTTTTTATGCGTTGCTTTTCTTAGTTACCTAATGTTTAAATAATGACATGATTTACTCAAAACGGCAAATTTTTCAATTAATGAAATCCATCTCCGCGTCCATTTCCGCAAGAGTCAAACATTTAATAACGCGGAATACGTTACCATACTGTCACTTAAGTCAAAGCCAAATGAGTGCATAGTTGCATTCTTGTATGATGTATGATGTAACGCTCAGCGACCATTGCGAACAAAGGCGACTGTCGATAATTTATTTTTAAAGACTATTTCCCGGATCGTCAGCTGTGATGCGCACAATAATTACCGTATTTTGTAGTGATTACATTTCGAACATGTTGTGCATGGTTACAAACAAAATGTAAATAAAAACTTGACGTATATTATGCAAAATCAAATAAAACAAACGCATAGAAGAAATCGCGGCGAGAGCACGCGAGAATAACGAGTGCAAAACGCCGGCGCGAGTTTCGTACTTGATTCCGCGATGCAGAGTACTTCATTACGCAATAACGGCATTATTTCGTACTCACATACGCGAAATGTGCCTAAACAAATAGCTACTTTGCGGGAACGACAGATATAAGCCGAGATCGCGAGCGTGAGCTGAAAAACCAAAAGCGGAGCGCGAGGCGAATCAGAACGAAATCAAATGAAACGAAACCCAAACATGCGACCAATGCGAGAGCGCGCAATATTTATTGTCAGGCATTAAAACATTGCTCGCATATTTTCCATCGGCAGCGAGAGTATGCCGTCGTCCTTCCTGATGCGTAGGATTTTCAAAACGTGTTTGGACTCTCGTGTGCTGCTCTCTTAAATAAATTTCAATCCGAATGAGAAAAACAATTACATATATTTCGTTGCTCCGGCAAAGCGTAGGAGACTAGGAAACAAATATCAGTAGCAAATAATAATAAATTTAAATGCTTTATAAATTAAGCAATTTCAGTTTTATAGGTTTTATTTAGTTATTTATTTGAGTATAGTCTACTTTGTCCCGCATCCAATTATCGATAGATATTCTACGGATGTTGAAAATGTTCCGCAGGCGCCGACAGAAAGTAAAACGAGCGTGAACGCAGACGCGGAGACGTGAAACCCAAGAAGCGGAACCAGATCGCTCAAGGTCGTCGGATACCGCGCAAATCGCCCAAGACTTCTTCCTCGAGTCGACTTCGTGCAAACATTGCGACAAACTACGACAATGAACCCGTCGTCAAAGAGCAAACTGCTTTAAAGCCCAAAGGTGACTAACACTACAATTTTTAACCTCAATTACTGGCTATACTGCCTTACAGCGTAATAAAAGTTGCCTACCTAAAAAATGTGTCTCCTTTAAGCTTTAAACCTCATTGTTTGTACCCACGATGCAAGATTCCGCGAAGAATATTTGCAACGCATTAATATGAATTAATCATAAACATTAACCAGCAAAAGACGCCGACTGCCTCGACCAGTTATGGAATATTTGACGTCGATCTCGTCACATTGTTACTACATGCTCGGAGCCTACACGAAAGGCGGGGCAGGTATAAATGTTACTTGGAGGTCATATGCAACGGCATAATCGTTGAATTCTTTAAGCCAGTACCTACTATGTTTGCGATATTAATTTCTGTGAGTATTTTTTTTTCGCTGTTTTCTTTTATTTGAGGAATTAAATTTCATTGAAAATGTTCACAGTTTGTTTGTTGGGTGGTCCTAGCAGAAGGGTACCATAATGGGGTGACTATAGGACTTACACCTTATTCCCATCCGGTCCTTTCCCAATATCACGCACAAGATGTCTTGGGCCAATATTCCTACGGATATTCCACACCCACAGCGACAAAATCCGAAACTAAAACTGTTGATGGTGTTACACAAGGTGGGTATTCCTACATTGACTCCAATGGTCTTCTTCAGTCTGTCAGCTATGTAGCTGACCCAGTTCATGGCTTCCGAGTTGCCGCTACTAACTTACCGCAAGATTTACCTGACGTTGCTTATGCCAAAGCAAAACATCTTGCTGACTATCAAGCAATTAAGGATGAACACGCAAGGGCACGCTATGTCCTTCCACAAGCTATCCACGCAGGTGGTCTTGTAGTTCAGGACTTACCGGAGGTTGTTAGAGCTCGCGCTGAACATCTTGCTGCGGTACAAGCTACCCTTGTAGCGCATCAGACTCATCACCTACAACAGCAGTTGCCTGCCGTTGTACAGGATCTGCCTGAGGTGATTAAAGCACGCGCCGAGCATTTGGCCGCTGTCGAGAATATCAAAGCACGCGATGCCGCCATCAGCCTCAGTCCGGTTCATTTACATAACAACGTAGCACCGGTGCATTATCACGTCGCACCACAACCAACTTACGTCCCAATTCAACCAATCACCTACCATCCTGTTGGATTGACATCGCAGTACCATGCGCAAGATGGCTGGGGTCAATATTCCTATGGATACACAGGTCCACTCAGCTCAAAATCAGAGACCAAGTCTGCTGATGGTGTTACCAGAGGCGGGTATTCTTATATTGACGCAAATGGTATTTTGCAAACCGTACATTATGTATCTGATCCTGTCAATGGCTTTAGAGTGGCTGCAACCAACTTACCACATTAGTACATAACCAATAATAATAGTTATATGTTAAATATAATTTTCATAAAAATCCAATGATGCAATCATGCACAACGATTGAATTTTTAATGCGAATGTTACAATCGTTGTTTGTTCATGTAGAACTAAGTAAATTAAATTTTAATTTGATTTATATCATGATTAAATAGATTGCTTTTGTTGTGATATTATTTGTACAATAAATAAATAAATATTAAAACAAACATTACATAATATATACAATTCTATCCATAATAAAATTATTATAATGTAACATTGAATATTTGCAAATAGAAAATAGTTCAGTTTAAATGCTCATAGATGTCGATAGTAGTACCTCAAGTTACTTTTATTGACTTAAAAATAAACAACGTGTGTAGCAATGTTTTATTTTTTTATAGACACGATGAGTAATAGTGTCAAAGTCTCTGAATTACTACAGAAATATTTCACCAACAAAAACAATATTGATAACTCTTGACCTTAGAATGATTTTACAGTCTCGCATTCTATTTACTCGCAAGTTTGCAACTGGAAGTAGTACATGATTAACATTGCAGTGAGCAATTCCTCACGAAATAATTTTATTACATTATCAACTTGTGATGTCTGAAGATTCTCAAAGTAGTAAAAATGTGGCTAGTAAATATCCGCAATACATTTCTGCGACGATCGGTAAAGAGCAGTGTTTATTGAGTTTCTTTAAGAAGTAATATTATTAAAATAAATATTTTAGCGGGATTAAGTGGGTTTGCTAGTGGCATAGCGTTGTGTCCTCTTCTGTTGGGATCTAGTTACAATGAAAATATATCATTCAGACTGTATGAAACTAATAATCTTCAATACCTGAATATTTTTGGAGCGGTTGTAGGCACCTTGGTCTCTGGTTTTGTTAGTGATTCCTTGGGTCCGAAACGTGCCATACAAATTTCAGCGTTTCCACTTTTTATGTCACGCCTTATAACAGCATATTGGTACGGCAAATTAATTATTTCAAAATCATTTGTTAAGTAATTGTATCATAAAATGAATTTAATGTGATATCTTTGTGTTTATAGCCGCACCGTTTATGGATTTTACGCTGCAATATTACTGCATGGATTCGCAGCTGGAATATCTCTCTTTTCCGCGATAAATTATTCAATCGATATCGCAGAAAGGCGACAAAGAGGAAGTGTTGCATTTATGTATTACGCGTTGCATTTCTTGGGTATAATCTGCGCTCATTCAATTGGTAAGTGCATTTGAAACTTCCGTTTTCTCCACGTATTCTAGTCTATTAAGAATAATATTCGTATCTGTTAACTACTTACGTTTGTCTTGCGAGTTGAAATCGTGTTAAATTGCGAAGCAGCAAGTCGTTCAAGCCGTGTTAGCTTCCAATGCAACGTGAAAACAAGCGGATATAGACGATGCATTGCGCAACAGGAAAACTCCCACGAGTGACCAGCCCTAATCATGTTAAGGAGAACCGAAGCGCGCACTCCCTCGCATCTGGATCAGCGTTTTTCGGGATTTCTACTTTCCTGTCGATTTGTTTCGCTTGCGCTTTGCCCCTCGTTCCTCGTTTTTCTCGTAGCCGTGCTGACGCGTTCGGCGCTTCGTTTTCCATTTTGTATTTCTTTATACACATTCGTATGATTGTTTTATGTGTCTATCGCTTCAATTTGCGCCGGATATAAATCGTGACGGTTCGTTTATACGGCTGTGGGGTGCGATGCAGAAAAAACAACACCGCGCGGCCGGGAAAGAGCGAGAGATGGATTCGGACGCTTTCACGGCGTATTGATTGAAATATATAGCAACGCTTGAAGAAAATATACAATACGAGGAGATACATTGATAGAAATGGAATGACATGTTGCGAACGATGGAAAGCCGTCTGCTTGCTCGTGCGCTTATCGAATTAGGAGCGCAGACGTCGGCGACGCCAACAAGAAACAACAGAAAAGATGAAGAACATTTCGATTTGGTTTGTATGCAAAGCACAAAAAATCATATTTTATAAAAACAAATCTAAAAGTTGCAATGAATAATTTATGACGATTATAAGATCATTCCGGAACGCGAGCAGCATTAAAATGGCAAATTATACGCTGTCATCTATCTCACGCTAAGTCGGAATAAAAGACACAAATATTTATTCACGAATGAAAACTTAGTAATTAAACGCGAACAGTATTATCTCAGTAAATATTTACTATTTTAATAATGTAATGTGAACGTAGGCAATCCAAATTACACTCGCAGCTTAACCAAATTTATTGTTCGTTAAATAATTCGCGTTTGTGCACTAATTTAGGTATACATAAATTATTACGCGAGATACCGTCGAATTGTTACCATTACAAATAGTCACACTTCAGGTAGTAAACGATAAATTATTACATTAATGAATAAGGAATAATCGAATTATTAAGGCAAGTTAAACGATGCGTGCTCAACATCTTATCGGTATATGGCACGGTTTCGTGCAATATATGTTTGGGAAGTGTTAAATTTAAGGCGAACTACTGGATATTATACTCGAGCATGTGTTAATCAACTTAGTTAATTATTGCCTACATTAAAGTTAAGTTTTCACCCGTGCACGTGGAATTAAACCGCGTTCTTTTTGAAACAACATTTCACGTTCCACTTTATTTCTGAGATTTACGATAAAAACTTCTTGGTTCGTAATATTTTAATTTAATATTAATTAAATCGGACATATTTTAATTATTAATAAGATATTATTCTTTAATGTGTCGGAAAATACGAAAACGTATTTCGGATGAAATGTGTTAAAGTGATTTGAATATTAAATGCCTCGACATTTATATTTCCACGTTCATGGCGCGCGTCTTGAAGAAGTAGATAATTTTCTGCACGTCGCAATGCTGTCGCTTATCATCCCTGCATCGCGCAGTTCGGTTCGCCGCGAGAGTTGAAAACTTCATAAAGTCAATATTAATGGTATGGTGTACCAGAGGCAAGAGGCACAAGAAGCGACTTCGTTACGATGGCAGTCATTCGTCATATTAAAATTACTACCAGCGGTTTGGTTGGCTGCAACTAACTTAAACCGTAGTAAAGTGTCGGTTCTGCTTGTGTTTCAATGCAATACGATAATGCATTGTTGGCTGTATGCATTTTAACTAGGGGCCGTGCAATCGTCCAACAAAGTTCTTCGGAATAGTTTGTTAAATAACAAAACTTATTTTTCTTTGGTGAATGGAATGAGTAACACCTCATCGTCGCTTTTTCGAATTGTGTATTCAGAAGCGCACTGAGGAAATTTTCCAAGTTTTCTACCATTGCACTACGAATATAAATTTCAATAAAAGTTCGCAAGTTTTAACTCTGTGCGATTTTCTACTTACTTTCAAACTACAACCGCATAAAATGATGAAAGAAGTAGATATTTGCTGGTTTTAAAGACAAAATAACCACAACTGCTTTTTTTCATTCAAAACTTGGAAAAATTTTAATTTAAAAACGAAAATGTGCGAACGGATTAAAAGTTGATGATGATAAGTCAGATGTCATGTGAGCAAACAGTTTTTCATTAAAAGTTTTATAGCTTGCTGGGCATTCCTTGCGTTTTCCGCTCTTCCTGTCAGTTAGTAGTTTGAAAATTCTCTCGAGTAGCGTGATCTGGCCGAGCCGTTCATTTGTCTTCGTATTTGTAGGGTGAGGGTGTATTAAGAGTGACCGGCGTAGCATTGATGGACTAGACGCTGGATAAATTGTGCAAATGAACGATGTTTTTCAAAGCGGATCGAAGCGGCGCGCGTTTGAGTGATTGATCGCAAAAAGCTGCGCAATAAAATGGAAAATTAAGCGCAAGCGCGTCGAAAAACAACAAGAAAACTCGTTTTTCTTGAAATCTTTATGAGCGATTGAGTCAAATATGAAAAAGACAACAGAAAATCAAATATCAAATCTAAAGAAATACTTTCACCAAGTTTTCTTTCCAGAAAAACTTTCTGTAACTTTTTTTTATCAACGCACAAATCTATTGAATTAATCTGATGTGTTTTTATATTCCTTTTTTTAAATTTAACCTTAATTCAGTTAATTTGTGCCTTCAGGGAGAAACGTAGACGACTTCATTCTACAGGCGCTAATTCCATCAGTGGTGCCGGTAATCTACCTGACCGCATTATCCTTTATACCTGAATCGCCCGTGCACATGTGCATGAACCACGATTTGCCGCAGGCGTGCAGCAGCTTGCAATGGCTGCGCGGTGCTGATTACGATATTGACGACGAGATTGCCCGCATTCAGGAGTACACCAGATCGAAAAACGACCACAGGCGTCCAACAGGCGCCAACGAATCAGTGGTGAGATTCGCCAGTCGAAAAACAGCAACGCTCATTTTTAGCGCTGATTCAATATTTGCTGTTTTGTACATTTTGTATGCACGATGCTTCAATTGTCTTGACAGTTTGTATTTAAACATGGAATTTGATATTGGATGGAATTCAATGACAAACGAATTAAAGGTAAATATTAAAACTAAAAAACAAAAACTATAGAAAAAGGTATAGAAGGAATGTTTCAATTTGCCTCTACTCGATTTTCTTTAGAGTTGATTTTTTGTTGTTTGCAAACATGAAGCACTCTCCACTAGTCATGTCACATGCTCTTGTTGATATCGAATGGAATCGCATCACGAATCAACCAACGCGCCGTATGGTGGCTTGTTTCTTATTTGCTGTTGCTGCTTGTTCCTTTCAGCTTTTTATGCGGTTTTGCAATAGGATTTCAGACCATCTTGTTGTCTATCTTCCAACGGTGTCACTACTGAATGTTTTCATAGCTAAACTAACAAAACATCATAAATCAAGTCTTATTCATTCAAAATCAAAAAAAAATCAACAACAAAACAAAACATTATATTACTTTTTTCAAGCAATTTGTGAGTTTTACCAAATTTATTTAAACATTAAAAGCAATAATTAAATATTTTCACGTTTGGAGCATACGGTAGATTTATCAAACCGCAGATCCGAACAAAGATTTTTATCGGTCACGACTTTGTCGAGTGTCACATAAGGTGACAACGTGATTCGCAGGGGCGTTTGTTGATTATCTTGAAAAATCGGGTTTACGTTGAGTATCACAAAAATACAAAGAAAAAAAAAACACAGTGCTGTATTTATTTAGTTTAAAATTTTATTGCTTTTATAAAGATTTCAAAGTTGATCAAAACAGTCAGTAGAGTTGTTTCAAGCAGCGATGAAGAAGCACGAGGCCGGAAAGACTTCGTTGAGCGTCCACGCTACGCTGACTTCCCGAGTGTCGAATGCGCGTCGTTAATTCGATTCCATTCTCGATTATATTGGCCTTAATAAATCGTCGTCAGAATTTGATTAGCCGACCGAATTTCTATCGCGCATCGATCGGCACAAATCAACACGGCGTCCCACGATCTTCTTCGTCATCGTACCTATTCACATTCAACCTTCCAATCCAGAACTTGCCGGGTGAGAACTTCATATCCTGCTAGTTTCCGAATGCATAACTTAAATTCATTCACGGTAGTAGTCATAGAAGTAGTAGCAATATAGTTAAATATTATAATTTTATATGTTATTTAATTTTAGTTCCGTTTATGTATTTTCTAGTTACCGTTGGTGTTACTCCTGATGTGGCTCGTGAAACATGTGGAATTGAACATTTTGATTCCTAGAGTGTTTGTTGTAAACGCCATTGGTGTTATGACAGTAGAAATAGTTCTATATTTCTTTGAGGATGTTGAATGGCTATGGATTCCTTGTTTATTAAATGTAATCATTTCCTACGGAAACGTTTTATTAGTGACGTTGCTCCTCTGGCAGGTCTTTGATTACATTGAATTGAAAAGCAAAGCAATACCTTTTTGCCTCACGATGCAGCTCGGTTGGATTATGATGTATACAGCTATGCCTGAATATGACATTCCTTCAATTTATTTTACAATTATTAACATAATTGTAGGATTTATCGATATACAATATTTTTTGCCAAAACTGTTAAAAAGGAAAGACATGCCCACAAAAACAATATTTTTACAAAATGTTGCATAGGTATTAATTTATGCGTTCAATAAAATCCATATTTGCTCACAATGTGTTCTCGTGCTGTTTATTTTTTGATTTTGTTTCATATTTTATTATACTATATGTATTGAACTCCGTTTCCTTGCTTCCCTTTTTTTTATCGGTGCGCGGGTGTAAAAAGAAGCGAAGTTTAAACGTGCTGGCCTGGAGGGCGTCCTGCAAGTTCATGAGGCATCAAATGCGATTAGGGGCATCTCGGGAGATACGTGCGAGTCGCATCAACGCCCGAAGCCACCACCATCGGTCCCCGTTGGACCTTCGCTGCTCCCCCGGAAACTGCGCCATCTTTGCCTTTAGTCTTCGCGAACGCTCACGTTTGCGTCGTACAGTATTCGTATTCGATATCTACAGAGCGCACATGCACGGCTACGTCAATTTACAATTCCTGTCACATCCCACTTTGTACACTGGATAAATAACTTGTAGCATTTCAAACAGAACGTCCCCAAACGCACGAGCACACACACACACACACACCCAAAGCAAACATATATACACAAAATGTTTATTTGTCACATAAATAGCAAATAGGATCAAATGTGTGCTCGATACTCACCGCAACTTCTTTATATTGTTCTTTGTTCAACTTCAACCCACAAAAAACAAAAGAAGGATAAAAAAAATTAAGTGAGGAGTACAAAAAGTAAGCGATGAATTATTTAGTTGACTTGAACGACACTTTCCTTTATAAGTATTATTACATATTGAATAAAAAAGCTTTAAGAAGAAGTTAAAAATTGAATTTCAAATTTTAACATTTTTTCTTTGTTTTACCCAGATGGAAGTACTGTACCTGCGCGACTGGGTCATTTATTGTTGGTAACAAACGTGCGTGCTTTCCAATAGTCTCTATGTCTATAAATACGAAGCGTTTCTCTCATTGCAGCATCTCTAACATTCCCTCGCCAGCCACCAATCACTACACTCCGGTACACATTGAATTTTCAATGCGCATCGGTCTGGTGAGCGCGGTTTTTGCACAGCTGTAAAAAAGCCAGAGTGAGTCGGGCGCGTTGGGCATTAATTAAATCAATTCGAGTTTCTCCCGAAATCAACGTTCCCACGTTCGTTTATTACAGTTTATTTCTGCGTGTCTTCCCTTCTAGCATAGCTTTTTTCTCCGTTTCACATAAGTAGGTAGTACACGTATATGACATTGATCATATTTTATACATTTTTTTGTATCAGTATCGTAGCCGCATTTTTATACAGTACTAAGTATTTTACATCAATGATTGTATCCGAATTATAAGTTGTAAGTCAAAAGGAATACGAGTATCATGTGAAAGCTCTGTTGCGACGTTAATATACGATAATGCATGCTAATCGAATGATTCAGCAATCTTTCGTTCACTGCGCTTTGATGATTCGTTTCCCAAAGACTTTTAACACCTCCGCTTCGCTGCAATTACGCTACGCGCTTTTTAAATGCGTTGTAAATCTGATTTGCAGATTAACGGAGGTCATAAAACGTCTTGATTGGACATTGCGAACGAAACAAAAGGCACGATTAATTAGGTTCCTTTCACGCTTTCCACTCGCGTCGTTGAGAAACTTAGCAGATGACACCTTTGGCCAATTTGAGATAGGTACTTTTTACAATTGGAAATAATTTGCTACAAAATTCATGCTTTAACTAACAGTGATTCTTCTAGATTAATTATATATACATTCATTATATTTTACATTTATCGTTCGCAATTCCGAGTCAAGATATACATTTGCTTGATCACATTTAAAAGAAAACCTTAAAACAGGTTGGAAAAGCTCTTGTACTGTATTGTACCCATATACAATTAAATGAATAAATAAATAAATAGTTATACAACATATTTTCAGGTTAAATGGGTTAAATCTCTCATGATATATTTATACATTTATATTTAATATGTACATAAAAAATATTTAACAATATAAAACTTTTCCGTGTGTCAATACAAAAAGGAAACTGCTAAAGCACAATTAAAAAGTAATTGACTGACTTGCAAGCGTATAATATATACAAATTTCTATATAACACGAATAGCATAAAATATATAAACTAAACAAATCAATAAATATTTAATAAAATTTGTTCTAATATCAAACATCGATAAAGTTTCTTTTATGTTGTAATTAATAAATTATGTATTATGCATCTACACTTAAATGTTATTTGGCTAATAACACAGCCTTGAATTAGGGGTAGTTAGTTTCCTTTACATGTACATACTTACATACTTATCGTATGCTACCACATAAAAAATCTATTGTATTAAACTAATTCCTTTCGAGTCCTGTCAGAAAATTGATGTTGTCATAAAATATGTATAAAATGTTTTAAATGAAACACTAAACTCTAAACAATCCCACGGAAGTACAATCTTTGTTGTAAATGCCGGTGATCTGTAGATCCATAGACATTCACAAATGTGCGCGATGCGCTATGAGCTAGCTTTATGTTACAATTCAGTACAGTTATTACGAAGTCGTAAGTGTATTTCTAGTGTGTGAATGTGTGTGTTTATATTTGGTCGCGATTGTTTTATCACGCTTGTCAAGCACATGTCGATTTAGTAGTTTGCTAATACTAAAACCCTGTATTTGTCAGTTGTGATTATTTAATTTTTATTGGAGTGATTTGTGTAAAATAGGTAAATAATAATGCTTTGAAAATTCTTTTATTTTTTCTGTGTTTCTATTTCTTAATAAATAAGTTACGTGGGAAGCGTATTGATTAAATTTCCAAAACAATTGCTTGTTTTTGCGGTCCTCTGTGCGCGCACAAAGAATGTCCAATCGCCTAAAGGATGCGTGGGAGGAATGTGTGGGAACAAAAGAACCAAAACCTTTTCTATCAAGAATAAATTCGATTTAAAAAAATAAAATCATTATAATACGCTTTGTGATAATAAATTAAAACTCAACGATGACCACAGGTTGTTTCCGCTTTTGTGTTTTTTGTTCTTACATTAAAAAGCTAATTGTTACACATACGTATATAAGCTAGTAGTAACTACTTGACTTAAGTGTTAATTATAAGTCGTTAATCTTTTCCCTCTCCAAATAATTCAAAATAACATCACACTTGAAAATAAAACCTTAGGTTCCATCGGTTTCTGAGGCGTTTTGTGCCTCGATTTATCTCGATATCACCAGTTATCAGCATTTACTCCCCCTCACCTTCACGCGAGCGACGTCGTCGTCGCGAACGCAATCCTGATCCTCACACGCACCGTCGTCGAGCCTCTTGCGTCAGCCATACAAACACATGGCGACTTTGAAAACGGAATCCTTATCCAGGTACATTTGCGATTTCCTGCGCTTCTTATGTCGTCACCTCGAATCGCTCGGATCACCGCCCGGATCGCTATCTTCTCCGAGCGAATTGCCGTGCGTTTGTATATTATAGCTAGGCGAACGGAACTGTCGGCCCTGTAGCTGCGATCCATCGGATCCTCGTCGGGAGGTGGGCGCATCACGGCTCTTACAAAAGCATTTGCAAATAATGCGCTTGAACGCAAACCGAAAGTCTTTTGAGAAGAGCGCGTAGATGAGCGGATTAATCGCCGAGTTACAATAGCCCAGCCAGAAGAGGATTGAGAATATCAATGGATGTATGCAATCCTCACAAAACGCGCGCAATAAATACACAGTAAAGAATGGTAACCAGCAAAAGATGAAACCACCCACGATAATACCAAGAGTTTTGGCCGCTTTGGTCTCCATACGGAATCGTTTTACTTGTGCCTTAATATTACGCTTACCCATACGTTTTGAGATGATCTTGGGTTTGCTAAGACCATCTTCACAGATGGACGGGCTAGGTGAGCGCGTGGGAAGGCGCTCATTGCTGTCGCAACTTGAAGATCTCCGAGAACATCGACGATGTGTTGCTAGACGTGGTGTGACGCGAAGATGGGTCTCACGTCTGCAGAGATTAGTTGATGTGGTGTCCTTACCATTAACGCTGTAGTGTACAGCGTAACTGGCTTGACTTGTGGGTGATGAAGGTACCACCGAGAGTAGATTTGGTGACGGCGAGAGGTTCTCGCTGGACGGGTAGCTAACGCTGATCTTTACACGTTCGTGTTTTCCACGTGGTGATGGAGAGGCACTCCCCGTCGTTGTTGTGGTGCTGTTACTGCCATTACTGTGAGGGGAACCATAGAGTTGTTGTTGTCTAGTGGAAGAACCTCGACCACGATGGATACGGAGTGTTAATCGCTGCTCATCGAAGCGGTTACCCAAACCTCGGGTACCTGCAATAATAGAAATATATGTTACTGTGGGCCTTTACCTTTAAAAATAATAATATCTAAGATTTATTAGATTTAACAACCGTTCAAATAGTAATAAATTTACTTGATTCGTACGTTAGTTGTAGCAGTACGGCTTTGCCCTGTGAGTAGTCTCCTGCTACGAATGAATTTAGGTAGATCGTTGATAAGCGCCGCGTTTTCCCACCCACCGGGCATTGTCTCCTTCGGCAACGCGCGAAAATCCTTATATAAAGCGGCAAGTAATCCCCGGGGCTGTTTATTATGCCGACGCGCGAGAAACGAGCGGAAAAAAGTTTACACCTGCCAGATTCGCGAGAAATACGCTGCGTACATATTTATGTCGTAAAAAACAGTCAGCGTTCGTGCACATGAAGCAAAACGGCGACAAAAGCTGCTCGACGAGAAGGACTGTTTTCAGAGATATCCATTTTTTGCGTTGCGCGCTTCCCACGCGCGGAAAAATTAGCTCTCCTTGCGTATTCCTTCGACGTCTATCACAAAGCTACTGGTCTCGTCTGCTTGGTCGATGATACGCATTTCGTTTTTGCGTACGCGCGCTTCCAGTAACTTATAAAAGTAATTGAATCCTCTACGGAGTACTTTTTACTACTTCTGGCAGATATATTCATGCTCCCGTGGTAGGTTTTCTTCGTTCGTGTTTTTCTTTTCTGAAACGAGCGCCGAAAAAAATAATGCGAGTCTTGAGCACTGTGGAGTTGCCGAGTTTGTGCAACCAAAACACGTAACGCGATATATGCGTGAAATTCGATTTTGCAAATTGCCTTTATGTTGATTTACTTTGCTTTCGCCTGCGTACCGCGTGAACACTCGAAAACATAACTGAACGTGGAAAAATCTCGACGATAAAACATTGCGCGCGCGCGCTGCTGCTTAACGTTTGCTATTGTTTCTGAATGGAACTCGACGTGCTCAACTCGTCGACTAACATGCGAAACTGTCGCCGTTGGTAAATAATTCATTTATTCGATTGTTGGCCGCGGAAAGTCGGGCGGCAAGTGCGCGCGTGTTGAAAACAACGAAAGTCTTTTTTATTATCTCGTAGAACACACATGGGGCTGACGGTTATTGCCGGGGTCTTGAACACGATCGTTACTATCCCTTAACGACAACGCGTATTATGAGCAAACGTAGTAGGGGCGGGTATTCGGGGGTTTCGGATGAAGGCGGCCGTGTATTATGTAGCCGTTTCGACCGCATTAAGACGCCAGCCATGAAAAACGAGCGCAAGGAAATTAGCCCGGGCGCCACCATCCTAACGTTGTGTTTTACTTGATCTCATTTGGGGGTCGTAAACACTTCCTTGGTTGGGCAAATAGCTCAAGTTTCTACGGGCAGAGTAAACTAATAAATTAATTTATTTTTCAATTTGTTTTTTAATGCATAAAAATTGCATTTTATTTAATTAATATAAATTATTGTTCAGTAGAGGCCAATTTGTGCATGAAGGCTAATGATAAACACCTGCACCATGTAACTATCAACAAGTAAATATTGTTTCAAACAAACCCTTAGTGTGGTCAAATTTGAACGAATCAGATTTGACCATCAAAGCCCCCCAAAGCGATATTGCCATATCTGGCTTAAGAGTCTTCTGCACATAATTCAGTTTGGCGGAAGGGCTGCCACTTGCTGGCACTTTAGCCCCGGCCGTTGTTTCAGAGCTTTCGCCGGTGGCCCGTTGCGTTTAGTTCTCCTCTATTCGATTACAATTTTCGGTCGCCGGCTTAAGGTAAAGCTATCCGGCTAATAAAGTTAGTCTGTTAGTTGGTTAGTTAGACGCATGTACCACCCACCTCCGCCGGCGCAAACCGTACCTAAATGCCCGGTGTTTAATCAAAGTCGGAGGTAAATTTTGCTCGTTTAAACTCACCGCCCGCATGCAAGCAAGACACACGCGTGCGCACTCAAAATCGGCACCTCAAAGACATGCACAGCAAGGGTGCGAATTAAACTATCGACGCAGCGTTTACCTTTGGTCGTCCTAAAGCCCTGATTGATGGCGCGCGTCGTCCGTACGGCGGCTTTGTATATCCGCCAGTAGAAGAAGAGCATCACGAACATGGGGATGTAGAAGGAACCAAGCGCCGAATAGACGACGTATCCGGTCTCGTTAGTGAGCTCACATTGCCACTCGCAAGGAACATCTTCTTCCGCTCGAGTGCCGTTCCCCGCCGTCGACAGCGTCAGCTCTGGCGGATCATTGGTCTGCACATGGAACAAAAAGAACGACAATAAAAAATCAGTCAAGTGAACCCCTGCTCTATGCTTAAGTGATAATGCATAAAACAACTTCAGGTGTATTGAAGAGGGGTAAAGGATTGTGCCTATTGTGTGGGTGTACGTCTCAGGGTTTCAGGGTTTCAGGATTTCAGTGTTTCTGCCACACCTCGTTCTTATTCTGTAAAGTTTTAGCGCTGCTCTGGAAAGTGGGTTTTTGTTTAGAGTTTGTGGAGTTGAATAAGCACCGCGTCTGTGTACGGTTTTTTCTTCGTTGTATTTTTTTTTTGTTATTTCTCGCAAGGAAAACTACTTGGAAGCTACGGACGTTGTGTGAAGTGTAACAACACGAGACCGGTAAACAAATTGCATACATAATCCTGACGAGTCCTTTTGGAGACGTCTCCAAGAAGCAAGAGACGTTTTTTCATCCCAACCTAGGAAGATGACACAAGAGGAATGCGACTGCTTGACAAATAGAACAAGCAGAAGTGTAAAGAAAGGAAACTAACGTCGCCAGAACTAAAAATAACAAAAACTAAGTAGCAGAACGCGTGGCCTTACTCTTAAGAAGACCTAGACTCTGATACTAGGGCAGTGGCGCACAATAACATGCTATAGACGATTCTGAGATAATGCCCAAGCGTGAAACTCAACTCCCGTGAGAAGAATAATTAATTACTGAAGCCGGCACTGACGTATCGTCCTTGCCCTGTTTGTATCAACCATGTTGTTGCTTGTTCCTGCACTAATCCGCGTTGATGTTGCAGTGTTTGCATTCCCAGGCACATTGCGCAAGGCCGAATTAAAAATAAATAATATACAGGAAACCAATCCGAAGGCCTGAAAATCTAATAAAATTTTCTGCAAATGTAGCACAAAAGAGCAATTTCAAGTTTCTGTAATAACTTGAACAGAAAGGTATAATAACTCAATAAAGGTTCAAAGTTGACTCCGCATACAACATCCTTCCGTCTTGACAAATATCTAATTCAAGTCTTCGCTTACGGCTCCGATTCATTCAATTTCAGCCAAGATCACCGAATCATATTCCCTTCTTCGTATCTATGAACAATGCGAACAACAAACTAGCCGAAGTTACTCATATATACAGAATGCACATTCTACTCAAACCAATTGTTCGGCTATATTTTGTGCATAACAATGAACCTAGTTGAGAATCTCAATGTCTTTGCCACTCGCCGCTCGTCCTTCGCCCTTTCGCATTTGGAAGATTCGATGTGCCAAACTGAAAGTCACGAAACTTGTCGGCCCGCATCATCCGGCTTATCGGAAGACACCCAGCAGCAGCGGCATAAATAAATAAAGCGTAATAAAGTTAGCTGAACTAAATAAATTAATTATTCAGCGTGCAAACATTGCCCACGCGTGCACTAACTCGACCATTTCATTACATTAAAAGCTAACCTATGTTGCATGTGGTGTATAACTTTTTGATAACGTTATTTGTTTCAAATTCAATTTATTTCCACTTTTTTTGTATCTACTGCATAATTAACTAGGAGTTTAATATAGGTATAATATACTATATCAGTTTTGCAAGGAACTTAATAAAGTTACATGTTACAACCAAGTAACTTAATTGTTAATAGTTGGTATAAGTTAAAACTCAAAACTGGTCCGAAATTAGGAACTTATTAGACTAATTAATTGATTTTCCTATATTTATACGTGCAAAAAGTGGGTATTATGATTGACCATGAACATAATGAACAAAAGCATTAGTATTAGCAATTAATCATTGTCCAGAAAGCTAGAAGTAATGTTTGCACAGACTAGAGAGACGTAAATTTCCACGAAGCGTAATTTCAGGCTGCACCAGAGTAAAGGTAAGTGAGTGTACACAGGCCGGACACAGAGACAAATCGCCGGCAATATGTTATGAATATCGTGGGTCCGCACCGGCTTCGTTGAATTTGGACACTTATAAGATCCGACAAGCACGTAACCTGACGTGGATGCCAGCGTCCGTTATAACAAAGCTAAGTGTGATATGGTACAAAGCGTTGGTGTTGATAGTGGTAGTATAGTGGTATAGAATTGCGAGATTGCGGCGGGTATGACTTGTGACTTGTGACACATCACACTGGTAGAAACGGAACATCGGTGTCGAGCATTGTGCGCATTGTTCACTCGGTTCCAAACAGTGCGAATAAATGTAGTTACATCATTCATTTGTCAACGGGGACAATTAAACAACTTGTTTTGGTAAACTGCTGGAAATTTTGCAATTGTGTAAAACTTTTTTTCTTGACATTCGTATTTTGTGATGCGTCTGAGCAAATAACATTAGGTAAATTAACAAGTAATCCACGTTAAACAAGTTTGAGGAAGTTAAGCGTAACAAGAAGACAAACAAATGCATTCGCTGTAAACTTTACATTTCCACTATTAGCCTACTAGAAATTCTGTGACGATCGAATTACATGTTTATTTATCGACCAATCACGTCCACGCTAGAGCAATGCGCCATTTTCGCATTTATTTTAAACTTGTCTCATTATTGACTAATTGCTTAGGCAAACATGTAAATGTTTGCATTTAATTTTGCGCCAGCCGGCGACCGCAACAAAAACTAGTGGCTAACCCCAACTGGCAACAACGCATTCGTAACAAATGATGATTTGTTGATGAGGTCTGATGTGAATTGTGGAGGTAAACTCGTCGATATCAAATAAAGCGACGCGGAAAATCCGTTCGGACAATTCATATCACGCTAAGCATGAAACGAGTCCAATTCGCCAATCGCAATAGCAATACCAATCGGGCGTTAATTAAATGACTCTTAATTACCGACCGATAATTATCGAATCCGCAAACACATTGGGTATGCACACATGCCCTCTTCGTATACAGGGTGTTTATCGAAATCGTATAAAACAATTTTTATCAATTTTTGGTAATAAATTTCAAAATTTGGGAATTTTTTAATGTTTTGCAGAATAATATGGCAACACTATCCAAATGACAATTTTAAAATTGAAAAAAATCTATTTTTAGAACATGCATTGTCATGTAACCACATATTGCCCATAGTAATAAATGTCCATTCGTCAGAGGAATGTATGTGTGCTGGGAGTGTTTGAGTAAACGCACAGCTAATGAGATAGAAGTCGTCCGCCTGTGAACAATTGCCCGAAATGGGTTTTCGCTATAAACGAAATAACCCTACCAGCACATCCACGCGATCCACATCCAACACTACATGTCTATATCGATTTTTAAATTATGTGCACGGGCGAGTCAAGATGTCTTGTTGGGCCTCGCACGTGAGGTGCGAACTCACTGATTGATTGATTGATAGCTGGATAGACGATGTGATGGACTTGACGCCCCCGCACTCCTATGATTAGCATTCAGTAGTTTGGCAAAACATATGCGGAAAATTAAATTCCAGCAGATCTACGAACGTCGACAGCGGCTCACTCGTTCATCACTCAACGTCGCGCATTGATTTAGAAAATAAAATAATCTCTTGACCTGAATTAAAATGGTGACTGGATAAAACGTACCTACATCTTTGGGAATGTTGTTTAAAGATAAAAACCAAACACTCAAAAGTGAAAAACTTTCCGGTTATATTCTCATGAGAGCATTCTTTATAAGTAATATGTGTTTGTGTTTGTATAGGAAAAGTTTGCAACGTGAACATATTTTAGAAGATAAAAAGTTTACATTGCGATGGTTTTGAGGCCACTCGGATGTAACTTTATACTTTTATCTACATTTGCAACTACTTACGATTGAGTTTTTCAGCCCGACGAGTGGCGGAAAGCAGATGACGAAGCTGAGCACCCACAGCGCTGCAATTAAGAGCTTGGCGCGAGAGTGCGACATTATACTCGGATACGTAATTGGCCGTGTTACGGCGACATATCGGTCGAGAGAAATAGCGCATAGATTCAAAATCGACGCCGTGCACATCCAGACGTCAAGTGCCAGCCACATTTTGCACCAGACCTGTCCAAATATCCACACCTGAAACAAAATAACCACAAATGCTTGAAAAACCACTTAGTTTTTAACTAATGATCATATTTTTGTAGAAATAAAGTGTAACGGTGTGGAGAATTAAAAATTATTTCAGTTTTGGAACTTTGACTTTGTTTCATGACTGGCTATTTATTTTTTTGCGTTGAGCATACCTAAATGAAAATGAAAAATTACCATATAAATTATTACGGCGCATCAGCGACGAGATGGAGGCATCACCTACTCGTAAAACATGCTTCACTTTTTTTGTATATTATAAGTACTTTAAAGAGAAAAAAAATGGCAGGATACGGTGAAAGAACGTAAAAATTTTTTGTAAGGTCCGTTCGTTGGTATGCATAAATTATGATTTTTTCCTTTTTATTTCAGCTTAGCTTTAACTCCATTTTACCTTTACGAAAAACATCTGCTAAATATTATATGAACATAAATATTTCATTTCACCTAAAAATAGTTGTTGAATCTTTTCAAAAATGTATAAATACAACTGGAATATTACTTAATCTTTCTATGTTAATAATTTCCAGAAAATTGCCCATTCAAATCATTCAACGAGCGTGTTGAAGTGAGTAAATAAAATTATACGTTAACAATGTGCACATTTTACACAACAGAAAATACAGAAGCCGTATGCAAACCACGAGCGAAGGAAAATTCCCATCACCGAAGTCTAGCTCGCGCATTATGCAGACGAGCGCGTTTTTAAATTCCACCTCGCTAGAGCTAGTTGTAACGCACGACGGCAACCGTGGCGGCAGTGGTAGCGTTTGCGGTGGCGGCAGCTCTGCGCATATAAACTTCGCAAACAAAGTACAAATTGCCCCCGCAATTCCGCAATACGATTCGCACGTCGTGAGCTTGACTCCGAGCTCGGGAACCACGAGCCAACTAGCGCGCGTGCACACCGAAAACTTTTCTAATAACAAAAAATGCACACCCTTAGGTCCGCAGCACCACGTAGCCTCCCGACCAAGCCTAATTCAATCAATACCACTAAGTAATCAACTAGTCTTTTAGTTTATTTTACTTTAAAATCACCAATACAAAACCTGAAATAATATTTATCAAGACGTGCGATAAAAAATCAATGAGCAAAGAATAAATATCAGGAAAGTGGTGATGCGAATGAGTGTGTACGGCTTTACCATTAGTGCTTGTTATTTACTGAGTTTGGTCTTAATTAAAGCGGTTTTGGTGACTTGCCAAGCCTCAGCACTGAGTGCATTGCCGGAGTGCACCGCCTTCTCTTCTGGTCGTATAATACGACACTTCAATGTGTCAACATTGCATCCTGACCGCGGCACAAGGAACGAATCCACCGCCGCGACGTGTTAATTAGATTTTTTCCTTGCTGCCGCATTACAGCGACTGCAATCACGGTCTCCGCGTTTTATTTTTATCACATCTGCCAGTTAACTTTTCAATCAAGATATAAATAGCGGTCACTTTTAATTCAATCAAAAGTGTCATATCAAAATTTAATTAAAATATTGACGGTCGGAATAAAAGATAAATAATATATATTATATAACTTTGAAAATATCTGGGATAAATCTAATATATTACATGAGCAAAAAAGTCGGAAGAGATTTATGTAATATATTTAATGCAATGACGCGTGATTTCAAATTCGATTCGTTTTTTTGTCGAGCTACCGGCGTCCTCGCGCAATGTTTCCCATGATATACGATTTCGAGCACGTGTAAAACGGAATGCACATGCCATTATCGGATCCTGCCGTATTCGGCGTCGTTTCCAGCAGGCCTAGCATTGCGCACCGCTGCCGGTGGTTTTAACTTCTCAGTGTAGAAACAGCGCCATCGTTTCACCATATACGTACTTAATCAATGTCATTGTCGATGATTTACGACCACGGCTCCATATCAACGTCTTCGGCGGCCGTCAAAAAGAAAACTTTTAGCTTTGCGGCCTTTCGGTGTCGAGTACACACAAAGAATTCAATACAATGAACAATACGAGTATACTAAAATAACTACATGCGTATGTCGTTATAAATGATATTTTAATTACGCTGATTAAAATAATTAGTGCCTTAATATTATATGATATGTAAATGTAAGTGAATTTGGTTGCGGAAATCGATTTTATGTATTATGCAGATAGTTCAACTTGTAGAAATTGTTTTAAACTATGTTATAGTTGCGCAGAACAAGAACTAGAGCGAAAAACACATGCGAAGGACACCTAAATCATTTCCCCAAGGTTTAGCACTATATCTTAGATAAATTTCAAGTTTCCAGAAATAAGTACAAGAAAATCACACTGTAATTGATGTTAAATTGTTTTACTATACTTGTAATAACTGTAATCATTTTAAAATTACAGAGAAATAAATATTACTAAACTATTTTTGTAATTTGACTAGTTCTTTTCCTAGTTCTAGTGATTTTGATAAATATGTTTTGACGTGTTGCTGTAGTACGCAGATGTTTCCGACAAGTTCTTATGTCTAATTACTCTCATTAACTAATTGTCATATTAAGCTTGCTTATTAGAACACTCCTTATAAGGAAGATATTTATTAATGCATGAGTTTTGCTAATTGCCACTGCAACTGGCGCGCATTATTAATTCAATTAATGTGAAATGAATTTGTTGCACGCTAGAATGTGCACGTAGCGCATGATATTTATGACTTTATTGATTTTCCATTTATTGGTCAAGCGAGATTAACAAAAATAGAAAAATTTGATTTTTCTTGCATGGTGAAGTCGCCGGGATACATCAAGAAAATTACATTTTTATAAAAACGTAATCAAACCGTTTTTTGTTGTACTTTAATAAAGTCAGTACTATTACTGACGAGAAAAAGTCAGCGCAAAGAGCAAACCAGTGTTTGCTTTGGATTGACAGTTGATATGCATTTTATGTGCTTAGAGGTGGCGAGTGGCGACGCACGTACGCTATAATGGATCTTGAAGGTTGGTAAATATACACAAATAGTAATATAACACCCTGACGTATTGACATTGCAGTCTGGGGAATAAAAATACGTAAACTGCGAGATCAATACTACAATACTACAATAACGAGTTTTTGTTTTAATATAAATTGATTTATTTATTTTATAACAGCTTAAAAGTTAAATATTTAAAAATTGAATCAATATTTTGTATATCAACTTGAAAAAGTTTTGTATATGAAATCAAAGCTTTTCGGACGCACTCAGGTCTGAATAAGCCGTATCAATTGGGATTTTCGCACAATAAAAACCATCTATTCAATAGAGGTGAGGTGGTTTATCAATAGACTGACCTAAATAGAGTCTGCCAATACAGCTGGCACAAAACGCGACCTTAACTTTAATTTTTCAATTCACTGCCTTGCATTAAACTTGTTTCAACGTTTACTTCTCTAAACTTAACACATTTTATTTATTTTTTTATGTTAAAATATATAATTGCGTTTAAATTTGTGTAAAATAAACATAAAAATGTAAATCGTTTAATGTGAAAAGAAGTGTTAATTAATTCGACGGCTGGAAAAGCCTGATGCGTGATGTGACGCTGTGATAGCCACAGCTCAACACGTCTTGAATATTTTTTCATTTCAAAGTTGTCGCATGCAAACACTCCCCAAAGTGTGAGCGCTCTCGAAACGCGCATATGAATGGCCCATTTGAGGAGGCGCAGCCGAGGGACGCGTTAATAACGCCACCGCCGCGGCGGCGATGAGAGCCGCATTGAGAATACTGCTGCTAGAGCGCCAACTTACTTTTCGAAACTCATATTCGGATGAAACATTCAAGCGACGGACGTGAAACATCGTTGCTCCGAGCCAAGTGTGGCTGCTTGCCATGAAAGCAATTGCAGTGAGCAATGACAGCAAAAAAAGCCACCAGGAAAAAAACGCCCGGCACGAGACATCTTATTTCGTGAGAAAAAGTAGTATATCAAAAGGTAAGTACGTTTATAATTGGTAAATATATTTACATAAAATAAAAAATATTCCGCTTATTAGATTTAGTTAGGTTTTCAACTCCGTAAAAAAGTTCCTTATTACTTACAGCAAGTAAATATAGATACCTACATATATTTACATTTTCTTAATTCAACTTTAGCATTTGTTGAAGTTACATGCTTGTATCATTAACTTCTCATCATAATCATTTCGTGATGTTCCGCTTCTCGCCGTGCAGTCATTCGCCATTTTCATCATGTACCACATCCCGAAACTCTCTAAATTGCACACTCTCAACACGCGCGCCCGCCGCGCACATCCTTCCTGATCCTTGATATCTTTTCGTTTATACTTGTGCTTACGCGAAGATATATCGTGCGCCTTTATTATAAACTCGCACACTTTTAATAAACCTTTCCTTTATGTTTCACTATATTATACTCTTCGCCGCCATCTCAACTTGGTTGGCTTTAAGAATTTAAGACCACTTCTCAGATATCTGAAGATTTACGAAATAACCCGAACGGACGTGGCTGACTCAGCAGTTTCGGAAATTCCAATTAGTAAATGTCACGTTAGCTCCTCAGAATTAATAATGATGCACGATTAAACCGACTGTGACAAGTTTGCTACGGGTTTAAATATAAATAAAATGTTACTTTGTGTCAATATTAACACGTGTGTTTTAAAGTTTTAAAGTTTAATGTTACATGAACGCCGAGTAGGAAGACACATTTATCAACTTTGTATTAAGTTGGCAGAGCATTGCAGCGTGAATAGGCTTTAACTCTTAATAACTAAGTCAAATTTTAAGCACACCATTAACATTGAATGGTAAGGCATTTTCTCGCACTGCATTACACTTTAATGTGTTGTAGAACAAGTTGCCTACGGTTAACGAATAAAATTTTATTTTTAAATACAGCACTGGTTTGAATACTTAGAAATTGAAAACACTTTTCTTTCTCTTTGATTTTCTCTGTTTACAATTTGAAACCTCAATCGCATGACTATTTGATCCTTGCTAGAAGCTAGCAATTCTAGTGAAGTTTCATCTCCTTCCAAAGTTAAATAATAAATTAGAGGTCTATAGTATTGCGACGCCACTCTCAACTTTATTCCACCCACAAGTTGAATACTTTAGCGCAACCGTAAATACAGCTAGATTTACTCACTTTAAAAATCTCCCACGTAGCCGAAAACGGCAGAACGGCCACCCCAACCAGCAAATCAGCAACCGCCAGTGACACGATGAATAAATTCGTTACCGATCGTAGTTTTGACGAGCAAAACACAGCGGCGATAACAAGACAATTGCCCACGATGACCATAACATTGATAAGTGCAAGGATGCCCAGCGAAACCAAGTTCTTCGGGTCCGTCCAGCCGACGTCGTCCAATAGGGCCGCGCACGCGGACACGTTCATCGAATTTGGCATCGCATCACAACTTCAGCATCACATTGCAGCCACACAATCAGATTAAACAAAGGGCGATCTGCAAAAAACACGCTCACAAGTCAACGACGTACGTCGCATGCAACATGTTGTTTATCGCGATTATTGCGTGCTGTCTCTGATGTACGGCCTTTAATTTATCGCTTAAACTCGGACCTTCGGATTCAACAGCCGCGCACGACATTTTTATGAGTAATGACTTGCAGTTGGGAATGATTTCAGTTTTGGAAACTTTTAGATTAATTTGGAACGTACGTTATTCACTCTATTTACGTTATCTTAGATTGATTGAAGTATTTAAAATTAACTTTGATACACAACATTCATAAACATTTATAGCGCTGGTTCACTTTGAGCACAAGAAGTTGTGTGTGGTTAATTACGTTGTTTAAACATCGTTACAGCAGTGGTGTGCGCACATACGTTCATTGAAGTGTAGTCAATGTTTATTTGTTGACAATTGTCTGGATAAATATGTCGCTTTTAAGTATCCGCCGCACTGTTTAATATCTTTTTAATTTGCGTTCGTTTAATTTAATTAAGTGTGTCGCTTCCTTTGCAAAACTCGTAGTGTAGACGCACGCAATGTTTGACTCTTGATTGTTTCTTGTTTATTCCGGAATGAAGTGGATCAATTCGTTGTGTTTTGCCCTGAAATGACAAAAAAGACGCTCAATTAAAATAAATAATTTATTCATTACGTTGTAATTGAAGCAATACCACAAATGGATTGTTATCCGAAAATAGAACATTTTAAATCTAAGAAATTGTGTGGGAATGACAGAAATGAATTAAAGATTTTTCATCGTCGCAGAGGGCACGCCTAAAGCGTCCGTTTTGCTACCCGTTCTTCCTTTTCCGTTTGCCGGCGTGTGCCATTTCTTTAAATGTTGATTTCTGCATCGGCTTCGCTCTGCCCGGACGTATACCATAGCTAATCAACTACTTAAAAATTACTTCAACTGTAAAGCGACGGCATTGAGCTGTATAATTACTATTTACTTTTGCTTTATCCTTATCACTTTACTCGGAAAAGATGTGAGAGCAGATTTCTGCGCAAAGTTCACAAAGTGGCAATTCTTCTGGTGGAGACAAGTGAGTCGGGCGCCGAGAATTACTTATTAAGAGTTTAAGTTTCGCATAATTCGCAGATATCTCAAACGTTTAGATTTGCTTGGCAAAAAATTACACTGCATTTTAACTCATTCAATTTTCCAGCTATATTTTTTTATTTGGGTTTTAATTTTAACGCCCGATGTTGTTACCAGGCAATATTACGTTGAGAATTTATTTTTTTTTGAATATGAAAAATTTACTATAAAAAAATATGAGCTTTTTGCAGATATCAATCAATTTTTAACATTTTCTACATAAATTAACCTCTTCTAACCTTAAATTCAATATGTACAAGCCCGTGGGCAGGCAATCATTTGCACGTACTTAACGTGCTCCATATATTTACACATTCGCTTAAAGATGTACGAGATGTAGATGCGGGAAAGTGCTAAAGTGGAAATTTAACGTTCCCGAGAAAGTGTTTTTCGTCCTCGTCCATCACAACCCAACTAGTTGCACTTACTAAGCAGTATCTAAAAGGATAGTTTCCTTCCGAGCTTAAGCTAGCCCCTGTCGGCGGCTCACGCTGCCCACCGGTTTTGAATGAACGCCGGTTCCCCGGAGAACGCTTGTGAAATTATCCGAGCGTCCGCAGAGCAGACCGCCACTTTGCACGCGATGAACGCCACCGCTGTCGAAAGTGCGCCAATTTGGGATTAAGGCGTTAAAAATTATGCAAATAGCGCGCAGCTCTGGCGGGCGCTAATATCCGACGCTAAAATGGACGGTCGAAGAGTGGCGTCGGTGTCGCGAGCGGCGCTTAAAATTTTCATTAAGAATTTTTACGTTTTAAACTCGTTAGCGCGGAATTATATATTCACGACGATCCAAACTTTTTGATGGGTTTAATATAAAAAATTTAGCATTAATGGCTAAGTCAACAGCATTACGAAATGTAATTTCGTCCAACAATGAGAACGTATTTTTAGTAATCAGTTTCCTTACACCCAAAAAATATTATTTCAGGATCCACTACTAATATTCTTTGAGTAAATGTTATTTCTTTAGTTTCAATTGTAGCTCTTGAACCTTTTCATGTTTAAATTACACATCAGAGAAAAACCAAAGATCAAATCAACACAGCTCGATAGTTTATCTGGTTTATCCAGTTTAACAACGAGTTCTGAAATAACATCGATATGATAGCTGTTGTTTTAGAAAACATTGTATATTTGGATTTTTTTGCTACACTCGCTTAGAACTACTGGTATGGCATTTTCAATTGAATCGAATGGGACACAGAAACACAGAAACAAAGGAATAGTTGTTGGAATCACATCAATTGAATTCTGCGAGCAGAAGTATCATTTACCTAGATCCCCGCCGTTAAAAGTGTTATCGCTGAAAAAAGTTTTTGAATTGCAAATATTTGCATAATAGTGGCTGCAACTGTTGCGTTTAACTCCAACCTGAATCTGAATAAGCAACAAATCGGACAATACGTGTATCTACCAGTGAGTTTATATTCCAAACAACAATTGCAAACAATCGCAACTAAATGTTTGTGTTATGTCTGAGTTTAATCTATTTAGTTCTCTTTAGTTTATTAAAAAATTAATGAATTTAATTAATTTCTATATCAAACGAATATTGATTTCATCGATAGCTTAGCAAATAGTTTACAAACAACTTCATTCCAATGGTGATGGTGGTTGAAATACCGAAGACTAATGAATAATCTCTGTGCCATCAGTACGTAATCAACGGTATATATATTAAATCCCCGACAAAGAAAAGACGAGTCGTATGAATGAATAGTTGCCCTTCTCGGTACTTGGTAATAATGTGCGTAAAGAAAGGAAGCTAATAAAGTACGTGTGGAGACATTCGCGGGTCTTCTCGCGACGCTGGTGTAATAATTCCACACGCGCTTCTGATGAAGCGGTCGTTTGTCTCCGCGCAAAGACAATGAACATTAATTTCATGCCCAACGGGTTTTCCACTGAATAGATGCAAAATGCTCAGCCGAAAAATGAGAAAGACGCAGCGTAGAAATAAGATATCATCAGATTCATCAAGTATGTAAGTACCTCGTCCAGAATAAAGATGCGTTGAAACTTTTCGTTTTTCGCCATTAACTGGAAACTTTTCTCGTTCATTCACAACGCGTCGATACCGCGATGCCGCGACTCATTCACTTCATTCACAACGCGCACGGTACGTAAAATTCGTTCAAACTTTGATTCACTTTTGTTTATATTAATATTTTTTCTGTGGGAACTGGTGTGGGCGCACAAAGTTGGTAAAAGTTTTGTTTGAAAAGTTTGAAAAGTTAATATTCCGTATTAGCATACGACGCCGATGGAGCACACAATAAATTACAACACACTTTGTCACGGCAGATCGAAGAGTGACAGCGGATTCATTGATGAAAAAGCGCGGTGCGCCGGTAACCGAATGACCGAGTGAGCGGCGGGCGGCGCGGCGGCTGAATGGTCGGCGGCAACGGCGGGCTCCCGCTTTTGCAGTACGTACCGGTTCGCCGATGGTAGCGCACTGGCGCCGCGACGCGATAGCGCGCTCACGAGCCCACATGTAATCGCCGAGGCGGGCGTCGCGACGCCGGTGCCGGTGTTGGCGCGCCGCCGAGCCTCCTCCGATCCCACGCAGAGCCCAGGGATAAAAACGGCCCAGGCACTTTTCATCCCCTCGTACCCGATGAATCGCTGTGTGCTTTTGCACTTTGCACCCATCCTTCCGCATCTTTGCTAGCCTGGAAATGCTAATCTTTTTTTTCATATTCAACAAAATATCATTCGATCTTTCATTACCTAACTAAAATTAATTAATAATATATTATTATATTATTACTTTTGATGTCAGACTAAGAAAAAGCTTGCAAATGTGGCACTTTTATATTGTATTGGCTGAAACGCCAACAACCATGAACGATAAAAGAAAAACTGAAGAAAATTGAAAGAAACACGTAAGTGGTGCGGCTAATGCACATAAAATGACTTTGCAACGATCGCCGCAACGTACGGAGAATCATATAAAAATAGAAATCTTTCTATCAATAGTAATACACTACACATTGGAGGTAACGTACTGGTAAAGTACTCGTATATGCTTTAATGTGAGCGATATGGAGATAGCAAGCGGTCAATCGTCGGTTAGAAAAGAGAAAAAAGAAAAAAAAAACGCAAAGACGAGTGCAGAACATGACCCGTTCCGCTTGTATCGATTCTCCATTAAGATGAATAATAAATAATCAACGTCTATTAACGAAGAAACTATAAGTCAATGATCATTTACCAAAGTTTAAGTTGAAGTTGAAGTTTCCTTAGCACGTTATCGGATTTATAACATCATAAATAATTTATTCATGATATTATTTTAATTTAATTTTAATTATTATTTACCTATTAGATTAAACAGTTAATTTAAATTTATTCCAAATAAATAAAAAAATAATGAGTTCTTTAAACTAGATCACCCTCTTTACTTTATGAATTCTTTTTAAATTCAAACATCGTAAACATTCGTTGTTTGTCGTTTGTTGTGCTGAAAGTGGCGCGCAAACGCGACTCTTGTAGTGCGAAACGCATGCGCGAGTTTTTTGGCCGAGTCGTTGAATTCCATTCTTATCAGTGAATGTATTGTAAATTGTATAGTTGTAAATAGTGTTTCGCTGAGACTTCAAGATCAAGTGCTTCTCTACTAAAAGAATTCATCTAAGCGTGATTGCTTTAGGTATGTTAATTATAGGTTAACATTCTATCATTTTGTCAGTTATTTTGTGGTTATGTTTTATCGCGGTTTTTTACGTTGCATTGCAAACACTATAAAATCATTAAGTTTAAAATAAACTTAATTTAAATGTCGGGCGCATTCAAATTAAAAATCGATTTCCGCTTTCTCAAAGTCAAACTCATTAACAATCAATTAAAGTTATCTTCAGCGCAATTCTCGCCGTCCTATTTTGAGCATTTTGAGCGTTGTGCGCTCCAGATAGCATTCGTTATCTTGCACCCTTATTTCCTCCGCTCCTTGCAACCTTTGACACGAACGCGACCGGCCTTTCCATCGTGGTCAGCCTAAACATAGCAAATCAAGTTACGAAAAAACGTAGGTCAGAGGTGAAACTGACACCGGCCGCAATTACCATAAATCGATCCGGATATAAACGTTTCATGCTTTATAGATCTACCAGAAAAAGCGCAGACTATACGAATTAGTCAAGATATAATTTTTATCCCTATAATCGCCGCTGAATCATCAATTTTTCGCGTTTATATAACTAAATTTACATCTGGTAAGTTTTTATGCTAATACATTTTATATATGAACGACACGGATTACTTTACATAGTTTGCTCGCCGGCGCCGTGTGCACCCACATGCGTAGGTGTGTTTAATTAGATTTTAAGCGATTATTAATGCAACGATAAACATTGAAATTTTGTGCGGGCGCTTATTTTTCCATGCCTCGCTACTCGAGCGAATGACCACGGTCGAGGATTAACAGCGAGTTTTCATGTTTACAAACAGTTTCGCATTACTTGTCCACTGTGCCACGCGCTTACCACGTCGCCGTGGATTATTTTAATCGTTCGTTAATTAGCGCACGTAAATTATGATAAAAGTGCATTCTTGTTGCGGCGCGCCGCTCAAACAAAAGCATTTTATTTCGCGCAGCCTTCACTGTTTAATTATAGCATGCATACATGCATAATATTGTGCATTCGCCAAAGCACATGAAAGCTTTCAATCTCATTGAGTGATTAAGCTCACAGTTTGAAGTTTATTTGTAAAATACAAATATTTTATTTTTGTTGGAAATAGTGCGCTTCCAGCGTGTTCAGATGCGTCAAATGTGGATTTTAATATACGAGTATGTATTGATTGATCGGAAGATTAATGCAAACGAGTGCCGCGTTAAGCCGCCTAAGCGGTGAGCGACCAAGCGTGAGCTATTATTGCCGCTCAGATCAACGACGACTGATTTACGGACCACAAATATAAAGCAAGGAAACTGATGTGGACAATATTTGATTAAAATAAAAAAAAAAGAATCTTTTATAATTATTACGTTCTTACATTATTAGTAGAGATATATTTAGGTATGTGATAATTAGGTAAACATAAGGATTATTTAAGCATTAGTACCTGAGGGTTGAAGTGCGTGTGTGAGTGGTTACTGGCCAGTGCACGCAGTGAGGTGCGATTGTGTCAACCACATTAGTATTCTCTTTATCAACGCGGGTGTATTTTGTCACGCATGTGCCTGGTACACTGTGGCTGCGCGTTAAGGCTCTAATTCGATACCATTCGACCTGCAGCTCTCTGCGGGATGTTATGTATTCATATTCTAAATTAGTTCGGAGGGCGCAATTAGTTTGCCGATGACTTGAATGATACGCCCCCGGTTAGTTCTACGCGTGTGCGTAGGTGAACTAGTTAGCGATACATTAGTCGCGATTAATCGGGTTCACTCCTAACGTGATTTCTTCGTATTTGTGTTTAATTGAAAACTTACACAGGAAATCTGAATCGTATTAAATAATTGAATTAATTTGAATCATAAAGTAAAATAAGGAAAAATTATTTTTAATTTTAATTTATTTTTTAACGTTTTTCTTGTTTATGTTTTTTGTATTTAATAATCATGAAGCTCTGAAGTAGATATGGATGTATAATAAGATAAAGACAACGCTTCAAGCACTTTTCTTTGTCTGTCATCATCTTCTCACAAACGCACGCAGAACGCAGTCAAAATGAAGCAACATTTAGACGATGGTGTTGGCGAGAAATCACCGTCGGAGTGTAATTCGTCTTCACTGTGTTTCATTTGTTGCATCGTTTTTTCATCTTGCTTATCTCGCTTTTGCTGGGCGTTTTATTATTCTGGCGCAGAGTCAGAGTCATATACGCGAATATTCGTACGTCAAATGCTCACGCAGGCTTAAAAAGTAACAAAACGTCTGCCGCAGAAATAAACCACGAACGTTTTAAATAAATATGAACATGTCGGACTGAAACGGATATGTTATTGACACACCAAAAGCGAATAAATGTGCCTACACCATAAATAAAATAAATATATTTTCATGAATTAATATGTGATACATCAGTAAATACGTCAAGAATTTATCATTTTAAAGGCAATTTGTGTCAAAACACATCCATCCATCATGTTAGCAATATTTATATTATTTTTGAATCAGTAAATATTACCAATTAATGTTTTAAAAAATGCGATGTAAAAATAAATGCATTACACTGATTTAAAAATAGAGGGAAAAAAGCACAAAGTGTTTATAGTGTTGCTGATATAGCATTTGATGTCCGCATAAAAAAGTACAACGCTGGAACAGTGAAAAGGAAATATTTCTCTTCTGCAATTTGCTCTGTACATACAGTAAAAAAGAGTACATTTGCGATTTGCCCGCATTGCTTTGTGTCAATTTATATGTCCAATAGCGTGCGTATAGGATTTGCACTTTGTGTGTTCCCCTTTTTGTTGTTACGGAGAATAGATTATGCATCTGTCCAAGCGCTATACTGGTTATATAAAAATTCGATTTTTTCTGCAGATTAAAATGCACCTATTGAAGTTTAGCATTTAGTTTGGCCAGATTTTTTAACATAGCTAGCCTGTAAAAAGCTGAATGGATTTTCGTAAACATTCGATATCACATGGGTGAATAAATTCGAGTGGAAATGTCAATAAACGGGCGGCAGCAGAGGAAATCACTTGATGTGATATGATAACATGGAAAATCGAATTTCCAACTATTTTTTTAACTAGATGGCTACATTCTAAAGCAAAAGTTTAAAAATTTTATATTTTGTTTTATATAACAAATCTCAGAATACTCAAAGTGAAGCACCTACACTAAAAACACGCGCTGCATTTGTTGAATAAAACATAGTCCGATAATACATTGTCCGATCATTTCACCTGTACTCGCAGGAGTGCAAGTATGATTTACCATAGCATTTTTGCAATGGTGCTCAACTGCTCGGTAAAATCAAGATCCTCTCCGACAACGAATTCGCTACTTGTCGTGTGCGTTTCAAGCTGCGCGGAACAACGATACGAGAACGCGCTCAGAAAAATAGATGAAAATAGACTACAATAGAAAATGCATGTGGTTGGGAAAATGTAGGACAAGTGTATGCCGGAATGGTGATAAAATGGAATACTAGACCGCTAGAAACGCAATGTAAGGGTGCGACCGCCGCAACCGCCTCCATCGCCGTCACTCTCGCTCATATCTCGTTTGCGTTTAAAATGTACTATCTTTCAGCATCATCTATAGATTCTTCTTGTATACAGTGTATTCGTAAATAAGAAAAAAATTAATAAATTTTGTCTTATTTTATCGTGAATTTAATCAGAAGAAAAAAATAATTATTTATAGTTTAGTACATAAACTGCGTCAATCTATAAGTACACATTGTATATATCCGGAATTGAGATACTACGACGTATGAAAAATGTCAAGAGTCGTGATTGTGAGACGTTGGAGAAGGGTAGGCCCGTTGTTTGGCATCAAGTATTATGCACACTTTTGCTTTCACCTTATGTGAATTACGACGATGTATGCAAATTTGCCAACCGCGTTGTATGTGTGTGTGCGTGTTTGTGTGCCGCCATCATTGCCTCTCGCGTACATTTTGAGCGCTGGAGCATGTGTTACCTGAAACGTGTCGGTCGGCAAAAACGCGCGCGCGCGTTGCGAAGAAAGGAAGATTTCCCGTGAGGTTTTCCATCGACTTCGACATGTAAATATATCTTTGCAGCGTGTATGCACCTGCGCCATGCTTGCGTTAGCTTCCACTCCATGGTGATAGCATTGCTCATGTTTGAAAAAAAGCCGAAGGAATTGAAAGGAGAGCGCGTAGCGGCCAGGAAATAAAGAAAAACGAATGGGTCTGACGGTACTGCGCCAGAATATGAAAGGGAGTGATAATGCTAATGTAGGCCTTTTCACAAATCGCAAATCGTCGCATTAGGTTTGTGTACACATTTTGCTTTAAAATGGAAAATAGTTTCAACTACGATTTTAGAATTTAGTACAACGTGATCTCCGTTTACAAAATAAATGTTAATTTTACAACCGAAGTAAATTTACATGTAAGACATTAAATATGTTGAGCATCTTAATTACCAAAAAATTATTTGCATTCCAGAAGTGTTGTTTGTATGTACAACAGACGCTGCTAAATCTGAAATAATACCAGGGCAGAGTTTACGGCCAATAAAACGCAAAACGTGCACAAGTCCCCAAAGTGTCGGCGTGTATCGTCCATGTTTAGAGTAAATCGAGACGTGCCGTACATACATTTCGATGTAGTACGCCGTGGGCCCAGGAAAGAGGGCAGATTTTAAGCGTGTATTCGCGAGCAAAAGCCGACAACTCACCCCCACAAGTGACTGGATCAAAACAGTAAATGCCTCTACCGCAAGAGACTAATAATAGCTGCCGCCGTCGAGCGGCTTTTATATTCCGCGCATTTCGTTTGGCCTGCCATTCGTTCTCTTATCGGAATGTCCTGACACCTTCGCCTGGTCGCCTTGCGACTCATGTTTGAGGAATGCCGAAGGAAACGCCGGGGTGCGAGAATGCGGTCGTAACTGGCTGAAATCGTTTTATGCGTCTCGCAGTCGCGTCGGTATTGTTGGTTTTCATACAGCGAGCACGCGCGCGTGTCAGTAACGAGCTAATTAATTTATTGGCGCCGACT